GGGAAATGCTAATAGAGAAATCCATCCAAGTTCAGGAAATATATATATATCCAAAGATGAGTGACCAACATCGTGTCCCAGCAGCCCAGACCATATAGCCTCATGTTTCCTTCCATTTCTGCTCCTTTTGGTGAGTGAGAAGAGAAGGCTTTGGAACGTTCGCCTTGCGGAAATGAGGCCGTGCGATTCAGTTCAGCTGTCCGACGCTGCTATCTATTGGAAAAGGAGGATTCCCTGCTCGTTTTGTAAGCACACAGCTGGCAGGAGCTGTTGCAAACTCACTGCCTTCCGATCAGCCCCACCCCAGCAGCAGGCAGAGTGCCCCCCCCACCCCATGAAACACACTCTGACCAAACAGTTGTGGTGAGTTTCAAAATAAAAGATCCCCGCCTGAGCACACCATTGCACTTCCTATCCCATAGGACAAGCTTTGTTAATTGTGTCACATCTCTTTTCTAAATTTAGGCATCTTTTTTTTTTTTTTTTTCCAAGCAAAGATTACTATGCAAACATTTAAGAGAAAAACTTCGCCCAAAGTAATTTTTTCCCTTGACTTCTAGTTGGTTTCCTGCAATGTTTAGATGACTCATTCTCTTCCAAGAAATGTTAAAGAAGAGATGCGGGCTGTGTGATAGCACACAAAGACTGCTCTGTAAATTCTCTTTCTTCCCTGCCTAGAAACCCCTTGCTTTTTTACAGAGAACGGAAAGGCTCCACAGTCTTCATTTTCATGTACTCGGCCTCATCAGGTTTTGTTGTTCCCAGGAATAAATGTCCCCCTTGTCTTTGGGTGCGGTCCCTTTGTAGCGCCCCAGCTCTGATAACCCCTCCAGAGCAGCCAGCATAGAAGCCTTTCCTGGGACGCTGGGGCCACGCTTGCCACCAACGGCACACAGTTAAGGTTTCTAAAATAAAAAATGGGTAGCCTTTTTCATCTGTGAAAGGAGAGGCACTGGCTGTTTCCTGCCTCCCTCCTTGGGTCAGGATTGCTGGGGGCTTGCTGGCAGCTTTATCGGACACTTTAAATGGGCTAGCTACACGTGTGTCCCCAGCCCAGCTCTCAGCCAGAGGGGAGCCTGAAGTCAGGATTGCTTCAGCAGCCTGTTCAAATAAACAGGGATAATAGTTGAGTTGGTCCTTTTCCAACTAATCGGTAGTACATGAAAGGAAACATCTGCCTGGACTTAATTGCTATTTTATTGGTTATGTTCTCTACCCCCCCCCCCCCACTCGGGGGGCTAAGTTATTTAAGTCATGGGTAAGCAACAAGGTAGAGGACTGGTAGCTTTCTCCTGTAACCTCTGCCATTTAAACATAAGGAGGTGGTAAGGGAGGGTGGGAGGCTGGCAGGAGAGTTGGTCCGGAGGTGGGAGGGCAGGGCGCTTGGAAGTGATAATCATGGTCACTTCCTTGCCTTGTTGCTGACTCTGGGGCTGGTTGGTGAGTCATTTCACCTCACTTCACCTCCTTGGACTTCTGCTGCTTCGGTAGAGCTCAGCTGTCCTCAGAATGGGAAGGAGAAGCTGGTATGTGAGCTCCTACATGAAAGGCATTCCCTCTTGTGGCCTCTTCCAGTGATTGAGGGCATTGGATGAGAGACAATGGGAATGGTACATTTAAGACTGGCGAGATAACCTTTGACGCCATCCATTTTATTGAGCATCTTGATCCCTGAGGAGAACTTACTGATTATCTTTTTCTCTATGGAGTGAAGCCAACCAGTCATACCCAGAAGTGAGTGTTTGAATCTAACACAGACTCAAGAAGCCACACAAAAGGTCATAATTATAGAATGGCAGAGGTTGGAAAAGACCTTTAGAATTTTTAAGCCAAAGATTTTCATTTTATGGAAAAGAAAATACAGGCCTAGAAAAACTGAGTTGTCTGAAGTTTTTTCCTTGATGGTCAAGGAACTGGGAATAGAAGAAACTGTGATTGCTGAGTCAGGGCTCCTTCCACTCTTCCACGCTACTAAGAGTGAAAATGCATGTCAACTCACAACAGAGGTCCACACATGCTATATTCCATAATTTCATAATAGAAAAATGGCAAAGTATAAACAAATGAAAATGCCTGATAAACATTGTTTTAAAAAGTTCAGCTTTACATACACCCTGGCCAGAGTACTCGGTGATTAGAGCGTCATCCAGTGCACCGAAGAGCTGTGGGTTCGATTCCTGGTCTGGACACATACCCAGGTTGCGGGTTCAATCCCTGGTCAGGGTGTGTGCATGAGGCAACCAATCGATGTTTCCCTCTCACATCAATGTTTCTCTTTTCCTCTCTCTTCCTTTCTATCTAGAATCAATGAACAGCTTATGCTTGGGTAAGAATTTAAAAAAAAAAGTTCAAGCTCACTACAATCAAAGGACTGCAAATTATAGTAGGATGCCATATCAAATTGTCAAGACAAAAAAGTGAAATCGCATCTTATGTATTTCTGGTGGTATTTTAAATTGGTACAGTTTTTTTTTCAAGGGCAGTTTAATGGTATAAATAAGTAAGTAGTCTTTGATTTAGCAATATTACTTCTAGGAGAAAAATAATAAAAGGTATGTACATAAATTATGTACAAATTAATTTAATACAGCATACTTTATCATATAAATTTATAAACAATGTAAATGTTCAAGAATAGGAGCTATATCAATATAATCTATTGTAATGTTACAGAATAAGAATAATGTGTAAGGAAATGTTCACAAAATACGTGTAAGTGAATAAATTACAGTGTATATAATGTAATCCCAATCTCACAAAAATCATAAAAGATTAGAAAAATATGTAACAAAGTCTAGAGCGATGATTTCTTAGTGGTAGGAATTGAGTTACTTTTTTCTTTTTTGAGGTTTTTCTAATGTTTTATGTATTATAATGAACATTTCTTTTTTTCTTTTTTTAATTTTATTTTTGTTACAGATGTTTCTTTTTTTTACCCCATTGACACCCTCCTCCCCATCCCCCCACCCCATCCCTGACTTTGTTGTCCATGTCCATTGGTTATGCATACATGCATATAAATTCTGTGGTTTATCTCTTCCCATCCCCCACCACCCCCTCTTCTGAGGGTTGTCACTCTGAACCCTACTTCCGTGTTTCTGGGTCTACCCTATTCCTCAGACTGTTATATTCATTATATTCCGTATATAAGTGAGACCATGTGGTATTTGTCTTTTTCTGCTTGGCTTGTTTCACTTAGAATAATACTTTCCTGGTCCCTCCATGTCGTCTCAAAGGATAAGAGATCTTTCTTTCTTACAGCAGCATAGTACTCCATTGTGTATATGTACCACTGCTTTTTTATCTATTTGTCTACTGATGGACACTTAGACTGTTTCCAGATCTTAGCTATTGTAAATAGTGCTACTATGAACATGGGGATACATATATTCTTTTTAATTGGTGTTTCAGGCTTCTTAGGGTATATTCCTAGAAGTGGGATCACTGGGTCAAATGGAAGTTAAATTTTTAATTTTTTGAGGTAACACCATATTGTTTTCCATAGTGGCTGCACCAGTCTGCATTCCCCACAGCTGTGCACTAGAGTCCCCTTTTCTCCACACCCTCACCAACACTTGTTTGATGATTTGTTGATGGCGGCCATTCTGACAGGTGTGAGGTGATACTTCCTTGTTGTTTTAATATATTTCTTTTGTTGTCAGAAAAAAAAAGTATTCTTAAAGTCATACATCTTGAAAAAAGCAATATCTCAAGTAATTATGAGTCTGACATGCAAGACCTCTTTCTTTTTTTTTTTTTTATCCTCACCTGAGGACATTGAGGACATTTTTCCATTTTTTGTTCAGATAGAGTGGGAAGGAGAGAGAGAGAGAGAGAAACATCGACGTGATAGAGACACATCGAGTGGTTGCCACCCACACAACCCAACCAGGGCCGAGGACAAACCACAACCGAGGCACGTGCCCTTAGCGGGAACCGAACCCGGGTCTCTCTGGACCGCAGGCCGATGCTCTAACCACTGAGCCAAACCGGCCAGAGCGCAAGACCTCTTTCTTTATTTCCCTGGGAGCTGAGCTATGCCAGGGGGTGTAATACCTTCTGGTAGAAGGGCACTGTTGATATTTGATTTCGTAGTAGAAAAGAACTAGGAGCAGGTCGAAGATAAAACGAGGGGCTTCCCTTCTCAGTGACCCAGTGATGCCAATCGGTTTTATCCCCTGCTGTCTTGGGCTTGGCATAAAATGCTTAGTATAGAAGGTGTGGTTCTTCCTTTCTGCTTCCTCATTTTTCTCTATTTTTATTGTTCTCTCTGTGTTGTTAGATGCCAGTTCTGAGTGGCAGCTACAAAGAACCTGAGAGTCACCACTACTTAGGATTAACCAGTTGGCAACCCTTTAACATATATTATCAGAATTGAATAACATTTTAGCTAATCTCACAACCAGTCTTTATTGAGGTACCATTGCCTTGGGAGTTTTGGGTAGAGATAGAGCAAATACGCGGTCTAACTCCAGAATAGAGTAGAGTAGAATAGAATAAAAAAATAAAAATAAAATGAGGTCTTACCCCATCCTGATCGAAGGTTCCTATTTAGTTAGGTACTTTGAAGTCCTTGGATGTTTATATACTTCTTCCCATCTCATCCTATTTTATATCTTACTTTCCTCTACAATTCTCAGGAATGCTTGACTTCAAGTCCCCAAGAAAACTTGTTTCACTTAACAACAGTTGCTAGGTAGGATGTGGCTTTCAGGCCTGTTCTTTGGGGAGCAATTGAAAAACCAAAGGCTATAACCCACTTTCCCTTCACATGATTGCCTTTGCTAGCCTGGAGAAGAGGCACGTTTCATTTTATTAAAACTCTTTGAGTAATCTGACCATAATTGGGTCTGTTTGGAGTGGTTATCTAGTTTGCCGGATTAAATAATGGGCTTTAATTGAGTTTGTGTTATTTGTAGAGCCAGTGGTGCTCTTGCCTTTGTTGCCCCCTCGTTCTTTCTTTTGTTTCTCAATTAACCTTCATTCCTCTTTCCTTGCAGAGTAAAGAAGTCGGCCAGCAGCTCCAAGATGATTTGATGAAGGTCCTGAATGAGCTCTACTCGGTAAATCAGACGGGTTGCCTGGCTCTTGAACAAGCAGAGGGAAGTAGCATTTGGCAGCCGTGGCCATAGTTGCATCAGCAACAGAACTGCGCTGAGGTTGAGGACAGTGCATAGTCCCCATTGGGGGTGCCTCCACCCATCTTTTTTTTTCACTCTTATTTTCAAACCTGAATGAGCCAAAAACACTTTTTCAAAATAAGATCACTTCTCAGCTGTACCAGCTCACTCTGGCTTCAAATGGGAAATAATCATTAGAGACCAGTCAAGGTTTAAATCACCAGCACAACTGACCCCATTTGCAGCAAACCAAGGACCCCAAACCTAACAGCAAGGAATATAGCCTGCCTTGCACCATTAATATGTGCACGTTGGAAAGGATTTATGGTTCAAGGTTTTGGATTGAACCATAATCAGTTCTTGGATTGATCTACCTGTTTGAGACTAAAGTGAGTGCTCTAGAGGGAAGCATAGAGTCCTAAGTGCCCATGATGTGAGGGACCAGTTCAGGCAGAAGGAGTTTTGCATCAACTTCCTAGGGTTGTATAAAGGCCAAACATCAGTGAAGATGCAGGCTCTGGGCTTGGAGAAAAAAACACAGTCTGTTCTGAAATGACTGGCTCCGCAGGCACGTGATGCCTGTGGCTGATGCATGTTTCTTCATGCACTGGGAGGTGGTTGGTGGTGGTTGTTTTTCCTCCAGCCATGTTTCATTAATTATAATTAAAACACACATGCACACCAAAGAAATTCCTGATGCTGTACAGGGAATATTTCAATTGTGTAGCTAAAGCCTCCCAGGGTCTCTCCTCTAGCTGAGCTGTGCCAGGCCTTTGTGTCATTCTCCAGGGTTACCCCATCCTGTTACGGAGGTGAAACGGGTTTCCTTTGTTTACTTGCTTATTCACTACATTTCTTTCTTTCTTTCTTAATTCACAGGAAGACAGTGGTGGCATGCATCACAGGCATTTTTGGATCAGAGAATTCCATGCTCTTGATCCCAAAGTCTAGGTGTGGCCATTTTGTCATGGCAACTGTTAAGCAAGTAAACAGGGTAGTCATCAGACTTGTCTCCAGTGACGCTTAGTGTGTTTAGAATTTCTACTCTGTGATTCTTCTGCTCTGAAGCCGCGTAGATAGAGAGTACCCCTTAGTTTAGCTCCCAAGTTTTCATTTCTTTCAAATGCAGTTAAGGCTTGTTAGAAATAGAAGCGTGTTGACTCGGACCACTTTCAGACTGGATGAGTTTTCTGAACCCCCGTGTCTTTATAATGCTCTATTTCTGCTCTTTATTTTTAGAGCATCTTCTAGGCACCAAGAAGAACTATTATTACTCCTCTGTCCTGTGAAGAATTCACTAAGATAGAAAATGACACATGTAATCATTATATGAATCCTTCTAGTTTCCTGTAAACATCTTGGGCCTCTGCTGTTTGCTGTTTCTGGGGAGGGGAGTGAGTTGGATAACCAGCAAATTCCAAACTAAGCCAATCCAGCATGCCACTTTCTGCATACAGCAGAGGAAGAACAGTGTCTAAGGATCTTTTAGCGTTACTCAGAGCCCTAGATCTCCTAATATGCAAAGATTTTAAAAAATAAGGGTAAGTGAAAGGGTATAATTTGCAGTTGAGTGAGGAAGGAAATCCTGGCACTTGCTGTTCTGGTCAGATGGGGACTGAGCTGGCACCTTGAAAGAACTGCAGGCTTCAGGCACTCCAACACTGACCAGTCCTGGCCACAGACAGTGCAGTGCAAAAAATCTTCCTACTGGTGTGCAAACTGACAATTGGCTGAGCGTGATGTCCCCTGCCATTAGGTGAATTGACACATACTCTCATAATCATGAGGCCAAAATAAAATTTGATGTTTTTCTGCAGTAGGCAATAGGAAGAAAAAAGACAAAGGACACAAGAAAGTTCCAGAGAAAGCAGTGACTCTGGTACAATGATTCGCCCCGCCCCAAGGTGATAGATATTTGACAATGTCTGCAGACATTTTTGGTTGTCACAAGCGGGCTGGGGGTTGGTGCTAGAGATTAGAATGTGACTAAAATCCTGTAATGCACAGGACAGCCTCCCACAACAAAGAATTATCTGGCCTAAAATATTAATAGTACCAGGATTGAAGACCCTGGTCTAGTGACTAGAGCCTCCTGAATTAGGCAACCCAGGTTGTCTACCCAGTCTACCACTAGCTATATGATCTGGGGGGTTGCTCTATGACCCAGGTCTCCATGTGGCATGTACTGGTATCTCCATATCCTGGAGGATGGAGGGATTGGGGGAGTCATACCTCCTGAAACATCAGACTATAGTTAAGGGTCAAATGAGTTTGCAGATTCTATAGGCAATTAGAAAGTTCAAAGAATGGAATCATGAGTTGTTTCAGTTATCCCTGTTTGCCCAGGACTGAAGGTTTCCTGGGATGTGAGAGTTTTTCAGTGCTGAATCCTGGAACGTCCAGGGTAAATCAGGCCCATTGGTCACCTACATGGGACAGTGGTTTCATAAAGTAGGAACTTGGGACCATTGTATGCTGGATTTGGGAAGCTACTTGTGTGTTCTCTCTCTCTCTCTCTCTCTCTCTCTCTCTCTCTCTCTCTCTCTCGTTAAGAAAGGAACAAGGGAGGGTTTCTTATAAAGAGCTTTCCTCTTATCTGCTCTTCAGGAAGGCATGGAAGGATCTCACATTTTAGCGACTCTGTAGGCAACAGAAGTTATTTGTGGGCGTGGAAATAAAGGAAATCAAGGTTATAAGGAACCCATCATTTTTAGTGCTTTTCTTGCCTTACATCTTCCTCTGATGGCTGTAGGTACTTTTTGGGGGGAGACTGTTACCCAAGAGTTGGTCATTTAAGTACTTTTGAACCTTGATGATCCAAGGGTCAGGGCCCAGGTGTTCCCAAATAAAGGTGCATTTGGTAAAGAGGCCTGAACTCCATAAGTGGCCAGCTGCCACTCTATACCTTCCTCTTTTCTGCCTAAAGGGCCTTTGATTTTTCTGACTTAGCTTCCGTGCCAAGGGCTGCTTCCCACAGCTGCTACTCAGAGAGCAATCCCAGTGAGCATTCTCCTTCACGGTCCCCCCCCCCCCCCCCCCATAATGAACAAGCTAACTGGTTTGTAGGCCATGGCACACAGAAGTGGTTTGCATTTACTGACTGATGATTCAGGAATGCCTTTGAAGTCAGAGCACACTGCTTCCCAAAGAACTCTGGAATTCTCTGCCTCAGTTGTACTCAGAGGCTATATCTGGAAAAGCCAGGCAACCCCTCTCCCCCAGGAAGGAGTGTATGTTCGAGCACTAAAGCCACATGGATTGGCTGAGTAGGAAGAGTTAAGAAAGCCCTAGAATTGAGAAAGAAGGAAGAGGTGTTGGGACATAGGGGATATTGGTGCCCCAGAGGTTTTATGTTTCTAAATACTCCTCCTGACTATAGTCCCCTTGATTTGGTGCAGCAGCTGTCTGCTAAGGAGCCATGACTGGTATTTAGCACCTGCTCCCTTGAAATAATGTCAGCTAATAGTCCCCCAGCTCTGCTTGCTTGTGTCTCCAGCACTAGGCACTAGGGATACAAAGACAAATAAGAGATGTCCCTGAACTCAAGACATTTAGCTTTAGTAGAAGGGACAGAAAAATAAAGTAGAAAGCAAAATACATGTCTGCACAGAGGAGGGACATGAAGTCAGGCTCCCTGGAGAGTCTTGAATTGAATCTTAATTGCCAAAAGTTCTTTTATTGTTCCTATTTTGTTGCATCCTGTTCTTGTTTCATGATGCAGTGTCCTTTCATTTCTCATTGATCTCTCTAGGAATATTATTGGTGAACTGTTTTTGAAGTTGTTGTTTTCTTCTGTATACTTTTTGTTTCCTCTAAATTTGTCATTTGGTCTTTAATTTTCCTTAAATGTCTGATAATCTTTAGCTGCCTGCTTATATTGTACTTTCTATATATTGATTTTAGAGAGAGGGGGAGGGAGAAAGAGAGAGAGGCAAACACATCAATTTGTTGCTCCACTTATTTATGCATTCATTTGTTGATTCTTGTATGTGCTTTGACCAGGGATCGAACCCACAACCTTGGCATATAGGACTATGCTCTAACCAACTGAACTAGGCAGCCAGGGCTGCCTGCTTATATTTTAAAGCGGGTCACTGAATAGCTGGTTGGAAGTTCTGTGTCAGCTTGGCCTTTACTGTATGTAGGGTAATCTGACTATACCATGTTCTTGGAGAAGACCAGTATTTCTAGATCTTTTATTTTAAATGGTCAGGTTCCCCAGGCAAGGTTCTTCTATCTCCCACCTATATTTGGGGGCCAAGTTGTGATAAAGAAGCCTGGGCCATCTCAACATTCTTTGTAGAATTTTCAGATGATACTCCTGGTTTAAGTTCAGTGCTCCTGTCCTCAGCTGAGCCTGGTGTCCCCTTCCGAAGAGTATAAACCTGTAGTCTTCCACTACAGAGGGGAAGTGGAGGGGATCTGGGAGTCTAACGGTTCTCAGGCTTTCAACAGTTTGTTGTTTTTAGCCCCACCTTCATCCCACTGCCACCAATTCCTCTTAGGGCTTTTGTGATATAAGTCTGGTTGCTTCTTGGCTCTCTCTACTTCTGGTTTAGGGTTCAGTAGGTCACTTATTACTTGCCTTCTACTTTTCATCTTCCACTTTTGTTTTGTTTGTTTTCCTTAATTTATACTAAAAATATTAATAAAAATTTTTTAGTGTGGTTTGAGGAGGGAGAACTAAAGACATGAATTTAATATTGTATGTTTCAAAGTAATTATCTTTGTAGAACTGAGGATTTAGACTTCTGAGTTTTTTCCCTAGTTTGTATTTGCCTCGCTATATATATTTCTTCAAGTCCTATCTCTCTCATTGTTTTGACATCACTTATTCAAGCTTCAGCCTTTGGATACCTCAGTTTTCCCTCGAGTTGGAGGACAGAGTTATACTTCTCTCTTTTCACAAAAGAGAGATTTAGTGTCATTAAGTCATTTGAGCAACAACATTGATTGTAAAACTACCACTGTCTACATGACATATTTTCCAACTCTGGAGAAAAAAAGAAAACACAAAAGAGGTGGTGCTTACCCTTAGGAATTCATAGTTTCTCAGATGAGGTAGCATATTATTCCTTTATGCGAGTTACGTTCTTTAGGGAAAGGAGCAATATAAATTGTTGATTGATTTTTATTCCTTCATCGGCTGTCTTGTTGGCACTATTCCTTTGAGCTCTTTTTTTTTTTTCATCCTCACTGGAGGATTTTTTGTTGTTGTTGTTTTGTTTTTGGCATTTAACTTCAGATAGAGCAGAAGGGAGAGAGGGAGGAAGAGAGAGAGAGAGAGAGAGACAGACAGACAGACATTGATGTGAGAGAGACACATCGATTGGTTGCCACCCACACAACCCCAACCAGGGCTAGGGATGAACTGCAAATGAGGTACGTGCCCTTAGCAAGAATCGAACCTGGGACTCACCGGTCCATGGGCCAACACTCTACCCGCTGAGCCAAACCAGCCAGGGCTCCTTTGAGCTCTTTTTTGTCTCTCATGTTTAGTCATAGTGTTTTCTGTTTATTTATTATGCAACTTCATGAAATAAAAAAATTACTTTCTTATAAATCATTCACTTTTAACTATTCAAACTTTTGAATCCCTTGGTCACATTCAGGTGAAAAGAGAAAAAAGGGAGCCCTGTCTGGCCTTCTTTTCATCTTAGCCAATCTGGAAACCTGGTGGATCATTTGAATTACTTAGAAAGGTTTTTAACACTCTCGATATTAAATATCACTTCTGTGTAGCTCATATACAGAGAAGGTCTTATACTTATGGGAAATGATGTCAGGTTCAAAATAAGGTGAAGCTGGTTTTAAAATACTCTGCATCCAAAATGAGACATTATTTAAACTATAATGTACTTTGATTTTGTAAGTGTCCCAATATTCTTTTTTCCTTCCTCTGTCGCCAGCTGATCCTAAGGTGTTACTATACCCACAAAGTCCCTCTACGCCAGGATTTGTCAACCTCGGCACCATGGCTATTTTTGGACCAGACAGGTCTGTGTTGTGGGGGCTGTCCTGTTCAAAGAGTGTTGAGTAGCATCCCTGGCTTCTACCTACTAGAAGGCCAGTAGTAAGCTCCAAGTTGTAACTATCAAAAATGTCTCCAGACAGTACCAAATGTCCCCTGGGAACCAAGTTAGTCTTCATTTGAGGCCACTGATCTAACTCGAGTCTATAAATGAAACCAGTTTCTCTGTTCAAACCTCTCTTCACTAAACTTTTTCTTCCACCAAATCCAGCTCTGGCCCCATGCAGAGAGGAGACATTGGTGCTTAGTGGCTAAGACTGTGGACTTTGTGGTCTGACAAAACTGGGTTTAAATCCTGATTCTGTCATTTATTGGCTGTGTGACCTTGGATGTGATAGTTAATCTTGCATCTCAGTTTTGTCATCTTTAATGTTTTTTTTTTCTTTATTGATTTTAGAGAGAGAGGAAGGGAGAGGGAGAAAGAGATACAAACATCAATGAGAGAGATCATAAATTGGCTACCTCCTGCATGACTCCCACTAGGGATTGGGCCCACAACTTGGGCATGTGCCCTGACCGGAATCTAACCAGCGACCTCTTGGTGCATGGGTTGATGCTCAACCAATGAGGCACTCCGGCCAGGCTGATCTTTAATAGTGGAAATAGTAACATGTCTTTCATAGAGTTGGTGTGAGGATTAAATGAAGTGATGTACATAAAGTGCCTGACACACAGCATGCACTAAGTAGTAGAAATTAAATAAACACAAGTCCCAGGCTTCCTGGCCTCCTCATTAAGAAAAGGGATTGGACTCCCAGACAGTTGCTTTGATGGAAATTGGTGTCCCTCTCGTTTTACTCTATTTCCTTTCTGTGGCAACTCCAGTTTCACTTGATTCGGATTCTATTCCTGCTCAGGCTCTTACCTGAATTATTGTGCAGGTCTACTGGCTTCGTAGGGTTGTAGTCTAGATCACAGGATTGCTCCAGGAATGAAATGAGAAAATGCATATGTAGTCCTTGGCACGGAGCCAAGAATATAATAAGTGCTCAGGAAATGATAGCTCTCACTCTTATTGCTGCTGGTTTTCTAATTGCTGCGAGAGAGGGTGTTTGATCTGTATAAAGCAGACCAGACAGACCCCCCCCCGCCCCCGGATGCTAGGCCAGTAAAAAGAGCTTATGGGGCCTTTTTCTCTTCCCCATTTATCTGAAATGTCCAAAGAGTATAGGTTACTCTACAGGCTGTGCTACCCTCTTCAGGGTTTCAACCAGGCTTTGCTCTGGGGTCTGAGTGGTGGTGTTGTTTGCTATCTACTTGGCATTATGAGATGACTAAGCAGTAGAAACTAGCCAATATAAAAGAGTAATGATTACAAACGTTAATGAGTACAAGTAAATAATACATGGTGGAAGACATGAAGTCATTTCAATAATAAGGCACACTGGCTCAGTTCAAATCCTGCTTTCCTGTGCTTTGGGGTGGTCTTTAATATATAATGTCAAAGTCCAGTCCAAACTCTTACGGATTTTCCCCTTTGGGGTATGAAGAGAGTGCTTCCTGGGGGAGAGGTCCGGCTAAGCCTGTTAGTCTGTAAAGCAGAGAATTGATCCTATTGGTTTGACCTTTGGGGTGGGGGCGGGGGGTGTCTTGCAGGTCATGAAGACATATCACATATACAATGCTGACAGCATCAGTGCTCAGAGCAAGCTAAAGGAGGCCGAGAAGCAGGAGGAAAAGCAAATTGGCAAATCGGTAAAGCAGGAGGACCGGCAGACCCCACGCTCCCCTGACTCGTCGTCCAATATCCGCATTGAGGAGAAGCATGTCCGGAGGAGCTCAGTGAAGAAGATTGAGAAGATGAAAGAGAAGGTGCGTCTGCTCCAGCAGCAGTAGGGGCTAGGGAGGAACGTTCTGGCAGTCATGACTGATTAGGATCTCCCAGCAGGTACAGAGTAGAACAAGGAAGCTCCAGCTTTTTTTGTGCCTAATGACCAAAAGTAAAGCCTTGTTATCTGCCCCAGAAGAAATCCTAGATATTTGGAAGAACCTGGGCATGTGGGCTCCTGGGTTTTCAACTGTAGCAGACAAACAAGAAACTCTCATCACCTTTCCCAAGCCTAGGAGGGGACTGTAGACCCAGGGTCAGGGGTGGGTGTAGTGGCGCCTTCAGGGGAGCCATGCAAGGATAGAGAATGGTATTTGCAGATAGAATCAAAGTGGGACACGCATCTAAAGTAGGGAGCCTCATTAACCTTTCCTGGATTGATCTACATTATGCCCTTGAATCTCATTAAACAGAATTAGAACCCAATTTAAGGAAGATGCGCATAGGGAGTAGCAGCACAATTGTGGTTCTTGAATGTACTGTACTCTCATCTTTTAGAGAACAGTCTCCTCTGAAAAAAAAAAAGTAAAATTGAACTTTTGTTCTCTTTTCAGCGCCAAGCCAAATACACGGAGAATAAGCTGAAGGCCATTAAAGCCCGGAATGAGTACTTACTGGCTTTGGAGGCAACCAATGCGTCTGTCTTCAAGTACTACATCCACGACTTGTCTGACCTTATTGATGTAAGTGCTTAAGCCTGGGGGCTCAGGGTGTCTCTTTGCTGGTTTCAGAGATCTGGCCAGGCGTTCGTTCCCCAGTTCTATTGCTCGGGCATCGCAGAGCATGTTGAGAGCAGTGATGAAGCAAGTAGCCGTGATCCATCAGGGGCTTTGCCATGTACCTTTACACCATATATCCTTCAGTTCTCACTAGAGTCCCGAGAGGAAGGTATTCTTATTTCCATTTTTACAGATTTAAATTCACAGAGTTCAGATGACTTACTCAGACTCAGCTAATAAGTGACAGAGACAAAATTTGTACCTAGGTCTGGTTACTAACGCGTGCTCTTAACCACTATGCATTTCTGTCTCCCTTAAATCAGCTACTTGACATGGAAGTGAGTGGCAAGAGCTAAAGAAGTGTTTACATAACACAATGTTTCTCAGTATTATCTCATTTGATTGTCACATCACCCTTTTGAATCAGCATTCCTGTCTTCAGTTTAGCAGAATTCTCCACTGAAACACCCGTGCACTGACCTATCTTCATTTTATGGATAAGGAATGGAGGGGTCAAGAGGGTTACCTGCCCAAAGATACACTGCAAATTAGGGTCCTGGACAGGAAGGTAGTCAGCTACCCCTGACACCTAGCTCGTACTTCTTGATATGTGGCACCGAAACCATGAGAAAAGCTGAATAGTAGACACATGTGTTTTTCATGGGGCCGACACAAGGCACACGTTTTATTACTTTGGCCTTATGGGTCAACTGAGGCCTTATTTCTTCTGCTTCCCCTCAGACCTTCTAGCGGTTGAGTCTTGCAGTTCCTCCCACCTGCAGGCTCCTATCTGGCCCAGTTCCTGAGCCACACCGTTTCTCACTCCTCCCTCTTTTCTTTAGAGAGAGGGGCCTGGAACCAGCTGACTTAGCATCAGCATCCCAGTCTCCCTGGCTTCAGGCAGATCCTGCTAGTCTCCTGTCTAAGGCCTGATGTTTGCCTCTGGCTGTCAGCAGGCAGCAGCTGGGCTTTGCAGGCCTCTGGCCAGACCTCTCATTCTTGCCTGCCTGTCTTGGTCTCTCCACAAACAAACCTGCCACACTTCACTATATTACATGGGGTTCTGGTCTAAGATTTGTCTAACTAGCTGGATAACATAGGGCTTGTCACCGAACTGTTTTGGAACTGCACTCTGTCTCCCCCGTGCTGTGCCCCCGGCACGCTGAAGAATTGGACCAGGTCATTGGTACTTCAATCTGGCATTACATCAGAGTTGTTTGGGGAACTTTTCTAAAATACCCAATCCTGTCTGTCTTCAGCCAGTGATTTTTGATTCAGTAAGTTCCAGCCTCTTAATGCCCTGGGTGTCATTGTCTCACTGGGTAAGTGGAGCCCTGATCCCTGGCAGGTACCTCTTTGTTCTCTCTGCTTGTTGATGCCAATCTGAACACTGTCCTTCAATGGAGGTCAGAGCCCTAAACAGGATCCTTTCTCCTCTTCAGGGGAACGGCTCCTCACTGGGAGAGAGGCCTGTTCTCAGCATGAGGAAGAGAATCACTTCTTTCTTATACTCACTGTCTGCTGTTTATCTCACATTTGGTAAAAAGTCAGACTGCACAGTCCATCACACCTCTTCTACCGGTTTGTCCTTTTCTTTCTTTTGCCCCCAGAGCAGCTTGGTCAGTCACAACCTTTGCAGTCCATAGACCCCTCTCCACCCCCATCAGATGTTAGTAGGTTTTTTAACATCAATCCAAGGAGCAAGCTATTTTGTAACTTGTTATCCTCATTAAATGTTTACATATGTGAGTGAGTGAGTGAGTGTGTGTGTGTGTGTGTGTGTGTGTGTGTATGTGTGAGGAGCCTGTCTCCGCGGAGTGCCACATGACGCACCATGGAAAAGAAGCCTGCCAGCATCCGTAGCATCAGCCAGGGCGTGGGTCTAGGTTACTGTGAGCAAGCTAGGTTGCTAGCATTCCAGGCCACACAGGTACTAAAGTTGCTCTTCTGTTATTTTGTTTGATGTTTGTTTAGTTTTCTTTTTCTGAGGTGGGGACAGATTAATTCATTATTCCTTAGGAAAGGCTGATAACATTTTTCTGCTTTATAGATGTTCAGTAAATATTTATTTGAGATGAGGCTGTGTGTTCAGCAATAGGGGTTCAAAAGGAATAAACTAGTTTTTGCCCTCAAGGTATTTCTCGATAAACAAACAGATAATTTCTATGTAATGGGCTAACTGCAGTGCTAGAGGGAAGCCAGGGGTCCTGGGACAGTTTTTCAGACTGCAGGTCATGCTCCATTAGGGGAGTCGTAAAATCACTTTCATGGGTCTGACTTATTATTTTTAATGAATAAACTAGATTGGAATAGAATAGGAAAGAAAATATCAGGGCACATCACATTAGTAAAGTTAAGTTTTATTTGGTGAAACTCTTACGTTAGGTAAGCATGCATGCTTGCGCACCCAGGGATGTGCGTGCATGCATGCATTTGTGTGTGTGTGTGTGTTAGTATAAGATGCATTTCCTACTGTGTGCTGGAGGTCAAAAAAGTTTGAGAGTCGTTGCACTAAGAACAGAGGACGATCTCTTAGTCTCCTCTCTGAGCTTGTGAGGGCGAGAATCAAGTCTTCTCTTTACCTTAATACACACATACGTACATACAAAGCTTAATACTTAGCTGAGCACATAGTTTATGCATTGAAGGAAGAAAGGAATGGAAGGAGGAAGATAATGATTTCCTAAGCCAAGAGTTTTTTCTTCTTTGTGCCTTTTAATAATGTTTTGAGATATAATGTACATACAATAAGTAAACTTAGGTGTTACAGTTTCAAGAGTTGTGATAAATTCCTACACTCTTGTAACCTACATCTCTATCACGACACAGAATATTTTCATCACCTTAGAAAGTTCCTTTCTCTTCCCAGTCAGTTCCCCTCCACAAGGCAACCACTGTTCTGAGTTCTTTCATCATAAATTAGTTTAGCCTATTTTAGAACCTTTCAAAATGGGATTATATAGTATATGCTTTATTTGATCTGTCTTCTTTTTCCAACATGGTGTTTTTGAGCTTCATTTACATTATTGCATGTGTCAGTAGTTTCTTCCTTTTTCTCACTGCTCTATGCAATAACAATGGCCGAAAGGGTGCTTTGGCAGTAAACCAACAGTGCCGGAGTGAGTAATGAGCCTGGTACCTTGGCATTCTGATCTTGACAGTATCCAGAACTTGCTTTAAGACATGGGATGAATCTTGTTCCAGTCTGTGCCATCTGTGTAATGCCTCCTTCCTAGCAGGTTAAAGCTCAGTGTGTGCTAAAGACGTTGAGGATGAGTGAAAAGTTATTCTTGTTGATGCCAGTGCATTGGCACAAGGACTAGCCTTTGTCTTCTTATTATAATACAGTATAAAATTTAGACTCGGACTGTAGTAATCCACGTGAAGCATCTGACACACACCAGGAAAACCTGACTTCAGGCCAAAAGAATATTCTGAGATGGAGTCTAAGAACTGTAGGCTCGTTGGAATGTGTATTCCTCCCCCATGCGCCCATGGCTCTGTCACCCCAGCAGCAGATGGAAGAATGGAGAACAGGGCATTGTCTGTGTGCACAGCTGGGGTGTTGTGCATGCTATATCTATGGGTAGAGAATCTGTGACACCATGTGTACCCAAGTCAGACATGAGGGAACTCAGCTTTCTGAATGGGAAATTTAATAAAGGTCAGTTATTTTTCTCTTCTGTGTGAGCTTGAAGTGGGTGTTATGAAGCACCCACTTTTTTTTTTTTCTTATCCTCACCTGAGGACATTTTTTCTATTTTTTGTTCAGATGGAGTGTGGGAGGGAGAGAGAGAGAGAGAGAAACATCGACGTGAAAGGGACATGTCGAGTGGTTGCCACCCACACGACCCAACCAGGGCCGGGGACAAACTGCAACCGAGGTACGCGCCCTTAGCGGGAACCGAACCCGGGTCTCTCAGGACCGCAGGCCGACGCTCTAACCGCTGAGCCAAACCGGCCAGGGCAGCACCCACTTTTTTTTAGGCCTTCTCTAGTGTCTCGGGGTGAGGAGATATCAGCTGGTAAAGGGTTAAAGGGCTGTCAACTCATGTCATCACACATCTGGATGGGCTATCATTAAATTCTTATAAAAATTTGATTTCCTCTGGGAAAGTTTCATCAAACATTTATATAACCCAGAAATGGCCACGGGAACCTGGTGTGGCCACAGAACTCAGCAGAAGCCTCAGAAAGCATACTTTGTGCCCACTGTGAGCAAAATGATGTCTGCCTCGACTCATGTGGAGTCTCTTGAGAGTAGGGGTGAAATACAGGAGAGGGAAAAAGTAGGTTTACAGTTGTTCATATGGAAAATAATACAAAAATTAATAAATGATAATACGATAAACTGTATTTCACATACTCAGAACTATAAACCTACCTTTGCCCCACCCTGTATTCAGATCTTGTTCCCTGACCTTGCCAGAAATTGCTTACTTGCTAATGCCTCAGTTTCCGGCGGTTCCCTTGCAGATATGTGGATAGCCAAGGTTCTGGAAAACCTAGTTCACATCTCCTTGGCTAGCTGGAGGTGCAGAGGAGCCAAAGGGCACGTTGTGAGTCAGACCCCTCACTCACTGGCACACAGAAGCTATAGAACAGTAGAAGCTATAATAGAGGCAGTAGACTGGCCCAAGTAGGCGCTCTGTCTCCCATAGGCCCATACAGAGTGAGCAACACAGAAAGCTTCAATGGCTACATCTACCCACTTGACAGATTAGTATGCAGCCTAAGTGGGTAATTTTCTGAGAGCCTGGAATCTGCACTCCTGGCTTCAGTCAATCCATTGATGTTTATTAAATGCCTACCAGGAGCAGCACCTCACAGTGAGGGATTCAAAAGTGAAGTAACAGCCCTGGCCGGTTTGGCTCAGCGGTTAGAGCGTCAACCTGCGGTCCGGAGAGACCCGGGTTCGGTTCCCGCTAAGGGCACGTACCTCGGTTGCAGTTTGTCCTTGGCCCTGGTTGGGTCGTGTGGGTGGCAACCACTCGATGTGTCGCTTTCACGTCGATGTTCCTCTCTCTCTCTTTCCCTCTCACTCTGTCTGAACAAAATATCGAAAAATGTCCTCGGGTGAGGATAAAAAAAAAAAGTGAAGTAACATACTGGCTAAAGCCCTCTTTGAAGCTTGTCTTCTGGTGGGGGTGATACGAAATGGCAAGTCCCAGAATGAGGGAGTGTACTCTGTGTCACGTGAGGGCTGCTAATGAATGTGGTTCTGAGTGCAGGCCAAAGTCAATACAAGCCAGGGTTGTAGGGCTGCTTGGCTTCCCAGAGGCTGGGTATTTGATTTGGATCTTGAAGACTGGGTCCAATTGCAACAGGTGAGAGGAGTGGGAAGCATTTCGAGAAGAGAAAATGCTAGGAGCTGAAGAGCAGAGGTAGTGAATTTTGGGATATTGATGACTAGTATTTAAGTGTCTGCATAGGGCCAGATATATGTAAGAATATTGCCTGTTATCGGCCTCACAACAACCTGTGGGGCTAGTGTTTCCTCATTTGAGGCTCAGAGATGTTAAGTAGCTTGCTCATACTTACATGGCTAACTTGAGGCCTATGGTTTCCTAATACACTGCCCTAAACAGAAAAACAGAGTATGTCATTGGATTAGAACAGAAGGGTTTGAAGAAAAAACTAGAGGGAAATTATGTTAAATGGTCAGACTGAAGAGATTACGATTCATTTTGGCCATTGACCTTACTCGGGTTATTTAACTTCACTTAGTAAACACAGAGGCATTTAAAAATTTTCCAAATTGAGGAAGGTGGTCTTTAATTTAGGAAAAAAGTGAGAGCGATTATAGGCTCATCAGTGGGAGAGGTGCGCAATGGTCAGGGTATGAATTAGGACAGAGGTGGTGAGAATGGAGAGAAAAAAAGGGGAGTCGGCAAAACCATGTAAAAGTTTGCGAAGGGCACCCTTCCTCCCCCTAAATTATCTTCTGCATTAAAAACTTTCACCCCCACCCCACACACTTGCTCCTCCCTGTGGGTAGGTACTCCTGTTCATTAGACTTGCAGGCATGAGGAGGGCTTGCAGGTTGAAGGGTAGCCTGGCCAAACCAGCAGGACTGCTGGAGGAGGAAGGGCTCTGGCTCGAGCAGCCTCCCAATCAGCCGCTTTTGTCTCGCGTCCATTTGTTCTCCCCTCTCAAATGAACTTAATGCCTCTCTATCCTCCACCTCTAGTTAAGCTGTAACTGCTGTTCTTCCACTGCAGCCAGGCACCTGCCAGAGCCTTTTGGCACTGAACCCGGAGCCCAGCCTGACAGGCACTCTGTTGCTGAGCTTCTTGTCAGATGCTGGGAGGAAGAGGCATGTCACATGCTTTTTCTTTCTCAGTGGTGGCTGCTCCCACTGTGATCGGGATGAAGGGGATGAAGGGAAAAGGCTGGGGGAAGAGTTCATTTGATGCCTGCTTATGGAATGAAATGGCATTCAGGCAAATGGTCTTACTCTATCCATGATCCTTCTCTGATGTGTCTTCTCGGATTTTGGATCTCAAAGCTGCTTAAGCAATAGAAGGGATAATGGACGATCAGGGAATAAGGATCTCTGGGTCTTTGGGGAGGGATGGAGAAGATTGTCATGAAGTTACAGAATGCCATTGCTGCAAACGGCCTTAGGGATTATATTTTGTCTAAGTATTTCCAGACTTTTTCTCTAGCAAAAAGAATTATTTCTTCAAACCAGACCTTACAGAGAATCCCAATTTATTAAATAGATAAAAGAGCAGAGCTGGTTCAATTAAGCAGGGGTAGGAGGCTCCAAGTGTTGCTAGTTGGGCTGCCCTTTTACCCCTTCTCAAGGGCAGCCTGAGAAGGTTCTGGCACAGGACCAGAGCTCTGGTCTGCAGCTAGAAAACCACTGACTTGGCCAGATCTGATCATTTTACGGTTGAGGAAACAGGTTCAGGGATGGGAATGGCTTTTCCAAGGTTGCTGACTCACTATTCAGTGGGGTTTTTTGTTTGTTTTTTTTTTAGTGTTTTTATTTGATTTTTAGACAGAGGGGAAGGAAGAGGGAAAGATAGAAACATCAGTGAGAGAGAAACATTGATTGGCTGCCTCCTGCACGCCCCCTACTGGGGATCGAACCTGCAACCCAGGCATGTGCCCTGACTAGGAATCGGATCCCTCAGTGCATGAGTCAGTGCTCAGCCACTGAACCACACCGGCCGGGCATCCACTGGTTTTTTTAATACTGTTGTCTCATTCATCCTTTATTTTTCCATTTTGCTTTAAAAAATCAGATCCATTACATGAATTTTCCCACTAAGACTTATGTTTAGATATTTTGGGCCTGATAAATGCTGTTTCTATAGGGCAGGAGCTTTAGTGCTGAAAATCTGAAGCTTAAGGCTTATTGTAGAATGTTGGGAGTGGGTGGGAGTGATGACTGACAGAGTCATCTGCTCCCCCAGTCTCTTCTTCTCCCACCTAGAGTTTCGAGTTCATGTAATTAACTGTTCTTGCAACACTTCTAACTTCTGAACTCTGAATGTGGAAATGGCCTGGCTTGGTTGGTATGTAGTGACTTAACCACAGTAGCCCTCAGGGAGTGGCAGGCTATATTTTTGTTATTGAGTTCTGTTTTAATGGTATTCCCAGAGAAACCCGAAAATATGAGAGGATTCCCTTTAACCCTCAACTCTTCTCATGTTTACTGACTAGCACTGTACAGTGCATTGTTAAATTCTTTTATTTTGTCCTAATGACTCCTCTTTCTTCTGAGCACCTCACAGTCCTCTGAGGTACGTTTTACCATGGAAATGGGAGTCAAGAACAGAAATTTCACCCAGGTAGTCAGAACGTCAACCTTCTTCCCGCTGCAGTCAGTCTCATGGACATGGTCAGATCTGCTCTGGGGCCAGTCGTGGGGCTGTCCACGTCTGCTCACGCGCTCTCCTTTCCACAGCAGTGTTGTGACCTAGGCTACCATGCCAGCCTGAACCGAGCACTGCGCACCTTCCTCTCTGCCGAGCTGAATCTGGAACAGTCGAAGCACGAGGGTCTGGATGCCATCGAGAATGCCGTAGAAAACCTGGATGCCACTAGTGACAAGCAGCGCCTCATGGAGATGTACAACAATGTCTTTTGCCCACCTATGAAGTTTGAGTTCCAGCCACACATGGGGGACATGGTGAGGCCCTCTTCCCCTTCCCACACTCCAAGGGGCTTGAGCTCAAGATTCAGTGTGTCTAGATTCAGTACACTAAGGCCACGTTATTCTGGGGTGAGTGGGGCCTGGGGCTTCCTGTCAGGTGAGTGAGGCACACTCCATTTATTCAGCAAACAGCTACTGAGTGCCTCCTGCCCTCTAGCCTTGACTGTGGACATTGGGGATTAGAGCCCTTGGGAGCTGACATTCTGGGGAGTTGAGAGAATTAGAAATATTCATAGGAAGAGGCACCCAAAGGGACCAGCAGGATCAAAGGAGTGAAAAACAGCAGGTGCGTTCTGAAAACTATGAACAGTTTGGTAATGGTAAAAGGAAAGGGGGGGGGGGGGGTCCAATCCGTGAGGTTGGGAGAAGTGAGAGCTGAGATGGGCCAGATACTAAAGGCTTTATGGGGAGGGAGGGCTAAGCAGAGTAATGATGTGATTTGTCATTTGGCAGAGTTCTGAAGGATCTCATTCTCCTAGGTTTAGAAGATCGCAGTAAAAGACGTAGTTTTGCTTGCGTATTGAACAAGGAAGAATGAGTACCTACAGAAAGGACAGGGGCTAAGATGTTATCCGAAGGCCAGTGTCGGCTGTCCAGGCAGGGGAGCATGAACATGGGGCCATGTTCTGGACTTTTTACCTTCAGTGACTAAAACAAGAAGGGTCTGAATAATAAAGTTAGAGGAAAGAGACGCTTCTTGGCTTCCATTATTGTGAATCTTTTGGTTCCACTTCTGGTGGTTGTGCCCACAAATCAGACTGAACCTTATCCCTGTGGGGAGGAGCCACCATTTGAACCTACTGCTTAAACCGAAAGGAGGATGTAGAGGCTTATGTAATAAAACTCTGATGGAACCATCGGGCATGGCTGGGTTTAGGAGTGAGAATTTCATGAAGACTCGGTTTTTCTCCCTCTGCTCCTTGTCCTATGTGTTGGCCCTGGTCTCAGACAGGCTCTTTCCCTGTGGGGGCACGATGACTCTCTTCCAGCCTTATCTTTTTCTGGGTTGAAATCCAGTGGAAAGGGTATCTGCTTACCTTCTAGAAGCTCCCACAAAAGTCTCATAGTGTCTTCTTGGTTCTGGTTGGGTGACTTGCTTATCCCTGAGTCAATCAATGTGGCTAGGTATTTGCAGTCAGCTGACTGACTTATGCCTCAGTCACATGCTCTGTCCCCTTGTTGAGGAGAGCCCCCATCCAAAACACATGGCCTGAGTTGTGGAGTGGGAGGTTCCCCTGGAGGGCAGTGAGGCCAAAATTACCAGAAGGAGGGATGGATGCTAGGTGACCAAAAACAAGAATGTCCTCTCAGCAAGGGCTCGGTGCTTCCGTTAGAATTAGCATCCAGACCTCTTTAGTAAGCCCTGCTCCAGAATGACAGCTGTTGGCAGTGTAACCAGAGGATTTATTGTCATCAATAGGCCACTGTGGAGAGGGGGACATTTCTATCTTAAAGACAGAAATGTGGAGATGATTTCTTTCCTCTCCTTTTTTGGGAAAACCAAACCATTTACAGTTTGTTTCCATTGCTGTGGCTTAGGAAATGTCAGCGTCTGAACAGATGGGGAAGTGCGATGGCAGCATGTGCAATTAGAGGAGGGGAAGGAGTGTCACCAAACCCCAGGAAGCCCCATTCCTCACCTGCCCTGGCTTCTCGCCTTCCGAGCCCCTTCTCCAGCTGCCACTGAGATTTCTTCCCAAGAATCGGTGGAACTTGGGGACTAGCTGAGTGGAGTGATACATTTTCTGGTATTGACTGAGTCTCCTTCTGAGCCAAACAGCTTGTCTCCATAAAGGGGGAATCCAAATGCTGGGTGCTCGGGCCCCCTCCTAGCCCTGTCAGAGCCTCATTTCCATACTCCAGAGTACAGCTGGAATGCATTACCTTGCACCCCGGTAGAGGACCACTGCCAAAGCATGCATCAGCAGCCCTGCTCCTTCTTAAAGGAACAGGCATGGAGGTGGCTTTCTCTCCATGACTCCTCCCTGCTAGGTTTGGATTACTTTAAAAAATCAATAGTGTACTCTTCTGCCTAGGCCTTTCCTTTATGCGATGTAGCTGGTCAGTGGCTGAGTCAAGCAGGGGCCAGGGCCAGGGCCCTAGATCTTGCAAAGGTTCCGCATTCCAGTCTAGCCTTTATATTGAGTGGAAAATAAAAAGAGGAGAGGGCGAGTCTTTCTTGGTCCCTGCAGCTAGTCTATCCCCATCAGTGTGGGTTGTCTGTAGACTATAGAGGCAACAAGAGGGAGCTGCCTGGAAGTCTTTGAACTTGGGCCAAAGTTCGGGTGGCATTTTGACCGGAAGTCCTGAAATTGGCCAAGGCCCCACACTGACCAGTTTTCCGGGGCGCTCGGCTCATGAATTGATGCCAAGCACTCTCAGATGTACTAGGAGGAGGTGCTTGGCTCTACTCCTGGTGCCCCCAGGGGCTAGTGGGGCTCTGGATGCCTGACCGGTGACATCAGGCAGCCAGAGAATTTCACTCTTGGCGCTAACCCATCCTGGCCACCGAGCTTTCTCCATTGTGTCTGCTTATACCAGAGCCAGAGTGAAGTCAGCTCTCTTCAGATCTGAGAGCTGGCTCAGGCCAGCCTCTCAGATGGGGGAGGAGGTCAAGTTAGTTGGGAGCTTAAAAGCCAATGGAGGAAAAGGTCAAGTCCCAGCCCCCTCCATTTGAAGAGAAGTTTTGTCTTTCTAAGCAAGAGAATAGTCTGTGGGCTTGTGGATGTGCCCACTCGTTGCTGGGGAAGAAAGGCCAGTTCTGTCCAGATGTGTCTTCGTAGATGAGAAGCTAAGGGACACATGGTGGCAAGGTGACAGGAGCTGCCTCCATACATCTCCTTCCTCCCAATCTGCCAGCCTTCTGTTCCTAATCTGTCATCCTGAGGACTGTGGGTGACCTCATGCCCATGCCATAGCCATGCCATCATCAGGAGACAGTAGCTCACCCATTCCTTTACACAGGGGAAAGCTTACTGACAACGATCCTTGGGGTAAGGGTGGACTTCTCTCCCACACTTCTGGTGAAGACCTGGGGTAAAATGATGGGTCTTTGAAAATGCCAAGTTTTGCCAGATTCCATGCCCTCTGCGGCCCTCTACCATAGCCTGTGGACTTGTTTCTGGCCTTACACTTTCTCTAATTGGGTCAGAGCTCTCTTGCCTGGCACAGATTTATAAACACATACTGACTGCCAACAGCGGCAAGTTAGCCTCCTGACCCACTTCTCTCCTGCTTTTACTCTGGTGTACAAAGGGGGATGAAGGAGGTGCCAGAGAGGTGGCCACTTGGACCTCTAGCAGGAAATCCTCCCTGTGCCAAAGCATTGTGTATCTGGAGCTGGGGCTGCCCAAGGCAGTCTTCTCTGGCCTAAGTCTGGCTTCCATGGAGCCACAGACCCTGTGTAGACCTGCCTCTGCCAAACACTAGTCTAGAGATGAGCTTAATGGAGACCTGGTCTTTCCAAATGGGTTTCTCTCCTCATTCTTTTCTTGTGCTATCTGGTCCTGGAAGAGATCCACACACTTTGGCTTTGGATTTTGTTTTAACATAGAAACCGTGAGCCTTACAGCTTGAATAATGTAGTTTTATTAGGAGTAATGGGACTCTGGAACTGCCAAAAGTATGGTGTCCTCTTTCTGACCTGGTGTTACTTGCTTCCGGCAGGCTTCTCAGCTCTGTGCCCAGCAGCCTGTCCAGAGTGAGCTGGTACAGAGATGCCAACAACTGCAGTCTCGCTTATCCACCCTGAAGATTGAGAATGAAGAGGTAAGTTTCCTGCTTAAGAGACTCAGCCACCTTCTGCATTTCCCTGTTGAACTTGTTGCCGCCTATCTTGGAGCGGTGGAAGGAGCATGCAGAGAATGTCCGGGCTGCCGCAAACATTTCCTAGCCAAATGTAGGCTTGGATTTTCCCCCTCTGCTACATCCTGCCCTTGAACTCCAGGAAGTTGCTCTTGCATTGCCAAAGGTTGAGCTCTATTTTGAGCTTTTGCAAAATGCTTTCTTTCCCCCTCTACGCATTTAATCAAAATGGCACTTGGCAGCTGAGTGAACAATATTGTGTCTCTGAAACCACTCCCTCCTGCCTGGCTTTTTCCAGCATTTTCAAACAGAGGCTTTTGACTTTGACGCTTCAAACATCTCTGTCCTTTAGAAAAGGATGACTTTCTCCTGGGCCCAGTGTATATGCTTTCAACAACCAATTCAGAAGGGCAGTGTGATTGATTATCAGAGCTCCTGTCTTTTGAGCTCACAGAACTTCTTACCTGGCATCTTAGTAAGGCTTACTTTCCCCAGGAAGATTAGGAAGGACTGTGAGGATGAGTCACAGTGGGAAACAAGTTCATTAATTTGTTGAAGGTCATGAAATAGAACCTGAGGCATTGCAGGACCATGCCCATCACACATTTTATTTAACTAGCTCTTTATATGATGGGATTGGTTTGAATTTTATTCTCTCTCTCTCCCTTAGCACTTTTATTATAGCCAAGGACTAATATTAAATTTAAAAGTAAATATTAAATAAAAGAACTGGATCGAGTATGTAGCATGAAAGGAGGTGGTGGTTTTTAGGTCCTCACTGGAGAGTGTAGCATTTGATACCAGGGTCCATGTGGTGTTTATCACTCACGTAAGCACCATTCCATGGGAAGCAGAGTTGCACCCTCTGACAGCATCCTTCCTCCTTCCTAAGCCCACTGCTTTTTCCCTTCTCCAAGCTCCTATATCACCTGCCCCTCATGCATTATGTTGGCCCTTGTTGTGGCAGGTAAAAAAGACAATGGAAGCCACTCTGCAGACCATCCAGGACATTGTGACTGTCGAGGATTTTGACGTGTCTGACTGCTTCCAGTACAGCAATTCGATGGAGTCCGTCAAGTCCACAGTCTCAGAAACCTTCATGAGCAAGCCCAGCATTGCCAAGAGGAGAGCCAACCAGCAAGAGACAGAGCAGTTCTATTTCACGGTGAGGGAGCTGAATGGCCCTTAACGGTCATCTTTAGGCACTGTAGCATACAAGGAGATTTGAAACTTGGAATCCTTGTCAGTGTCTGAAGGGATCTTTGAATATCCTAGATTTAGACCTGGGTGTATTTGGAAACCACCCGTACACTTAAAGGCACAAACATCTATAAGTTGTATGTGTCTAACAGGGACCCCCAAGAGAAAGGATGCTCCCAAATCCACTAACGAGAAGATTTTTTTTTAACCACTTGGTAGGCTTTTGTTTGAAAGTGGGTTTTGTTTTGTTTTTTCAGTCACAGGGGTTCATAAAAGGGGACTACATCTCTTGGTTCTTAGAAACTACATTAAAATATTGTGGCTGACAGATGTCTTGTTTGTATATTTTTTTATGTTTTCTTAAATTGATTTTTTAGAGACAGGAAGGGAGAGGGAGAGAGAGAAACATCAATGTGAGAGAGAAACATTGATTGTCTGCCTCCTGCTCTCCCCCTACTGGAGATTGGAGCCTGAAACCCCAGCATGTGCACTGACCAGTAATTGAACCAGGACCTTTCAGTCCTTGGGATGATGCTCTAACCACTGAGCAACATCAGGGCATACACACATGTCTTGTTTCTACAGTCTAATCTCTTCTGAGTGGTGTAATGACCTTATTTCATATTTTTTGTTGATGGGAAATTTTTTTCATAATTATTGCTAAAATTCAGAGGGGCAGGCAGTATTGTTGGTTTGCAGAGAATTCCAAAACATTGTATTTTGTTATTCATGTGTCTCCCAGTCTCTTTAAACAGATGCACTCGATTTTTTAAAAAATAGTGTTAGCAGCCCTTTGGAAAGTTGCTGGCTAGTCTTTGGTGCTGCTTTTTAGTAATTAAGTTATTTTGAGTTTGCCAAGTAATTTATTGCCTGGACTAAAATGTATTTCCTAATCGTCTGATGACCAAAAAAGGAGAAATTGAGTTTGCAGATGTGAGATGAAATATAGCCAGTGAATATGCATATTGATTCTGAATGAGAGAAATTAACCTGTTTTTACATGCAGTAAATTGACTTTTTTTTCTCCAACTAGAACAATATATTTAATTCTTCTATGAATACTGCACACTGGTGATGTGCTATCTTTTTAAAAAAGAAATATTTTTTTACTTAGTCAAACTCAGAATTCTTAGGGTTGGTTTTTGTTTTTGTTTTATTTCTTTGGTTCTGAACAAAACTGTTGAAAGGGAGTGATTTAACAGTATTATTCTTTTAAAATAACTTTTTTTCTTGTTATGCAAAGCAACAGGTGCTTGTATAAAATTTTGAAGCAAAAATGAAGAAAATAGCCCTGGCTGGGTTGGCTCAGGGCCCACAGATCAATCATTCGTGGGTTCGATGCCCATCAAGGGCACTTGTCTCAGTTGTGGTTCATCCCCGGCCTTGGTTGGGGTCGTGTGGGAGGCAGCCGGTCGATGTGTCTCTCTCACATGAATGTTTCTCTCTCCCTCCCTCCCACTCTATCTGAAGATAGATGGGAAAATATCCTCGGGGGAGGATTAAAAAAATAATAATAATGAAGAAAATAAAAATCATTCATAATCCCGCTACCTAGAGATACCAGTGTTAGGATGTATGTATAAACAAACACATGTCTAAGCATGCATTTATAATTTTATTACAAAAATGGGTAGGGCTATACATATTGTTTTCTAATCTACTTTTTTTTTACCAAATGTTGAACACTTTTCTAAATCACTTAGTTATAACACTTTTGAGTGAAATACTAAATCTATACAAAGAAATAATGGGAGGACATTTTGGCTCATTCATTAATTTTATAAAATATTTAGCACACTGCCTGGTTTGTAGTTAGTGCTCAGTAAGTAATGAGTATGAATGAAGAGGGGAATGATGGGATTAGGCATATGAAGAGAGAACTTTCATTTCTAAACAGGTATGACAGATTGATTTTTGTGATTAAAAAAGTATATTATGCCCTGGCCAGTTTGGCTCAGCCGTTAGAGCGTGGGCCCATGGACCAAAGAGTCGCGGGTTCAGTCAAGGACACGTACCTCCATTGTGGTTCGGTCCCCAGCCATGGTCTGGGTCATGTGGGAGGCAACCAGTCGATGTGTTTCTAACACATCGATGTTTCTCTCTCTCTCTCTCTCTCTCTCTCTCTCCCCCCTCCTTCTTCCCTCCCACTCTATCTTCAGATAAATGGGAAAATATAAGTATATATAATTTAAAACTGCATACATGCACACTATAGACATTCAAGAGTGGTGACCAGGAAGAATGGAGTTGGGGAAACATCACACACAGAATTACTTTTGTGCTTGATCTTGAAGGATGAGTGAACCAGGTGGTGAATCAAGAGGGAATGGCATTCTTTGAGGAAAGAGCAGCATGTGCAAAAGCATAAACACATGCAAAAACCTGGCTTAGCTATTAAGGGAACTTCTTGACTGTAATGAGGGCCGTGTTGCTGCCCCAAGCTTCGTTATCTCAGGAGGTTGCTGAACACTCTAGAGGCTTTGAATAATAGGATTGTTTGGCTGGTCTGTCTGGACTGCTTAGATATAATAGTACTTAAATGACCCAATCATGTTACACTGAAGAAGATTTCCTTTTTATTATTATTAAATAAGAAATTTTGGACTTAAAAATCTGTATTTAAGATGGTCAGAATTACTTTTGGGCTTTAAATGAATCTACAGTATTTTTATTCAAAGTTGACCTTCAGTGAGAGCAGCATATTCAAACTGGTGACCTCTCAAATCCTGCCCACCCTTTCACCTCTGTCTGCAAAGATGTCCTCTAACCCATTTCCTCTCTTTTGTAGCCGTAGTGCTACTTATCAAAATTATGTGCAAATTTCCTTGGCTAACAGGAACGTTTTTTTTGTCAGGGCTTGTCTAATAACAGATTTACAAGAGAGTTCATTATTTTTGTGACTGGTGCTTGGAATGTGTCAGTTAATTCATTTCATGATAAAAGGGTGTTGGGGGGTGTGGTGCAATGGACATTCATGAAAAGGGGCTGTGCGTGTTAACAGGATGCTGCCTGTGCTCGCCAAACCATGCAAAGCCAACACAGCTGCACATGGCCTTTGTTTTAGTCTGTTGCCTCCGCAGTTGTGGCCATGTGTTTCCCGTTCCCTTCAAAAAGAGCAGAATAGTGCATCCTATAAGCTCTCTTCTCTTAGAAAGTTGGGAGGAGTCCCTTGTGGCTTTGACTCTTAGGTAGTGTGCCAGAGAGCTGCTAGGAAAGCTTTCTGACCACTCTTGGTTGTCATCAGATTGATCTGCTCAGATATTTCGATGGGAAGTTTGAAGCATTTGCAGGAGTCCCAGGAAAATAATCAGGGAATTTTAAAGCTTGAAGTGATTTAAAAAAAAAAAATTTTTATTTACTGATTTTAGAGAGAGAGGAAGGGAGAGAAGAGAGAGAGAAACATCGATGAGAGAGAACATCGATTGGCTGCCTCCTGCATGCCCCCCACTGGGGATTGGGCCCACCACCTGGGCATGTGCCCTGACCAGGAATCAAACTGGCGACCTCCTGGTGCATGGGTCAACACTCAACCACTGAGTGATACCAGCCAGGCTTGAAGTGATTTTTAAATATTAGCTAACCAAGTCTTCTCATTGAAAGAATTTAAATAAATAAATAAATAAAGAGGATGGGTAGCTTGTCCAAGGAACTCAACAGGAGCTGAAACTAGAACTCTTGTTCCTGTTGCCTAGTCTTGGGCCACAGGCTTTTCCTAGTCACCCTGTTAAGAAGTTGGTTGAGGGAAAGGCTTAGAAACAGCTCAGCAGCATCCTCCTCTTCTTTGCTCTAACTGAGGAGACGTGTCCTAATTTCCTTGTCTTTGTGTCATTTGTCTTCTATCACATACAATCCCACAATGTCTACTTTTCCCCCATTGCCTTTTTTACTGTGATTGCCAAAACATAGATTTTTTTAAATATGCAAAAATTTCAAAATAGCATACAGAAAAAAGTCAAGCCCTCACATACCCTCCCTCCTGCCCAGTGATTGAAACAAGTTTATTCTGTCTTTCCAGAGTTAACTTATGCATAAATACCACTGACCTATTTTAAAATACAATAAAATTGCATTACAAATGTAATAAAATCAAAATAAATAGAAATACAAGCAGAAGTATGCTACTTATACTGTTTTGTTTTTTTACTTAAGTTAATTTTCAGATATTATTCTATTAGTCCCAAAAGACCTGCCTCCTTTTTAAATTAATTAATTAGTTAATTAATTTTATTGATTATAGAGGTGAAGGGAGAGAGAAATTTGTTATTCTACTTATTTATGCATTCGTTGGTTGATTCTTTATGTGCCCTGATGGGATTGAACCTGCATCCTTGGTTTATCAGGACAATGCTCTAACCAACTGAGCTACCCAGCCAGGGCCCAGACCTGCCTCCTTTTTTTTTTTTTTTCTTTTGGTACTTGCCCCTAGTGAGAACCAAACCCGGGACTCTCTGGTCCTTAGGCCGATGCTCTAACCGCGGAGCCAAACCGGCCAGGGCTGGGCCAGCCTTTTTTATCAGGTATGCAAAATCCCACTGTATAGATGGATGCACCATCACGTATTTAAACCCCTACTCATAGACAATAAGGCTCACTGGTTAGCCACGGATTGCCAAAGCCTGTAAGGCTGGCATTTCTTTTTTTTTTTTTTTAATCCTCACCCGAGGATATTTTTCCATTTTTTGTACAGATAGAATAGGAGGGAGAGAGAGAGAGAAACATCGACGTGAAGGGACACATCGAGTGGCTGCCACCCGCACGACCAACCAGGGCCGGGGACAAACTGCAACCGAAGTACATGCCCTTAGCGGGAACCGAACCCGGGTCTCTCTGGACCGCAGGCCGACGTTCTAACCGCTGAGCCAAACCGGCCAGGGCCGGCTGGCATTTCTTCTGAGTACTTTCTTTTTTGGAGGTTGGAGTGGGGAAAGGATTGAGGATCACAGCTGATAAAATAAACAAGACTAGACTGTCTGAATTCTTGGGGACTGATCTGGTAAGGTAATAGGAGAGGAGCTGCCTTGGACACTGGGGCAGTGCTGTAGGTCCAGACTTGGACCTGGTGGTCTGAGATCTTTTTTATCTTGGTATTCTCCTGCAGGCATTCAGTAGTGTGTGCTAAGCAGGTACAAATGAATGCCCCTGCCCTGTCAACTAAAGTGAGGGGATGTGCTCCCATTTAAAGGTTTGCTGTATTATTTATACAATCTGACAGCTGTTTCCTGCTTTTAAAATTCACAGGGAGGAGGGAAAATGTGAGTGAGCCTGGATGGTGGGGAAGCAGCCACTAGAGTGACATCTGTGTATCTCTACGCATGGGGCTGGCTGGGCATAGTTCACTCCTCCCACACATCCTACCCCCTTGCAGCAGTGGGTGCTTATGGCCCTGGCTTCACACAGATTAAATCCAAGGCATAAGGCCATAAGATCCATGCATTTTTGTACCGCCATGGTAAGCGTATTTAAAGGGAAGAGGTATTTAAAATTAAATTTGCGAAGCAATCTTGTGCCTCTTTTTTAAAAGACTAGATACCTTCTTTGATTCCTCTTAGGTATTAGCACAAAGCACAGAAGTTGAGGGAATAATGGTTTTTGGGGTAACTGAGCAGATGATTCAAGTATAAGGAACACTTTTGCATACCTGCTAGTTTCTGGGTCCTGTGCCAATAATCACAGTCATACTTGTTATCCTGTTTCATCTTCAGCAACCTTGTGAAAAAGATACTGTTATCCCCAGTTATCAGGGAGGGAAACTAAGACTCTGGGGATTAAGCGATTTGCTCAAGGTTAGGAGACTTAGTAAATGGTAGGACTAGCATATTCCAAAAGGCTTTTCCATTTTACTGCAACCAAAATGTCAGGAAGGGAGGGCTCAGAGGGAAACATTAGTATACTGCTACTTTTCAATAAATAAAACTCATTGCTAACAGTTGATAACTAATTAGAAAGTTATTGAGAAATAAATTGAGATCATAAAAACAATGGAAGGTTCGCCATGGCAAAAATCAAAACCACCCACTCAACTCTCTGCCGGCCCTCCTACTTTTTGAATAAATTCTCAGTTTTGATCACATTGAGTGTATATTAGGGGGAGGGTGTGGCATTGGTTAGACTATGTTTAGGAATTTGATTTGATTTTGGTGACCTAGAATAGAACACTGCCCTTGTTTTCTCCTCCATTGAGGAAAACACCAGGTCATCCCTTTATTATTGGATGTTTATTGAGGGGAACAGGGTACAGGGAGTGAAAAGAAAAACAATTACCTAATATTGGAATATGCTTTAAATAAGGAAAGTGACCTTATTGTCTGAGGAAAGGATTCTGAGATGACACATAAATAGTTCTTTTCCTGGCCCCCTGGTCTGCAGAAATAATTGAAAAGCCACCCATTCCTCCCTCGCCTTCAGCTGTCTGGGCTCTTCTCTCATGTGTGTCTGGTCAGCAGCGACTGAAGGTTCTAACTCAGCTGTACAGGAAAAGGGAAGTTACTTCTCTAGCTCCTCTCCCATAAGGCCATAAGGTCCATGCATGCTGGCTGTGGGTGGGACAGAGAAGTGATAAATAGCATACCTAGGGACTCTAGCATGCTTTATCTTTCCATACCTGGCTTACCTAGATGGAAAACTCCAACCTTGTTCCCCCTCTTAGGGATGCAGGTCACACCTTGACGCGGTTTCAATCCTTCAGGATTTAATGGAACCCAAAAAGGGAATCCATCATGCCTCTTATCAGGTTGTCATTTATTTTAATGGTTCACCAAGTGACAGCCAGAGTTAACTAGTGAACTGTGAACATAAATGAAAAAAAAGATTTCCGGAATCACAAGTAGAAACACGAGTGAGAGGAAGGAGTTTGCATCCATCACCTTCTAGAATTTTGGCTGTTTTCTGAGCAGTCTGGTCGTGTTTTTAAGGGTTACAGTTTCTTGGTAAATTTTTCCTCATTAGGAAACTGCTAGAGTCTCCTGGGATAACCTTCCAAAGAGGATTTGAGGATTCAGATGTTAGCGGTGGGTGTTTCCCTGCAGGTTTTTCACCTCTGGGGCCTGAAGTAGGTTCCAAACCTCACAATTAGGCATTGGTAGGGGATTAGCTATCACCCAGGGAAGACTGGGGGCAAGTGAGCTGGCAGCTGGAGCAGATGGAAAGGGGAAGGTGACAAAGAAGTCTGTTTTTATGCAGATGCTCTCGAGCGCAAAGGAACGGAGGAAACAGAAATGATTTGCTATAGAGTTTAGAGAGTAGGGGCACACGTGGAGGCTTACTTTATGATTGCTGCAGAAGGTTCTGTCTAGAAGAGAGTGAGACTATCGTTTATTTACTCATACTTAATGCATTTATTGAATGTCTACTATCTCCTGGGCACAGTACTAAGCATCAGGGATGCCAAGAATATTGCATGCATGGTCCCTGGCTAAGGAGGAGGCAGTCTAGAGAGAAGGACACCAGTAATAAACCCTGCACGACAGGGCTGTGTGAGAAGTGCTGTCGTGGAGGTTGGCAGAGGTCTGCCCAGGAGCATCCGGTGAGCATGGGAGGGCCTTCCACAGAAAGCGGGCTTTTTTCTTTGTCTTCACATGAGAGAGGGAGAGAGAGAAGAGAAGTACCCTCTTGGTTAAAAGTTCACACTATACAGAAAGGTACAGAGTAAGAGCAGCTCACATTTTTCACCTTTTCTATCTGTCTGCATCCTAAGTGGTACTAGCCATAAAATCAAAGTCTTGACGTATAATCATACTTTTTGCTTCATACATTAAAAGAAAGACAGAACCAGTATAATTTAAAATGTTTTATTCACATAGCCCCTCCGACATCTCACAGATCACCAGTGATTCACAGATCCCATTCGGGAAACACTGTCATGTTGCCTCTGTGATTAGACATATGTAGCTGGCCCAGCCTGGCAGATGAACTATTGCAGCAGAAGCCCACCAAGGCAAACAGATCCCTTGAGCAGCTGTACGGGAGAGTGGGAAAGACACTGAGTTCAGAGGCTAAAGGCCTGGGTTCCAGGCCTGGCAGTTCCACTGACTGGTCGCACCCTCTTATCCGAGATCATCTCTTTATCTGTAATCAGAAAATAATGATGCCCTCCCTGACATGCTGCACAGAGTTAATGCGAGAGTCAAATGAGAGAATGTGTGCTAAATTGTTCTAAAAACTCTTAACTTGCTACACATGTATACAAAAAATTAATCCTGTGCAATTTTGTTCTTCTTTTCCTGCTTGATACCATAATGGGAGCATGTTACCATAACGGTTAAGAGCACACACTGTATTGTCAAACTACATATGTTTGGATACGGGCTCTACCACTCACTGTCTGACCTTAAACAATTTTCTTAATCTTTCCAAATCTCAGTGCCCTCATTCATAAAATGGGGATAATGATATTAATAGCTCATAGGGTTGTTTTGAAGATTTGATGAATTGCCCAGGGAAATCGCGTCTCTCACTGGGCATACAAGGGTTGAGCGGTCAAATCAGAAGATGCAGCGCAGCTATCATATTTTGACTGTTAGAGAAATGGAATTGCATTTCCATAACCTCGTCTTGTGTTTGGAACTGCCGGGATGTGCATATGCATGTGGGGGGCGACGCCCTGCTCTTGAGCGCACAGAAATCCCAGGCTCTCCACAAAGACTCCATGCAGAATGGAGGAGGAGGCTGATTAAGATCAGCTCAGACAAAGATGCTGTGCATGCTGCGCTTGCAGCTGGGGCTGGTGCAGGGGCTGAGCCTGTCATTGGCATTGCTCCTGTGTGATGGAATGCACCCTGCTGGGGGGTCAGGGGTGGGGTGCAGGGCTGGATGTCCGTGAAGGTGACCAGTGGCAGATCTTTGTCCTCACACCAAGAAGACTGAGGCTCAGTCAGTCCTCCACCCCCCTGTTCCTCAGTGGAACTGAAAGAGATGAATGAGGGGCTCTAGGACACAGTTTCTTACACTGGCCAATGTGGAGCTCCCATTAAAATCAGCAGCTGTCCAGATGCTGAGGGCCGTAAAGAAATAAAAAATGGGCCCTGGCCGGTTTGGCTCAGTGGTTCAAGTGTCGGCCTGCGGTCCTGAGAGACCCGGGTTCGGTTCCTGCTAAGGGCATGTACTCGGTTGCAGTTTGTCCCCGGCTCTGGTCAGTCGTGCGGGTGGCAGCCACTCGATGTGTTCCTTTTACATCAATATTTCTCTCTCTCTGTTCCTCTTTCTCCCTCCCACTCTACCTGAACAAAAAATGGAAAAATGTCCTCGGGTGAGGATAAAAAAAAAACAAAAAAAGAAATAAAAAATGAACCTGGTAGAAATTGGGTCAGAAACTAAATGCCCTCTTGAAAAGGGATCTATACAGCTGTATATCTGTGGGGTTTTTGTTTTTATTTTTTTGTCTTGAGGACTCTGATTGCTCTTTCTCCTCCTCCTTCCCTACAGAAAATGAAGGAATACCTGGAGGGCAGGAACCTCATCACCAAGCTACAAGCCAAGCACGACCTTCTCCAGAAAACCCTGGGAGAAAGTGAGTGTGGGGGCTGCTAGATGTTTGGCATTGAGGGGACGGCCAGGCCCTGGGTTTTGCTGAGCCTCCACCCTAAACCAAGTGAGCCTGATCTGGTTACATGAATGCATTTTTTTTTTCTAGCCTGTGTGATGTGGAGGCACACTCCCCAGATGACTGCTTGAGTAATGGGAAAAGGCTAGTGCTTAATGAAGCGCTAATGTGCGTCATCTATTTGTTTAAATGGAGCGTGCCTGCTCTTCACCCAGTCCCCGTCCTGCGCCTCCTCTGCCATGACTGGGTAAAGGGGCCCATGAGCTATTTACTCTCCACATACTTTGTGAAAACTCTCAGCTCCTCTATGGCAGGACTGAGGCTGGAGCAAGAAGCTATGGAGCTGGGAGATGAGCTTACCCAGCTGCTCGACGGGAGGGGAGGGGAGAGGATTTTCAAAGGCACAGGTGAGGGACAGCCGACTGCTTCCTGTAGCATCACGGTAGAGCATTGGTTTCCTTCTGCTTTGAGCAGTGCTGATGCTACATGGCAGCCCTCTCTCTGCCTTGGCCATGCTGAGGCCAAGGTGCTGAATGGACTATCTGGTCTCATAGTATGATTTTAACCAGACCCTGGGAAGTAGCAAGGCAGAGAACGGGACTGGCACTCTGGACTTTTTCTCCTCATCTGTCAAACAGAAGGCGAAGGTTGAAAGAGAAGCTTCCCTGGGGTTCTTGGCACCCTGCCCAGGTCTCTCATCATCCTCTGATTAATGGGATTCCCAGGTTGGGGATGCCTCTGAATGCTGGCCCCTCCTCCCTACCCCACTAATCTCGCTTAAAGATGGGAAATGGAAGCCTACAGGGCATATGTGGTAACACCAGTGAAAGGCCAGCCTGCACCGACACAAAGGTCTAGCATCGTAGAATCCACTCTTCAGACCCTGCGGAGAATGGGAAAGTGTGCACTATTCATTGGCTCATTGGCCTCAGACTCAGCTCTGCTTGCCACACCAGACCCTCCTACCCACCCTTCTTGCCCTGTCCTTCTGCCCTGATGATTCCCCCAGATAATTATTTTATCTCAGAGGTCTTTGATCTTGTGATTGGGGAGGGGGGTGTTTTGTTTTATGTGAAGAAAGCCTGTTAAGTAACTTCTGTTCTCTTTACTCCCCACCACGCAAGAGACTCGTGTTGAACAGGTTTGGGCACAGGGATTCAAACTTTGCTTATAGAAAATCTTTACTCTTGGGTGTTCAGATTGCTCCATGGGGGTGCAGAGGAAAGAAAACCCAGAACTATTTGAAGCAAGTTTATAACCATGATTTGTTTTTGCCAAGATAATGGAAGCATAGCCCATAAGTGAGATGGGGAACAGGGCCTGGTGGGTGTGGGGGAGCCTGTGTGAGAGAGAATGGGTTTGCGCGCGCGCACGCACACGCACCAAATGTGCTACCGTGGAGGGGCAGAGGTTGGTGACCATTCATTAGTACTGCAAATTGCCTTCATCTGAATATGACAAGTTCCAGCAATAAGAGAAAAAATAGCTGTAGATCTTCCTGTGTGCAAGTCATCATGTCCCTGCCTTCTGTATGTATTTGTCACCGTAAAGCAAGAGCCCCTTGTTCTTGACACAGGGGGATAATTGATGTGTATGAATATTCCAGAATGGAAGCGGGCCAGATGTTGAAAATAATGGCTCAGAACAATATTTTTGCAGATGAAAGCTGAGCCTTTGGTAATGAGAGGCTGTTAGGGGTGGGGGTGGGGAGGGTTGCTCAAGATAAACTGAACTGTAATCAACAATTAGCAACCTTTAAAGGCAAGAAAAGCACTGCTTTCTCTCAGCTCTTGGAGTTGCCTTTCCAGAAGCACAGATGAGGAGTATGGGAGCTTATCCACTTGGCACCTGCTTGGGTTTTCCCTGGTTTAACTAATATAGTCTAATACAGACCAATTTTGGTTAACTGTGGACCCAAAGAAAGCAACATAGATTATATCATAGCCCATGCACACATGCATATGTATTTTTTAAAAACAGGACCATCTCTTAAGAACATTGAGATTTTTTTATTTCTTTTTTAAAGGTGGCTGTGACCCATTAAAAGTAATATTAGGGTCCACTATTGAATTGGGAACCATAGTTTTATAGCCGTATCAGCATTAAATCTGATTTTTTTCTTGCCACCCCAGCCCAACCTAATAGGAGAATTTAGTGTGAATTTAAAACTAGAACTTTCATATCTTTGCTGTCCCTTCCTCCTCAACACACACACACACACACACACACACACACACACAGAGCATACACAGAAGTGAAGCTAAATTTCATCTATAAAAAGGTTCTTTTAATTTGTTCTTTAACGTGTGGTCTGCCTTGCTATTGTTCCCCTAAAACCACCCCATTGGAAACAGAGTTGGCAAACCTAAGGTTTAGGGACACCAACAGCCCTGGGCTGAGAACAAGTATCAAAAATAACCCTTGCCCAGAAAGGACCCCTGGGAGTTTTTCTTCTCTTTTGCCTTGAAGTCTGGTCACGCTATGATATAGTGGTGGTTCTCTGGGGAAATGGGCAGACATGGTGACTTATAGAAGCAAATCTCACTCTTTCATCCCTCTGCTTCAACATGTGCTTTTTGCTTTTGTCTTTCCAACAGGTCAGAGAACAGATTGCAGTCTGGCCAGGTAGGTTTGGCTTGGGACAACCCTGGGAAGAGATGGGGAGAGGCCTGTGGGTAGAGAGATCCCAGCCTGGGAAAGCGCCAAGGAGTTGCATTGCAAAGGCATCAGAGGGTTTTGCAAAGGAATGGCCTAGGGCCGAGGTTGCTTTTTCTCTTTGCCTTGCTGACCCTACCTGGCCCCAAATGGAACTAGGGTTTGCTGTGATTTAGGGAAAGATCTTAGCAGAACTGAATGAAGGGAGTTATCATTTGCTGAAATAGTCCCAGAGACTCCCAAAAGCTACTACACTGCAAGGAAAAGAAATGTTCAATTCTGGAGGGAGGATCCTGGTAACTGAACCTTAGCTGCTAGACTTAAACATGTGTGTTTTGGGAAGTCTCTGACCCTGAGAAAGAAGATCAGGAGATAGCATTTGAGCTGAGATGTTTTCGTGCATGGAAAAGATGACAGCCCTTTTAACGACTGTTGTTGGATATTGAAATATTATATTGCATCAGCTTGCCAAACAGCATTGGTAGAAATCTTGGCCTGATGTACAAGTATGCAACACTCTCCACCTTTCCCCACCTTCCTCTTCCTTCCCCACCCCAGCCAAATATTTTCTCTCCCAGTTATGGAGCTGCTATGAAAAAACTTGTGAACTGGCAGAGAGCAAGGCATTCATTCAGCCAGCAGTTCTCAGATGCCTAAAAATGTGCTGATTTAACTGGAGAAGGAGCTTTAATGGGCCGGACTCCTTAGAGACCCTGGGTTAGCCCATTATATCAACCACTTATATCTGCCAACACACACAATAATCATGAGGCCATTTACAATTATAGGCTCGTTATTTAGAAGTAGATTCATTTGGCTTTCATCGTTTTGTCATTGTGGATACAATAAAGATCCCATTAATCTTGATGACTGGAGAGAACCAGGATAATAGAATTCTGTGGAATGTGTCTTCTTGGTGATATTGTCTTAATATACATTGAATTCCCTTATGCTCTTTTATTTCACTGTGTGACATCGGGCCGCTCTATTCCTTCTCTGAACTCCAGTTTCTCATCTGCAAGACAAGAAAGAGCATCCCACTGGATCTGAGGAGCTCTAGGATTCCAAAGAGGTTCATCAGGGGCTGCCTGATGGAAAGGGCAGAGGGAGCTCAATAACCAGGCTCTGGTTCCTCCCTTCACTCAAGTCAAAAGAGCACTGCTCTTCTTGCTTGGAGCACTGTACCTGAGCCACATTCTCTTGGAGAAAGGCCTCTGAGGCTAAACACAGCTTAAAAAGCATTGACCTAGAGGATCACCGACTTTCCTTCCAGTCTGGACACTCTACCCTCTAAACTTCAAAAACATCGCTCCCTCTCTTTTCCCTAGGCATTTCCAAGAGAGACAACTGGAGCCTCCTTTGATGTTGACCAGATATTTTTCACTACACATTGAATCCATTCCCTCCTATTCTGATTTTGAATGGTGGCAGACATTAAAAGCAGAGACCTCTGTATGATTGTGAAAAGAGCTTTAATGAGCTTTATTTGGAAAGTAACTTATTGAGTCTTTTAGCTATTTCTCGGTTTTAGCTGAATAATGTGACTTGTTTCATTAACCACTGAACAGACTATGTTTAATCCCATTTTCTTTTGCCTCCCTTTTGCTGGATGGGTCCTCTCTGATTCTGTGTGGGGTCAACCACAGGCGCAGCTCAACCGTGAGGAAGCAGGTAAGAGCCCAGCAAGAGCCAGGGTGGTCTGGTGTGAAAATGATAACATCCCACAGACATTTATGGAATTCCACTGTACGCAAGACAGACACTTCTGACTTCATACCTGTGTGTGGCATGTTTAATATTATGGCAGCTTCATTGATTTAGCTTGTTTAGCTGGAGTGGCCATGCTCTTTCTGATTTGTTTCTCTTACAGAGTGACATTTGATTTGACTGGCAGATTATGCCAGACCTGCACTTGGCATCTGTCCTTCAGAAGACCATGAGAGACGCCTCACACTTCATACATATGTACCAGTATGGCAGATACTCACAGCAGCTAATTACCTAGACCAGGCACTCTTGCTTAAGTTTGCAGATTTTTGTTTCTAGCGGTGTGGTCATCCTAGGTATATTTCTAAGACATTCTAAATATGCAAAGAGAAGTCTGGTCTAGGATTGACAGGCAGGCAACAGATATTGAACTTCAACTGTGTGCATGATCTTCATTCAGTGTTGGGTTAAAATCCAACACTGGGCATCTCTCTCTCATTACCCATATTAGGAGAGAGCTTAGGCAGCAGTGGGTGGATAATCCACATCAAGGGATAGTCTAAACAGCACTTGGGCTTGTTTAAAAAAATTAATTATTTTATGTAGTAGCAAATATGACTTCCTAATTTATTCTTTATTATAAATACTGAAATGATTTTGTATCTCCAAAGCTTATACCAGCTATACAGTGGGCAGTTATCAGGGAGGTGGGGGTGGGGAGAGCTCAGAAATGTCTTTGTATCTACTCGGGAAAGCTGATTCAGGCTTTAAAAAATCATCTTAGGTAAATCGCAATGGCTGTTGCCACAGGGAGTTAATCAGATATAGAGGCCACCTGGTTTCTGTGGTGTCGGCAGCCCGGCAGGGTCTTCAGCTGATCTGATGGTTCTGGCTGGCTGGGTCGTGCAGCTGAGGAACTCCTGTGACATAGCCCTCGCTTGTCTTATCTTCGCTGTCACTATGTTTTTCCTTTCTCTGCTTTGGATCTCATTTTAATGAGAACACCGTTGGATACAATTACACATTTTAAAAATTATACAAAGTTCACTGCAGTTCTCTTTCCTCTTGTTCCTTTTATTCTTTTCTTTTTCCCTTTTCTCCCACAATTTTATTTAAAATGAGAGGAATGGAGTGACTCCCATGGATAACTTAGTGCATTTATTTATTTAAAAAAAATTTTTTTTGTTATTGATTTTAGAGAGAGAGGAAGGGAGAGGGAGAGAGAGAGAGAAACATCGATGAGAGAGTACATCAATTGGCCACCTCCAGCATGCCCCCCCACCCCCCCAGAATTGGGCCCACAACCTGGGCATGTGCCCTGACCGGGAATCGAATCTGCGACCTCTTGGTGCATAAGTCAGCAATCACTGAGCCACACTGGCTGGGCATAACTTAGTGTATATAAAGTTAATAGGTAGATCTCTTAAAGGGAGAGCAACCTTCTTTTTCCTTCAACAACACTTCAGAATGGGATTGAATTTGAAGTTTGTTTCTTTTGGTTCCTGGACTGAAACTGGACACCCTATTCATAGATGGAGCAAATGTCCAAGGGCTTCACAGCTTCCACTCTGGCTGCAGGCATGCCAGAGGCCACAGGCAGGTGGTGTGCACACCTGGTTGGACTCACCATGGAGAGGACTAGCACCCATCTGGTTTGCATCCTGCTGCATCTAAGTCATTGCAGGCCAAGCATATTTGCCTGGTGCTAGATTCGCATAAGAGTTCCAGGATACACCAAAAGCCCCAATCAAATATAGACCTTATTTTCATTCTACTTGCCCAGTTTTTGTCCAAAAACTCAAGTCTAATGGTGGATTAGTACAGCGTTTTTCTAAGATAGTCACGGTGGTAAATAGTAAGTAATTCGGATGGTGAGCAATCTTGTATAAGTAAGTAATAAGGGAATAAATATTTGTTTGTTTGTTTATGGCAAACCAGCCAAAGAAGAGGAAGAATCTGGTAGGTTTTGTTTTTGAGGGTCCCTAATGGGTTCCAGTCATTTTTGACCCTAGCAAAGACTAGGTTCAAACCATCTCAGCCTTTTCTTCAAAAAGAGATTCTTCAGCCGCTGCTTCCAGACTCTCTCTACTCCCTTCAGCCCAGCATTTCCTCTTTCCTGTTACGTCCAGATCTTTGCTGGCCCTTCTTTGTCCAGTCCTCTAAATTTAGGCATTTCCCCAAGGCTTGGCCCGCTTTTATTTTCTCTTCATATTCTTTCCCTTGTCGCTTTGTTTCCTTAGGTGACTCTTTCTCTCCTTCTCAGTGTCCACTTGTTCCAATGCTGTTGGTCTGAGTCTCGGATCTAACTCCTAACTGGTGGCTGGACATTGCTGCTTAGGAGTGGAGTTAACACCTCCTGCCCTCAGCATCAGTCTCCTCCCCTCCCCACCATGTTTTAACTTCTGAGCACCTCCCCTAACTTCTTTATTTCACTTATTTTGGGACCCTCCATTCTACACAGCCCTGGAAGTCCCAAATCTTATCTTTGACGCTTCTTTTCTTCTTGGTACCCATGTCTAATCTGTTGTCAAGAGGTATTTTCTCCCTTAGTGAAAAAGAAAATCTAACAAATAAAACAGAGATCAGCACCTGGCAGAAATTCTAACTTTCAGTCATGAGAAATGATGCCAAACTGTGAACTATTTAGACATTATCTGTCCACCTTCCTGATCGTTGACTCCTACAAACCACTGGGCTTCTGCTTTACTGTTATTTCTACTTGTGCCTGCTACCTTTCTCCCTTCGCTTTTGGTTTAATGTTCCCTTAATCTGATTAAATGGGGATTTGTCTCAATTGTCCTTAAAAAGACTCCTCCAACCCTGGAATTAAAGGACCAAAAATATTGTAAATAAAAGAATTAAACTGGTGTGTGTTCTAATGTTAAAGGAGGGAAGGAGAAAGGAAGAGAAGGAGAGACATCCACTGAATAAGAACGCACAGTGTGGTCAGCTGTGAAGTGAGGGTCTTTGGGGCCCTTTAGGAGGGTCTGAGCCTTCCTGACTTTGTCCAGGTTTTGCTGCCACTGGACTCATTCTTAGGCCCCACTGGAGCAGTGTGGCCCGGAAAAGACTCCCACAGTGGGACAGGTCATCTTTGGCCCACTCTTGTCTGCCCACAGATTGCCTCCCTGGGCGCCTTCTGGCATACTACTGTTAACTCTGGACACACAGGTTAATATCCTTGATCCTCGCTTTCTGCAACCCTGTGTTCTTCCCTTTAACTACCATTATTCCATTTCCTGCAAGTCTGGGCAAAATTTTGCACGAAGCTAGTTGAAACCAGCAATTTCATGAGCTTCTCAAGCTCCCTCCCTCTGGGTCATTATTTCTAAATCTAGGACCACAAAAACTGTATATACCTTCATATCACTATCCTCAGTATCGCTGCAGTAAATAAAAAAATATAACATTTGTAAACATAAAAAGACTTCCAAAAATGGGTTTGGGTTGGGGTTTAAAAATAGTTTCTTCATTAGAGTATGGAAGAACTGACAAGGATTTTAACTCTGAGACCAGCCCACGCTGTCTGGTAGAAGTCAGTGATGGCGGCAGAGGGCAGACACTGGCTACTGTGGCTGGAAAGCTGGAGGAGGCAGATGGCTTTGGGGATCATGAAGATGAGCATTTGGTCACTAAGACCTTCCTAACTGCAGCTCCACCTTGGCTCCCACAGTACTCCCTTTGGCAGCATCCTGGGTTCCCAATAAGCTTGGGAGCCAACTCTTCTCCCAGCCTGACTTCTTCATGAGGCCCAGCTGCTTCTCTAAAGTGGCCAAACCCCATGGTTACAGTTGGAAATTCAGAGCCAGGGAAGGGGCACAGGCCAACTATTAAATGGGCAGAAGCTACAGGATCCATCCCTGAACATCCACAGCCCTTTCTAATTCGGTTTAGGGGCCCCTCTGCCTGATCCCTTTCTTCCCCATGGCTAAATCATTGTGTGTTCAGTTGCATCATAAAACCCTACTGGTTTTTAAGCAGTATTTGATATGTCCACTTGGCAGTGTTTGCCGAGTTCCTAGGATGCAGTGTGGGTGCTAGAGAGGTGTTCCGTTTCAGAAGGAAACTGCCTGGGATTGAGTCCTGGCTCTGCCACTTACCTGCTATGTCACCATACGCAGCTATTTCACCTCTCTCAGCCTTTGTTTTCTCATTTGTCAAATGAGGATAATCATAATATGCCCCCCATAGGGTTGTTACCAGGACCAATCCATCTAAAGTACTTAGTACATGGCCCAACACATCTATAAATTGCTCTGTAAATGGTGAGTACTGATGTTCATGTGCCAATGGGAAATATTACTCTCTTCACCACCAATTCCCTCCCCAGTTTGTAGATACCAGATTGAGGCCCAGAAAAGTTAAATAAATGTCAGGGTTGTATAGCAAAATGGCAGAGCAAAGATTGCCATCTGGGAAGCCTGTTTCTTTGCTCAGTACCAATTGGCCTGCACTATTACCAAGAGCTGGGTCTTTTCTTTCTTACTTTTTGTGTCATACTCCCATTCTGATGCTCCCATTGGCTCATTCTACTACCCTTAACTGATATAAATTGATCACCTGCTATGTGAGAACATCGTGGCCTGCACTGGACACCCAAGAGTTGACATAGGATCTGCCCTGTGGAACTTGAGCTATTGTGGTAACTAAAGCAAATAAATACACCCACACAAAGTCACAACCAAGGCTGTGAGGGTCACATTCAAGGTGCTGAGACCCTGTAGACAGGGTCCTGATCTCATCTGAGGAATCTGGAAAAGCATCCTTGAGGACGTGTGGTACTTGCATTGAGACTCTAGGAAATAGGGGCCCGGGACGAGGAGAGCATTCCAGCGGCTCGTGCAAGCCACTGGCAAGGAGGACTTACCTGAGGAACAGAAAGAAGGCCAGTGTGGCTGAAACAGACTGGGGGGAAAGCAGAAGGAGATGAAACTGGAGGCAAAGGCAGGACCCTGGACATGCAAGGCTGCATAAATAAAGTAAGAGGAGTCTTTCAAAGAGTTTAGCCTAGAGAGTAAACAATCAGATGTACACTTTTAAAGATCACCTAACCACTATATATAAAAAGGAAGAAGAGCATGGTTTGGAGTTCAGCAAGGGTGGGAGTTGAGATATTGATGGATTGGACCTGTTGGCAGTACAGAGGGAGAGAAGAATGGATTTGAGAGATGTTTAGAAGGCAAACTTGACAAAATGTATTGATTGACTGACTGGATGGCTGAGGGTAGGGATCTGATTTGGGATAAAAGATGATCAGTTTCACATAGGATATGCTGGATTTAGGCATCTGTGTGGCATTCTAAGCTCTGGAGCTTAAAGGACAGGCCGGATCTTTCTCTGGACCAGCCACTCATCAGCTGAGACAAGTTCCTCACTGGCCCATTTTCTCTGACCCTGGCTATGCCTTTTTAAAGATCCTAACATTTGTTTCCCTTTGGCTTTTCAGGATTCCAGCCAGGCCATTCCTCTGGTGGTAGAGAGCTGTATCCGGTTTATCAGCAGACATGGTAAGCAGGATTCTAGCCTTGTCCATATCTGTGCAAAGTTGGGAAGAACTTCCAGGAATTCTTTGAACAGTAAACGTAGAGATTGACTTCCCATCCAGACATTCTCAGAAAAGGAATAGCATCTTATTTGTTCATGTAATGTTTTCTACCTCAGAATGGCCAAATGTAGACATTGAGAGAAAGACATCATATGTTTTGACCCAAAGTGCTTCAGCCACTTACCACACTTCCTTTTCTAGCTTGAGAGTAAGTTTTAAATTACAGCTGTTATGTGAATTAGCACAGCTGGTATGATGTGTGACGGTAGTTTCACCATTACTCACCGTCTTCGCCATCTCGGTATCTCCCACTGCACAGCCTGAGCCATTATGTCACATTGGCTTTTTGCATCAGGCTGCTTTGCAAACAACTCCTTTTGTAATGTTGCATCGATTGCTAATAATACTCAGGTTTTGTTCTGGTTTGGTCTCACTGGATACAGCATCACCAAGAGCTCAGTCAGTAGCTGAAAGTTGTAGGCCACATGTGAGAGTCTGTAGGGGCTGGCTCCTTCTCAACCTGGGTCATGTCATGCTGTCTGCTGCTTAGGTGAGGCTGTCTCAGAAACTCCATTCCTCCTTCACCAGCTCCCAGGTTGCTTGGACAGAATTTAGGGGTAGAGTTAAAATGCCACCCAGAGAATTATCTTTCAAGTGTAAGAGTGTTTAGAAAGCATAGGTATCTGAGCTAGCACCAAGAAGATTTCTAGGAACAGGCCATCAGAAATTGTTTTTCGGTGCTGTCCTGTCTAGATGTAAGAAAAGAGACAGAATGACCTTCTAGGAGCCAAGGAGGTGTGTAGATAATTGCTGGTTTCAATTCAGAGGTGGCCCTTCTCTTTTCCTTCCTCTCTCCTGATAAACGGGGACATCACTTGGGTTCATTTTTGAAATAGTAATTATTTTAGGATGTCTACAACTTATCCCATTCTAATCAGCTACAATGTCTTCGTCTTATCTCTATTCATTTGAAGTAATAGCATTTTATATCACTACTGAACAGTCCACAAATATTTATCAAGCCCCTGATCAGTGCTGGGCAGCATGCATTGCCAAATAGGAGAACAAAAACAGGGACAATACACTGTTGCTGTCTTTACCTGGTTTTAGGATGCAGCTGGGAGAAAATAAATGAGCAAGTGAAAAGTTAAAAAGAGATAAGCTGTAGTAATTCAGAATGGCAGTATAAGAAATTTCACAAGATAGTAATGATTAATGGTCAAGCATTTGGCAAAGATAAGTCCAAACTAAGTTCAGGGGAGGAAGAATTATTTGTGCCTAAGAGACAATAAGAAGAGCGTTTGAACTCCTATTTGTTCACCCATGCATTCCATTTATTCATTCATTCAACAAATATATACATTGATTACTCGTTACGTGCCAAGAAAAAGTTCCTTTCTTCGTGAACATTATTTTCTAATAAAGGACAAATAAATAAATGAACACTTGTGTAGTCAATTAATATGCAGTATGCCAGGTATTGGTGAGTGTAATGAAGAAAAGTGAAGCATGGTGAGGAGATGGAGAAAGGAGAGGGGGCACTGTTCTAGGCAGGTTCAAGGAAAAGACTTAGGGTCACCAAAGGTGACAGTTGAGTTGAGTGGTGAAGGAAGTAAGAGAGTGAGGCTTGGGGGAGAAGGAACATCGAACACAGAGATCCTTGGCATATGCAAGGACCAGCACACAGGAGGCCATTGTGGCTGCAGCAGAGTGAGTGGGTAGACTTTAGGGCTTCATTGGCTAATGTAGGTGTTTCGGTTTTGTTCTGAGTGTGTTGGGAAACTATTGGATAATTTTGAACAGGGGGTGATTTTTTTTAAAGGTGGCTACTTCAGTAGCCCAGGAAAGACACAACAGTGACCTGGACCAGGATGTTAGCTGCAGAGGAACTGAGAAGTGGATGGGTTTTGGATATTGTGTCTTGGATGTACCTGTCCCTTGCCCCTGTACAGGCACAGTGCACGAGAAGAAAAAACTGAGCATGTTTCTGTGGGGTGGCTATGGGAAGGCAGGTATGCTCACATATTGCTGATGACAGTGCAGATTGCTACAACCCTTCTGGAGGGGAATTTGGCAAAACTGCATATGCACTTGTCTTTCTCCAACAACATACAAAATACATATGCACAAGGTTATTTATTGCAACATCATTTGTAGTTGTAAAATATTAGAAACAACCTAAATGCCTTTATACAGAAGAGTGGTTGAATAAACTGTGGTATATCCACACAGTAGAATACTGTACAGCTACAAATAAAGAATGAGAAGGAACTCCAGGAAATGACATGGAGAGGCTTCCAGGATATACTGTCAAATGAAAAAGTGCATAGTGCAAAAGCATGCTGCCTTTGTCCTGGCCAGGTAGTTCAGCTGGTTAGATCATCATCCTGATATACCAAGGTTGCAGGTTCAATCCCCAATCAGGGCACATACAAGAAGCAACCGATGAATGCATAAATAAGTGGAACAACAAATCATTGTCTCTTCCCCCCCCCCCCCTCTCAAACCAATAAAATAAAATAATAAATCATGCTACCTTTCATGCAAGAAAGAAGAGGGTATAAGAATATACATGCATCTTTTCAATTCTGCAAGAAGAAATACAGGAAGGGTGAATTCAAAAGCTAATATTTGATTGGTATCTACAAGGATGTGGAAAAGGGTGAAACGAATATGGTAATGGGAAATGGGAGGGGAATGACATTTCTCTATGTATTTCTTCTTGTGTAATTTTGACTTAGGTTATTTTCAAATAACTTACCCAAGTCTGATTGGTTTTATACTAAGAAAAAAATGAATAAGATTATGGAAGTGTCGGGTTGGTTATGTGAGGCCTTCTTACCTGCGTTATAATAAAAAGCCAACTGCTTTTCCGCTTTACTTTCTGGAAACTGACCATGTATTAATGTTCCTACTTTTAGAATCATTACATTAGATACTAAAGGTTATATCTGTTGAGCAATAACACAGAGTGGTCCTTCTAAAGCATAGATTTCCAAGGGGAAACAAAAACCAGACTGAAAGGTACCTCAATGTGTCTCAGGCCTGCTGCCTGATTTCCAATAAACTCACCTCTGATTTCTTTCCTGGCGGGTCAAGGGGGGGGCGGGAGAGCCAAGGCAGCGTATCCTTGATAGTCTAATCTACCAAAAAGCACCATGATGATCCTCTCCTGGCAAGTTATTGGCTTTACCAGCTAGAACACGCCAAGTAGTCTGGTCCCTGAGGTGACATTTTCTTATATTCTGCTGTGGTTTTGACACCTCACTGGGTGTGCGACTATTTCTGATTAAACATTACATGGCTGTTCCATCTTATTGGTAACTAATATGGTAGTATGCCATTGGTACTAAAGGGGTTTTAACATGCCTCCCATTCTGTGAAGAATATTCTAGAGATTCCTTAAAGGAGCAAACAATTCAAGTCCTCTTAAAAAAGAGATAATTAAATTTCTCTTGCTTCTTAATATTGCTTCAGTTGGATTTAAGGGTTCAGTGCTGACCTATGTTGTTTACCTTCAGAGGTCTAGCTGATAGAATTCAGCCACCCACTCACCAAGAGAGTAGCCCTAAAATGGTGGGCAAAATGTAGCGTTATTCTTTAGTTTTCCTAAAAAGAAATTTGTTTGAGATTTCTCTGACATCAAAATTTTCATGGGATCGTGCCATAACAGACTTTGGCAAAATGCCCAAGATTGAGACACAGGCTCCTGAGAAAGCCTGGACAGGCCTGAGTGACTAAAGACGCTAGTTCAGTTCAACCCTGGGCCCAGCACTAATGACGTGCTTCCTGGATCCCTGACCAGGTTTGTGGTTGCATGGGTGGTGCTTCTATAAACCATATCCGTGTTCAGACTAACAGATGGGTTCTGGTCCTCTGTCCTTTCACTCTAGGAGGCCCCACAAGACTGGCATTCAGGAATGAGTAGCCAGAAGGCCTGGGTTTGCATCCTGGCTCTGGTTTTTATCACCTAGGCAACCTAAGGCTGGTTATAACTTATCAGTCCCCTCATCTAGAAAATAGAATCGCTGGTCACCCTTACCTTACTTACATGGCTGTTGTGAGAACCAGTTGATTTATTTATATGACAGCATTTCTTAGCACCAGTTACCACACATGCATTATTTTTATATGATTTTGTGTACTTCAGCCCAAGAAGACAAAGTTCTGATGCTCATTATCATAGTATAATATGCACAGGTTTGTCTTTATTTTTTATTTATTTATTTATTTATTTTTTATCCTCACCCGAGGACATTTTTCCATTTTTTGTACAGACAGAGTGGGAGGGGGAGAGAGGAAGGGAGAGAGAGAGAGAAACATCGACTTGAAGGGACACATCGAGTGGCTGCCACCCACACGACCAACCAGGGCCGGGGACAAACTGCAACCGAAGTACGTGCCCCTAGCGGGAACTGAACCCGGGTCTCTCCGGACCGCAGGCCGACGCTCTAACCGCTGAGCCAAACCGGCCAGGGCCACATGTTTGTCTTTAGAGTAAAGCTGCAGTCAAGGGCCAGTGGCTAGCACAGTGTCTGGAAATTCTGTCTGTTGGCCGACCACTTGCCTTTTCATGGACTCTTTTTTTCTTAAGTATTCAAAACATCGTGCCCTAGAGCAGCCAAACAGTGTTAGAACAGCTAAAGCAATATTATATCTTCAGACCTTATGACATTCCCTTGATGCTATCTGAAGACTGGCCTGCAATGCCCGCATTTCCGATTCCTGATCCTGGGTGATAAGAAGGTGCAAGAGGGTCACTTCTCTACTTTGTATATAGAAACAGAGACAAAGGTTAGGGAAGGAGCCTGCCTCCTAGTCTCCCTAGGAATCAGAAATGGAGTCAGGTGTAGACATTTCTCCCCTAAGTCTGACGGTGCTTGCTTTCAGTGAATGCCTCCTATCCATTCCACTGACTTTTCCAACATTCTTGCACATGTTTTCTCCTTTGGTTTGGAAACTGAAGAAAGAGTACTTAAATACACCCTGGCTGGCAGAGATAGACATGCAACTAAGTTTGGAGCTATGTGAATTTGCCTTTTCTTACCCTTGATCACTTTTCCCTGACTTTCCAGGACTGCAGCATGAAGGAATTTTCCGGGTGTCAGGATCCCAGGTGGAAGTGAATGACATCAAAAACGCCTTTGAGAGAGGTGAGAAAACAGCCTAGAAGATAAGACCAAATATCTCCAGCCTCCTGGAAAATTGGCTCCACTCCTTATCCCCTGAGAAGTCCCCAGAGGTCAGGAAAGCAGCTAGCCTTTCTCTTCGGCCCAGCACCTTGCTCTGTTGTAGACATTTCTCCCTAGATGTGCAGGGAGGTGACCACACCCTTCTCAGCTGCCTTCTTCTCAGCCCCACTTATCTTGCTTCCTGTGGATGATCTTCTGAAACCCAAGAAGTTAACTGTGGTATCTGGGCGGTTTATGGCTTTATCCGGAACCCTTGGTGGCGGTTCATATCAAGGCTAATGCTCCTGTTCATTGTAGCCCATTTATTATTCTGTGGGCGATTAAGGTAATGGGCAAGCTTTGGCAATTTCCGTCACTATAATGGATATATATAGTTGCAATTTGAGGTTGGTCCAATCATTAAATCTAATTACATCTGATATGAAATTTTCCGTAGGGAGCTCTAGCATGATTGTTCTCTCTTAAGTAGGTGTCCTTTGTTGCAGACCAAGAGAAGTGAGAGCTATGCAGAGAGGCTGGCCTCCCTGGCTTCATTTTCCTCCTGCAGGAGCTTAGTCCCAGCCTGATTTCATGCTTCCAAAGAGAGCCCATCCCCAGCCCATAGGGAATGTCCCCGAGCTAGTCTGTCACAAGTAAATATATGCTAAGGGACTCTTGTGTTCCTCCTCTGGCCCGGAGCAGTCTTTGCTTTATCTATCTCCTGGTTTGTCCTTCTCGTGGCCACCATACTGGACAGAGAGCTGATGAACTGGGATGAGGACTTGAATAGGTCACCCCTGTATCACCCCCTCCGTTTCATCCTATGTATGTTACCTCTCTCACTCTCTTTCCTTTTTGGGGGGCATTGTATTTATCAGGAGAGGACCCCCTGGCTGGGGACCAGAATGACCATGACATGGACTCCATAGCCGGCGTCCTGAAGCTTTACTTCCGGGGGCTGGAACATCCTCTCTTCCCCAAGGACATCTTCCATGACTTGATGGCTTGCGTCAGTAAGTACCATCCTGACCTCAGACTGGCCTCTGGGCACTCCATAGCAGCAGATAAGAAATTTCCACATGGTCTTTTTTCTCACAAGCTTTGCAGAAATATTTTCCTTTATTTCAGTGAAGTTTTCCTTCTCATGATCACTTCTTCATCCCCTGGTGAGGGAGGGCATTTTAGTTAAGAGTCTACAGCTACACGTCAGATGCCTGGTTTTTTTCTTCCTAATTTACCTTAAATTCCTTTGCTATTCTGGGCTTTATCTTTCTTTAGTAAAATACATTTATATTTATATGTAAGACATAGTCCTTTTCAGTTATTGGAAGCTCATACATTAGGGCTTGTGCTTTTTATGATACAAAGGGAGAAGGCATAGGTGTTGCAAATATTTCTTGTGTTTCTTTAAACATGGCATGGCTTACCTGCTAGATATTTTAATATGTATTCTTCTAGGAATAACCCTCTACGCATTTATTTATTTATTTATTTTTTTTTTCTTTATTGATTTTAGAGAGAGAGGGAGAGATATAGAAACATCGATGAGAAAGAACATCGATTGGCCCACAACCTGGGCATGTGCCCTGGCTGGGAATCGAAGTGGCAACCTCTTGGTGCATGGGTCGATGTTCAACCACTGAGCCACACCAGCTGGGCCCTCTGCACATTTAAAAGTAGCAATATAACCCAGCCGGTGTGGCTCAGTGGATTGAGTGTCGTCCCATGGACTGAGAGGTCCAGGTTCAATTCCCAGTCAGGGCACATGCCCGGGTTGTGGTGTCAATCCCCAGTAGGGGGCGTGCAGTAGGCAGCTGATCAATGTTTCTCTCATATCGATGTTTCTCTCTCTCTCTCTCTCTCTCTCCCCTCTCTCTCTAAAAATTCAATAGAACATATTTTTTAAAAATATTTTAAGTAGCAGTATATTTTCACAGAAAGAGATATAGTCTATTTTATCCTCCTGAGAGGTTCTCTGTCTCTTACTCTAAAATTTGGGGCTTAAAAAGGTATTCTTGGCCATTTACTTTAGTTCATTATATTGAAATGTCCTCTCATTTGTTTTCCATGGAAAACAATCCATGGGAAGTTAGATTAATACCAGACCATCCTTGAATCACACCCATTGTAATGGTGGCTCCAGAGACTGGAAAAGGCAGTGCCTTTGAAATGGAGAAAAGATCCTTTTCCCCAAATCAATCAGTCTCCATTCTCCCCCATCCCACCCCTACACCAAGTTTCCGGTTTGACTCAGTGATGCCCCTACCATTGTCCTTCTCTGTGATTCTGAGAGAAAAAGGGCGCAGAGCATTCAGGGACCTATCTTATTTTATTTGGGGGGAGTCTAGTGGAAATGAGTTCTGTGGGCAATAAAATATATGTATCCTTTGTGTTTTCATGTCTTTTTATAAGACTGGGCCTACATCGACTATCTTCAGTGAACCGGGGCTACCAAGATGGTACGAGATACATTGGCTGTCCAACTCCCCCCTTGAAGTGTGCTCTTCATCCACTGCTTCCCATTTCTTTTTTATAAAAAGATACTCATAATATCCACAAGGCACACTGGAAGTGGGGGAGCTGGCCACGATGGAGGTCACACCTGTAATTAATCTGTTCATAGCATGAGAGTCAGGAAGCTTCTTTAGGCTTCTCCTAGATATCCCTGCTTACACAGGGGCAGCCATTCTTGCCTCTGGACACATTTTCCTCGTCTGCACTGCACATGGGGAAAGATAAGCCAGATATGTCCAGAGGATAAGGTGATGCAGATGTAGAGCAGGCAGGACAGGGCCTGCCCAGACTCTCTCCCTCCTCCCGTGTAGGCCTTCCAAGGGTGTCAAGCAGTCATAGCAGGTTTATGGGCAGTTCCTTGTCTGTGGTGGTTTTAATAAAAGGATGGTAGATGCTTGGGGAATATATCCACACTTTCTGTGCCAAAGGAGCAAATACCTTAACTCCTGCATTGGTAAGTGTCTGGAGCCTGGCATGTACCCCACCCCGAGGAGCCACAGGGATGAAATTCCTTACACAGTGCACCAGTGCTGTAAGGGCTTGACCTGGCCACTCTCTGTGTTACACCTGCCGATAGTAAGGGTCTTCTTACCATTACTCCCTGGGATCTCAGTCACAGTGGAGGGTAACACGTAGTTTTCTTCGTTTCAGCAATGGACAACCTGCAGGAGAGAGCTCTGCACATCCGGAAAGTCCTCCTGGTTCTTCCTAAAACCACTCTGATCATCATGAGATACCTCTTTGCCTTCCTTAATCAGTAAGTAGACTTCCCAGTGAGCAACGGGACCCGACCTTGGCTTCTGCCACTAGAAGTTTACATACAGACCTATGTCAGTTCATCCAGCCCGACAAATATTTATTTATTTGTTTGTTTGTTTTGTTTTGTTTTGTTTTGTGGTATGTGCCCCTAGCGGGAACCGAACCTAGGACTCTCTGGTCCACAGGCTGATGCTCAACCACTGAGCCAAACTGGCCAGGGCTGACAAATATTTATTGAACACCTACTACGTGCTGGGTACAGATGTATGCTGTAAGAATACTTTGTTAAATAAGAGATGAAAGCCCTGGTATCACTGAGCTCACATTCCAGGGGAGGAGACAGAGAATAACAAGTGCTTAGAAGAAACAAAGAAGCGTAACTTAAGGGATAGAGTGCAGGGTCTGAATGGGGCAGGGCTAAAATGGAGAGCCACCATAGGGGGCTGGTCCACAAAGACTTCTCTGAGGAGGCAGTACAAGCAGCAGTCTCAGTGAAACGAAGGAAGAAGACACAGGGACGTTCAAGCCCTGAGAGTCATGGTTATCATGGGTTTGGGTTTGGGAAGCCATTGGATGGTTTTAAGCGGGAGTATTGTGATCTGATCTATATTGGTTTTTTTTAAACCCACCAACTGCTTCATGGAGAAGCTACGGTAAGAGAGAGAGAGCAGTGAAGAGAAGCAGGGAGACCTTCAGAGGTGATTGTACCATCTCGGCTGGGGTGGTGGTGGCTTAGACTGGGGAGGTGATGAGAGAGAGTGGGTAGGAGGGATCAGGTTTGGGATCTATTTTGAACATGGCATTGACAGGACTTCCTGATGGGTAGAGTGGAGAGTGTGAGGAACAAGAGGAATTCTGCTTTCTTAGCATGAGCCACGGGAAGTTGTGATGCTATTTATGAAGTCAGGGAAGACCAAGAGTGGAGGAGGGAAGACAAGCTGCCACTGTGGGCATGTTAAGTTGAGGTACCTGTTAGACCTCCAAGGGGAGGTTCTAAGTAGGCAGCGGAATATCGGAATTTGATGCTCAGGGGAGAAACCTGGAGTCATTGTAGCTGAAGAGAGATCTGAGGGGACTTTGGGCTTGGATGGAGCATCTCACCCAAGCACGTGTTCTTGCCCAGGGCATTGGAGTCCCCGCGTGGCAGCCAAGTCAGCAGGCAAGGACATGTGACACGTGACACTTCTCTTGGTACCTGTCGCTTCACATTGCTTTCACTGCAGCATCTCCTTCAGCCTCCCGTTCCAAAGGTTAAATGGACAACCTGATAAGGCCCATAGATCTGTTTCCTTTCAATCCACTGTGTCTTGAAAATTGAAACATTTAAATATCAGGGAGTTAACGTAAAAAATACTGGGTTTCTAGCTTCTCTTGAAAACATTATTAGATTTGGCAATACTGGCTCTGCCTCCTGCGTGGCAGCAGCTCTCTGTGGAGTAGATGAGGAAGGTACTGCCCGGTTCACCACGGACCCCAGCAATCCCCAGGTCCGAGGCTGAATTCAGTTGCTCTTTATCTTCACTCTTGCTTTATGGTTTTTCACATAGTAGAGAAAGATTTTCCTAGATTGATGATTATATTAAAAGAAAACAAAAATTAGACCAAGGGGCTTGGCTATTTTTTAGCACATATTTCTTTGTAAAAATGAAGAGTCTTCCCAGTCGGTTGGTCTCTACTTCAAAGGAATACAAGTGTAGAAATCATTTCATGAGCCTCAGCTTGCTTACAAAGTCATCCTGGCTCTGTAGGCATCTGGGTTAGTGACCTCAGCCTGTGATCTTTCTGGGTCACCCACACTGTCCTTTAGCCCTGTTGCTGGTCCTGCAGCCTGCCCCCTCCGTGTGGCTGTGTCTGCTCCATTCATTAGCCAAGTCCTGACTCAGCACCACAGCTGCCTTTGAGTTCAGAACCCCCATGACTCACGCAGGGTGTTCACATACTGCCCAGTGCAGGCTGACGGAGATGGAAACTGGTAAGACTCTGGAGTCAGTCAGTCGTGTCAGGGCGACCATCCTTGTCTCCTCCGACTGACTGTGACCTGCCCTCGATGTGAGCCTAGTCTGCTCCCTAGAACAAGGAGCGTGACGGTAGTGGGTGAACAGGTGGGGAGCAGGCAGGTCCTGGGGTGAGCGTATGTGTGAACACAGTGGCCTCATTCTCTTCTCCACATTTTCTTCCTGGTTAAAGGATGGGAGGTGGGGGGCTTGCAGGAGGGAAGAAACAATAGAATAAGCATCATATAGTGATGGAGATAGTGGCCACTTTTGAAGGAAACATGGGAATTGCACTCATTCAAATGATTACTTTTGTTTTACTTTTTTTGTCTGATTAAAAAAAGATTAACTTGCTCACGGAAGTATTTTATTGAAAAGATATAGCATTAATAACCACAATGCTTCCTAAAGTAAATGAAATTCAGGACACGGTTGATAAAGAAGACCACCTCCATGGGAAGATGACAGGTGATCAGTGTGCGCTTATTGACAAGTGTAGATAGTTAACAGGTAGATCCTGCCCTAGACCTTCAAGACCCTTTTCTGTTATTGCTCTGGGTCTTGGATGTGTGTGTACTTTATTTCAGGCTATGCTTTTTTTTCTTTGGTGGTACCCATCCTCAATTTCAATGAACCAAAATATTTTAATATATATAAATATACATATGTACATATAAATATATGTATATATATATGTATGTATGTGTATATATATCAGTAGATTGTGGCTGGGTTTTGGAGATTCACAGATGCTCATGTATTTATTCACTTACTTAATACACATGTATTCAGCATCTACTGGGTTCCAGTCCCTGTTTTAGTTGTGGCTATTTAAGAGTGCTGCACAGTTAAAGTCTCTGCCCTCATGGAGCTTATGTTCTATTGGAGAAAGACAGACAAAACTGGTAAGTGCTTATATCATATATCAGAGGATGAAGGCTGGAGAGAAAAAGTAAGGCAGACAAAGGGGCTGGAGAGTGCCAGGGGTGGGGATGAGGGTTTGTTCTTTATGCATATATTTTTGAATTTTTTTTCTTTATTGATTTGAGAGAGAGAGGAAGGGAAAGGGAGAGAGCGATAGAAACATCGATAAGAGAGAACATCGATTGGCTGCCTCCCGCATGCCCCCACTGGGGATCAGGCCCACAGCCTGGGCATGTGTCCTGACTGGGAATCCAACCGGTGACCTCTTGGTGCATGGGTCAATGCTCAACCACTGAGCCACACTGGTCAGGCGAGAGTTTGTTCTTTAGTATACAGTGGTCAGGGGACATCTCACTGAACAGGTGACAGCGGGCAGTGATGTAGGAGGAGAACTGAGAATGAACAGCGTCCCAAAAGCCACAAAGAGAAAGTATTTCAAGGCGGGTTTGGTAACTGAGTTAAATGCACAGACAGGTCAACTAAGAAAAGGGCTGAGAAATTATTTAACAGCATGAATATCATTGGTGACCCTGGTGAGTGTTGTCTTGGTGGAATAGAAGGAGCAAAATCCTGATGGTGTCATTTCAAGAGAGAAGGGGTGGTGATATCAGATGGATAACAAAGTGTAGTAAGTCAATATAGTAGGGTGGTTTTCAGCCATCAAAAGGGGTGCGGTACTGCCCTGGCCAGTTTGGCTCAGTAGGTAGAGCATCGGCTTGCAGACCTAAGGGTCAAGGGTTTGATTCCTGGTCTAGGGCACATACCTGGCTTGCAGGTTCATCCCTGCAGGAGACAAACAATTGATAAGACACTCTCACATCGATGTCTCTGTCTGTCTGTCTCTCTCCCTCTCTGTCTCTCTCCCTCCCTTCTTCCCTTTCACTCTATCTAAAAAATCAATGGAGCCCTGGCTGGTTTGGCTCAGCGGTTGGAGCATCGGCCTGCGGTCCGGAGAGACCTGGGTTCGGTTCCTGATAAGGGCACGTACCTTGGTTGCAGTTTGTCCCCAGCCCTGGTTGGGTCGTGTGGGTGGAAACCACTCGATGTGTCGCTTTCACGTCGATGTTTCTCTCTCTCTCTCCCTCTCACTCTATCTGAACAAAATATCGAAAAATGTCCTCGGGTGAGGATAAAAAAAACAAAACAAAACAAATAAAAAATCAATGGAAAAATATCCTCAGGTGAGGTTAAACAAAATAAAACAAATAAGTGATGAGGTACTGACACATGCTGCATTGTGGATAAACAATGAAAACACTATACCGAGTGAATGGAGCCAGTCATAAAGGACCACATACAGTATGATTTCGTTTGTATTAAATGTCCAGAATAGTCAAATTCATAGTCAGGATCATGTAGCCAGGGGCTGGGTTGGGGTAGGGGGAGAATGGGAGTGACTGCTTAATGGATACAAGGTTTCCTTTGGGGTGATGAAGATGTTCTGGTACCCTAGCCCATGTGGCTCAGTTGGTTGGGCATCATCCAGTGCCCCAAAAGGTTGCCGGTTTGATTCCCAGTTGGGGCACATGCCTGGGTTGTGGGCTAAATCCTGGTAGGGGGCATGCAGGAGACAGCTAATCAATGTTTCACTCTCACATTGATGTTTCTCTCTCTTTCCTCCCTTCTGCTTTAAAAATCAATAAAATAATCTTTAAAAAGAGAGAGAAGAAAATGTTCTGGAACCCAAACAGTGGTGATGGTTGTACAACATTGTGAATATGCTAAATGCCACTGAATTGTATATTTTCAAATAGTTAAAATGGTAACTATTTGGGAGGGGGGACTGGACAAGGTGTATGATTCCTCTAGGGCCTCCATTACAAAATACCACAGGCTGGGTGACTGAAACACTAGAAATGTATTTTCTGACAGTTTGGCACCTAGAAGTCCAAGATCAAGGTGCCCCGGGGTTGGTTTCTGGTGAGATCTCTCCTTGGCTGGTAGCTGGCCATCCTCTCACTGGGCCCTCACATGCCCTCTCCTGTGTACACACGCTGGCTGTGTTTTGTCTTTTTTGAAACTAGGTCTCTTCATTTTTTATTGTTGACAGTATTACAGATGTCTCCCATTTTCTTCCTTTCTGCCTTCCTTCACCCAACCCCTCTTCTCTTTTTCTTATAAGGACACCAGTCCTGTTGGATTTGGGTCATACCCTTATAACTTCATTTAACCTTAATTATGTCTTTAAAGGTCCTATCTCCAAATACAGCCATATTCGGGGTTAGGGCTTCAACACAGGAATTGGGGGCAGGGCACACTTTAGTTTATTACAAAAGAGGTGGAGAGCCATCAGAGAATCAGAGACAGCTGGTACAGACAACTCTCAAAGAATTTAAGTATAGAGGAGGAGAGGTGGAACAGTGATTCAGTGTGGATATGGGGTTAAGAGATTTTTATTTTTAAGATGGGTGGTATTACTGCATGTTTGTATGCTGCTTGGAATGACCTCGTAGAGAAGAAAAACTGATGATGAAGGAGAGAGTAAGGACAATTGCTGGACTGATATTCTTGAAGGAGGTAAGAGAACATGGACTCCATTGCATAGGAAGGAAGACAGAACATAAAGGAACAGATGCAAGTAGGTTAATAGGTTGGGGAGCGTGGAGGATGAGACAAGGTGAGTGGGGGAATGAATGCCTTTGCAGGGCCATCGGAAAGAATCTGCCAGAATTACTTCTCAGTGGTCTTTTAGGGAGCCTTTTGGGGAAGACTGTTAAATCATGGACTTAGGGAGGAAAGTTATGACATCTCATTGTGAAAGCTATGTAAGACCTGATGGAGTCTCAACCCCGCATTTTGCCATGGCAGATAGTACAGCTTCTGGTCATCCTTTCCAAACCTGTAATCAAACCTGATGCATAATATTGTACCCATAGTCTGCTGGTTGTTGCCAAATCAAACCCCCAAGGCCTGCGAAGTTGAAGGTTTTTAAATGAAATGTGATGTATTTAAGATAGTCTGTCCAGAACTTAGTGCTCTCCCTGGGGGTTTCAGGTTTCGATGTTGGGATCTAGAGCCCTCCGCTTGTTAGATAATGCCTGTCAGGAGAAGAGGGTAGACTCTGGGCAATCAACTACTGCTGTCTGTTCCCGGACTAGAACCAAGGGTTCTGTATCAAGAAGCAATCAGAATATTATAATTATAGAAAATATCTCTCGAGCCCCACCTACATGCCAGCCATAGTGCTTGATACTTTGCATATATTACATCATTTCATCTTCACGACAGCCCCCTAACAGAAGCATAACATGGCCCCCATTTTCCAATGAAGAAACTAAGGAGCTAGACAGAGTCATGGAACTGGCAAGCAAAGGACCTGTGGCTCAAAACCAGCTCTGTTTGACCCCAAAATTCTTGGGCTATTTTATTCTTTCTTTTAAAATGTCTTCAAAGAGGCAACTGTGCATCATTGAAGAGTAGAAAGTCCAGAAAAGTGCATGGTAGAAAACAAGTTTCCCTACCAATTCTGATTTCCTCATTGCCCCAAACCCTGCATTCCCAGCCACAATGCTAACCTTTCAAAGCTGCACAAAAGCTGAGGAGTTCAAATCAACCAGGGGGGCTCCCTGGTGTGACAGACTGAAGCTATAGAAATGCAGCGCAGCTCTTAGGGACGGCATGTGTGGAAGTCGACGCCAAAAGAACGTTTTAAGAAGGAGCTGTTACCAGTGCTTTTTCGTTCAGCTATTTCCTTAAAGATAAAAATCCAGTGTTTGAGGTCTTATATTGGGCGCAGCCTTCAGGGTCTTCAAGGATCATGAACACAATTGTATACAAAGTTGTGTGTATTTGTACGTGCACATATATGAATTTTTCTGGGGAGAGAATCCCTAGTTTTTGTCAAATTCTTTTTTTTTTTTTTAATTTTCTTTTTTATCCTCACCCGAGGACATTTTTGCATTCACCTTCAGATAGAGCAGGAGGGAGAGAGGGAGGAAGAGAGAGAAAGAAACATCGACGTGACAGAGACACATCAACTGGCTGCCACCCACACAACCCCAACCGGGGCCAGGGACAAACTGCAACTGAGGTACGTGTCCTTAGCGGGAACCAAACGTGCCCTTAGCAGGAACCAAACCTGGGTCTCTCTGGTCCACAGGCCAACGCTCTAACCACTGAGCCAAACCGGCCGGGGCTATTTTTTTTTGTTTTTATTTAATCCTCACCCGAGGATATTTTTCCATCTATTTTCAGACAGAGTAGGAGGGGGAGAGAGAGAGAAACATTGATGTGAGAGAGAGACATCGATTGGCTGCCTTATGCATAACCCCTACCAGTGCCAGGGACGAAACTGCAACTGAGGTATGTGCCCCTGACCAGAATTGAACCCACAACTCTTTGGTCTGAGGGCCAATGCTCCAACCGCTGAGCCAAGCTGGCCAGGGCTTTTTGAAATTCTTGTAGGAGCCTGTATCCCCAAGAAATTAAGAACTGTGACTTTAGTTCTTAATCCTGAGTGTTCCCATTGTTGATGGGAAGAGAAGGATCTTGGTCAATATTTTTTTTTTTTTTTTTTATCCTCACCCGAGGACATTTTTCCATTTTTTTTTTGTACAGAGTGGGAGGGAGAGAGAGGAAGAGAGAGAGAAACATCGATGTGAAAGGGACACATCAAGTGGCTGCCACCCGCACGACCAACCAGGGCCGGGGACAAACTGCAACCAAGGTATATACCCTTAGCAGGAACCGAACCCGGGTCTCTCCGGACCGCAGGCGGGCGCTCTAACCGCTGAGACAAACCGGCCAGGGCGGTCGATATTTTAATGGGAGTACAAAATGGACCGGGACCTATGAGACTATAGCCCATGTAGATGTGTCCCCCTCAGGTCCCTGGGCACTGTAGCCCCCATGAGTTAAACAGTCCTTGCCTTAGAAGGCTCAGCAAGGTTTTTCATCTCTTGCAGAGCTTTGATGGGGATTCTCATGGCTAGAGTTTGTTTCCCTTTGACCACCAGACTTCCCAGAAAGTTCTGGTTTCTTCCCATGTTACAAAATATTGTCAGATCACACTATAAAAACAGGACCCTCCTCCTCCTTGACACTCCATGACACCAGGAACCGGCCAGCCTGGGATCAGCTACAACTTGTTGTACCCCGTGCCTCAGTTGTCCCTTTTGAGGTTACCAAGGTAATTTCCAGTCTCTCTCTCTCTCTCTCAAGTTTTTATTTGACTGAGAAGTAGACTTGGAAACTTCTCTCAGCCTTTTTGAATCTCTGCACTCTTTTAACTGAAGAGCCAGAGAAGGATTGTAAAATTACATTTTTATGACCTCCTGTGAAGCAATCCAGCCCCTGAGATCTGTAACCTCACCCATCAGTGGCCTCTCTGCATTTGACTAGGTCCTAGAGAACAGTGATTCTGAGTCGTGACAGTCGTTCACATTCACTGCCGTTTCGCTTATTCTGCAGGTGTTCTCTTAGAGGGATGGGGATGTATCAGAATCTTCACTAGAGGAGAGAACCATGCAGTTAGAGAGAGACAAGAGCAGCAACTCTCTTAAAGACAGCTGAGTCTCGGGCCTCTGGTTCAGCATCAGACAGTTTTGGTATCTCCTCAGGCTCTGGCAGCATCAGGTGCTGGGACTTTCTGCAGATGCCTCTCAAGAAGCCGGAACTCTTTAGCAGAGCTCACTGGTCTGCAGGCTGGGCCGGTACATCTAGAGCTGGCCTGGCCTTCGGTTCCTGACAGGTGGAGACCAATGGGAGCTCACCAGGTGCTCACTGGGGGGCTTATCCTTGGCAAGGTTAGAGGTGTGGCTGGAGCAGCTGCTGGCTGAAAAGAAGGGAGTTCCCAGAATAAATAAATAGCCAGTCATGAAGTCAGACCACATCCAGAGGAAGCCTGAGCAGAAGCTGAACAGCATGCTGACCTTTTGCAGAATAAATCCTGAATGTAATAATAGCAGAGGATGTTATGAAAATGAAAACAATTGCATTAGCTGTTCCAGAAATAAATCCACTGGCTTGATGGAATATAAAAGCTAATTGGTTGCCTTTTTTTTTATAATAAGTCTAGATCTTAGAATGAAATATCCCTAATAATTTGATTATTTTGCTATGCAAGAAGGTACCATGCCTGTCTTCTAACCCTGTTATTCATCTGAAGACCCGTCTGGGTTGGTCTTTTAGAGCTGTGTCCAGCTGTGCAGAGTGGTGTGTTCTCGGGGCAGGGTGGGTTTGCTGGGTAAGGTCTGGGGTGGGATGGTAAGTAGGATTTGAAAGGGGAGCTGGAGCCCAGCCCATGTGGCTCAGTGGTTGAGTGTTAACCCATGCACCAAGAGGTTGCCGGTTCCATTCCCGGTCAGGACACATGCCCAGGTTGTGGGCTCGATCCCCAGTGGGGGGCATGCAGGAGGCAGCCAGTCGATGTTCTCTCTCCCTCTCCCTTCCTCTCTAAATAAAGAAAAAATGTTTTTTTTTTTTAAAAGAAGACAGGGAGCTGGAGAGAGAGGAGGGGGTGAGACCTACAAGGAGGCACTTCTGATCTGCCTTTCCTTGGCTCCTAAGTGACCATCCTAGTGGTCATTCTCCTTCCTGCCAACTTTCTAGAAGGGCTCTGATGCCCAGGAAAGCAGGTGGCAATTTGTGGAACTTCTGTTCCTGCTCTTGGCTGTGCCTCCTGCGATTGTGTTTTCTGGGCATTCATGCGCATGCTTTCCAGCTTGCACCCTTTCCCTTCTCCTCTAGTTTATCACAGTTCAGTGAAGAGAACATGATGGACCCCTACAACCTCGCCATCTGCTTCGGGCCCTCGCTGATGTCAGTGCCTGAGGGCCACGACCAGGTGTCCTGCCAAGCCCACGTGAATGAGCTGATCAAAACCATCATCATCCAGCACGAGAACATCTTCCCAAACCCCAGGGAGCTCGAGGGCCCTATCTACAGCAGAGGAGGCAGCATGGAGGATTACTGGTAGGGAGCTCAGGGCTGGAGGAGGGGAGGGCATCACCAATGCACACTGGCCGGGGGGCCAGATGGCCAAGCAAGACGAAAGGGAAATACCCAAATCCTCCCAGCCTCCCACTGCCGAGCTCTTCAAGCTGCCAGGATCTTCGGATGGTGTGAGCAGTGCCCGACCTCGGCCTGATCTATGGAATAAGTGCCATCTCCGCCACCTTTCTTTCCTATGAGTTCTGAGTGGTGCGGGACCATTCTGAAAGATGATGACCAGAATACAGTAATGTTTCTGCTCTCTAGGAACGGAGGTTTTGTACAGCTGTATGTGGAACTGCGGTTCACCTGTCACCGGTGTGCCTCTCGGGCTCCTGCTCCGTGCTGGGCTGGAGACAGAAGCAGTCCTGGTCCCCAGGGAGTGTCCTTCATGTTGGGAAGGGCTTAGATATGGGACATGGTTTGCTGACTGAGTTTGTAAGATGATCGTTTAGAATGGTTTCAGAAATTCGTGAAGAGAAAGAGGGTAAGCTCCCTTGTCAGCAGGTTGGCACAGTGGCACCCTGAAGTGGGACTTTATTCTGTAGGGCGAGGTTCTCATGACCTGGCCTGGGAGCAAAGCCAGGATCCCAAGGCGCTTAGACTCTTCTGTCGGACAAATACGGACTCACTTTCCATTTTACAGAGAAAGTCACTGCAGTGCACAGAGGCCAGTGACAGTCTTTCAGGCCACCCCAGTGGTGGGGGTTCCAACCCTGATCTCTTGTCTTTTAGTACAAGGCACTGTCCACTACCCCACACTGCCCCCAGGAAACCACTTACAGTGTCATTTTTCTCCTAAAGACAACTGCCTCTCTCTTTTACTCCCTAACATCCCTTACCTTCTCCTCCTCCCCCTCCCAGTTCCCCCAAATAGAGTTTCAGCCTGGGCTGAAAGCATATGCCAGCCCAGATGGGATTCCATCTGAATTCAACATCTGGAACCAATTCAGCCAGCCCCATTGCTATCGACTGAGGTAGGGAGGACAAGGGAGGTTGTTTACTTAATTAGAGGCCAATTGGTCCACGCCTCTCCCTCATCCCCACAGAAGGAGCCTCTTGCCCAGGGAGTGAAGAAAGTGATACGCATGTGTCTGTGAACATAAAAGCATCACTGACATCGCTGGGTTTCATCTTCTCCACTGTCCTACAGATCCCTGTGTCTGGGTCCGAGCTGGAGAAACCTCGGCTTGCCAGCTCAGAGAAAGCCTTTTGTCACTGACAGATGGTTGGTGGGAACTGGGGAGGTTGTTCAGGTCTCAGCCTGCTGGCTGAGGAGCTCCAGGGAGCTGTCCTTGTACATGTGACGCAGAGTTAGTTTCCCCCTCCGTGAGTGTTGGAAAGCTGCAACAGTGTTCCCAGTTCCTACTTTACTTTCCTCCTGAGTCTGCCCTCAGCGCTGGCATGTTACACCGCTGCAGGCTCTGCACTGATGGCAGGGCGTAGTTCCTCACAGCCCCTTCCAGCCCTGCTCCCTGGTGGTCCCAGCCCTGTGGAGCAGACAGCACCCCCGCAGGGAGAGGGGAGAGCTGGCCCCAGGGGCACAGGCGGGAGGACACCTTCCTCCGAGTCTCTCCAAGGTGTTCTCCTTGGCCCCTCGTTGTTTGTTATACACCCAACGTTTATTAGCCGCCTCTGGAAAAACCACAGACTAGTCAGGGAGTGTTACTACCACAGAGACAGGCCTCAGGCCAGAAGCACCCGAGGGTCAAGAGTCAGTGACCTTAGGGTTACAGGGACAGGCTGAACACTGGGCTCACACCCACTCGCAGGGCGCCCACCCTTTTCTTTCCTTTGGGAGAGAAGTGCCAGCACTGTGAGCTGAGACCGATGAAGGAGGTGAGGCAGGGGTGGCAGGAGGGTGCTGGTGCCCAAGAATTCTGAGAAATGGCCAGGCGGCCAGAACAGCCCGGAAGAGGGAGCACCCGGCCGCTTGGCCTCCTCATGCCCGTGGAGAGGAGAGGCCAGTCCCACTCCATCACATTGGCCAGCCCTGGGACCGGAACCAGGTTTGCTAGGACTGCCCGCAGTGTGGCGTGCTGGGCTCCCGAGACCGCAGGTGGTGGTGGGCCTGGGGGTGTTGCTGGGGTGTGGGCAAACAGAATTCGAGGGCAAGAAGGGACCTTTAAAAAACATCATCTTGCTTTTACCTTGGAGCAGTGGTTTTCAAAGTGGGGTCCCTGGGCCAGCAGCCTCTGTGTCACATGGGACCGGTTACAAATGCAGACTGACCTAGTGAATCAGAACTCGGGGCAAAGCAGTCTGTTTGTAACAAGCCATCGCAGAGTCTGAAGTTTGAGGACTGCCCCGTAGTGGATAGCGCGTCGATGGGCTTGGAGCCCTAGGCGAAGTGAGCCTTTGCCCTGTGCACCCCGGGCCCCAGGGGTTTCCAGAATGTCACTAAACTCAGAGGGTTTTAGGCCCAGAAAACAGTGAGAAATCTTGCCCAGATTTTTTGACAAAGAGGAACCCTGTTAATGTCCTTCCAGAATGTCCTCTAGAATCTGCAGAACCTCCTTGGAACTGACTTGCTTCTAACGGGGTTAGTTCTGAACCGGTCTCCAGGTCTTCGAGGAACTTTCTAGGAGTGAAGTACCCATCCCATGAGGAGGGAGAGGTATAGGCTCAAAGGTAGAAACTGAGGCCAGGTGAGAGTTGAGGGGGTCATGGTGCTTCTATAGAACTACCTGGAAAGGCTCATTTTATCTGCCAAATGCCAGAGAAAGAACCTTTAGAGATGAACAGGGTGGTGTTTTTTTCCCTCCCTCTCATGTGCACTATGAAGTCCGTAGGCCAGGAGATGGAGTGATGAAATGACTTTCCTAGTAACTTCCCTGGCCATTCTCGATTCTCAACCCTGGATCATTTTCGACTTCGTGAATTTTTCCAAGAACTTGACCTGACTTCCATCTCTTGCCCTCTTGCAGAGTTCAGCCCACAGCAGACTCTTCTTTTCCTGCTCTTGTTTCCCACCCAGTCCTCTGACTCACCTCCCTCTTTGTACAGTGCTTAGGCTGAACGACAAAGCATCCTAGAGACATCAAGCAAAATGAGAAAGGAGGAGAGGAAGTACTGCTTATCAATCGCCCCCTTTTATTTCGTTGAATCCTCCTTCAACTCTGTGAGCAATACAGACCATTCATAGATTATGTAGCTGAAGCTTAAAGAGATTAAGTAATTGGCCCAAGGTCACACAGCTCCAAGTGTCAGAGCTGATTTTTGGATCCAGTTGTGTCTGATACTAAAGCCTGGTATTTTTCTTCCACCATGCTCCCTCCAGGAACTAATTCACCTAGAGAAACAGCCCTTGAGAAGTTGAATCGTTCTGTATTTTCAAAAAGATGTATAAGTTCAAAAGGGGTTCCCTTTGCCCTAAGTAGTCTCCAGCAGTTTTTGTAGCAGGAGCTGGACTAGAGAACCTCAGGAACCTTGTATGTCCTTATTAGCATTTGGCGGTATATCAACGGGACATAGAGAACATATGATAGAGTCCAGGCCCTTGCTCCCAGGAAGCTGTATCAGGGAGAAGACAAGAATTTTGTAAGGCAGCACTGAGATCCTGGTTACTCTTCCTTCTGTTGCAGTGACAGCCCTCACGGAGAGACTACCTCGGTTGAAGACTCCACCCAGGATGTGACCGCAGAGCACCACACAAGCGATGACGGTACGAGGCCCTGCTTGGGTCAGCAGGGCTACCCGGGCCAAGGCCACCCTGTGCTCCTGATGAGCCTTCCTGCCCAGCAGTCCCCTGCAGACAGGCAGAGAGCTCCTTTCATTCCTTCCCTTTCTTAAAGAGGCAGCCTCCTTCTCGAAGAGAGAGGTCTCTATGTTAGACCGGAGGTGAAGAGCTAGACATTCCATAGCCCCAATATCCTGCCTTCAGCCACCTGACAGCTCCTTGTCTTGCCAGCATGTCAGTTCCCGTCACAGCCCAGACTCCTGCCAGGTAGCTAGAGACCAAAGTGAGGAAGAGCTCATTTGAAAAGTAGTAAGCCTGGGGAACATAAAAGCTCGGTGCCAAGAACCCAACAGAAGCAAGCCAGAGGGGAGTGGGAATCAGGATGCAGAAACCACACACCTCACGCCTGCCAGCTGGAAAGATTGACCCTTTCCAGAGGACAGACGCGTGGGCGCTGCGCGGCTTGGCGGGTGTGCGGGAGGGGGATGCACAGCGGCCGTTGTGGGCCCTCGCAGTGCCCAGGATTTATTAGGGCCTGTCCAGCCAGCACATTTCCCCTCTCCAACAGTTCCGGGCCCTGTTTCTGGATCGCTTGGGCTCTGGAAGTCTCAGCAGCTGACAAGGGGCCTTAGAATGTTCTGGGCGGAGAACGAATGGCGCAGTCTGTGGAGCTTTCCCTGCTCCCAGCCTTGCAGTGAATTCTAGTCCTCGGCGAGCTCTTAAAGGGGAAAGCATTAGGGCTGCTTATTTGGAGCCTGATGTCAGATGGGTCTGCATGATCATTTGCCACATTGTGGGAGGGAAGTAGGTGAACTGGGGAAGACATATTTGGTTAGAGCCTACCGTGTGCCCACCACTGCTAGAGGCTTTCTGTGTCTCACGTCCCGATCCCTGGTGAAACAGGTAGAGGTGCTTGTTTGTTTTTGGAAAACTGAGGTTAAAGGGTCAAGTGCCATACCCGAGGCTGTGTATACTGAGCGTGGGGTATGTAGGAAGCCTCTGTGGTCTGCCTGCTGCAGTGACATCTCGGTCCTGCCCGTTCGGGGGCAGACCCCCAGCCAGGGCTGTCGGCAGGTCTGGTTTGTAAGCAGCTTTCTCTCCACCACTCAGAGTGTCTGACTTAAGTCTCAGGTTCTGGCTTTCTGCAGTTCTTTTTGCTGAGAATAATGGCTAACACGTATATAGCACATACTACGGGTATTCTGGACACTTTCACAAATTGTTAAACAAACCAAAAACCAAACTCACGGATACAGATAACAGAATGGTGGTTGCCGGAGGGGAGGGGGGATGAAGAGGGGAAAGGGGATCAATGTATGGTGACAGAAGGAGACTAAACTTTGGGTTGTGAGCACACAATAGAGTATACAGATGTTGCATTATAAAGGTGTACACCTGAAATTTATATAATGTTATTAACCAGTGTTACCCCAATAAATGTAATTAAAATTATTAATCAACTCCTCTTAACACCTTCATGAAAAAAGCACTGTTATTATTCCCATTTCATAGACACCATGAAAGCTCACACTAAAGTAGAACTACATTGCAATTGTAAACCCCTTTTAATGTTTCAAATCTCTTTTATGTGCTTTTTTTCATATATTGTCCACAAAATATATTTCTGTACTTTAGTCCCTGGAAAGTTGATTGGGCAAGTTATTTCCTCTTTATAGAAACCAAAAGCTAATATTCTACTAGGGAGAATGGATAACATAAGTAAATTATTTAAAATATAATATGATAGCCCAGCCGGTGTGGCTCAGTGATGGAGCATGGACCCATGCACCAAGAGGTCACCGGTTCGATTCCTGGTCAGGACACATGCCTAGGTTGTGGGCTAAATCCCCAGTGGGGGGCATTCAGGATGCGGCCAATCCATGTTCTCTCTCAATGACGTTTCTATCTCTCTCCCTCTTCCTTCCTCTCTCTCTAAAGTCAATAAAGAAAAATAAATAAAATATAATATATGATAAATGTTCTATGATTAATGAAATTATTTTATAATCAGAAAAGAAGTGATGCTACAAATACAGTATGGCAATTTCAGTGATAGGGGTTGGCCAAACACATTACCATAGGAAGCAGGTGATCTCTGAGTTGTGACTTCGTGTGTTTCATCAGGCAGATGAGAGAGACAGGGATTCCTGGTGGAGGGAACAGCGTGAACAAAGGCAAGGAAGGACATACACATGCCTACAGGATGATGACACAGTTGACACAGGAACCACTTGCTTTATACATTCTCCATGGCTTATTTTTCATATAAGGTTATCTTCCCACCACTGTGAGTTCAGCTAATTGGGCTTTTCCGCTTGTTTCCTGAGTCTGTAAGTCCCAACAACATGTGTTTCCTTTTCTTCCGCCCCTCTCAGAGTGCGAGCCCATCGAGGCCATTGCCAAGTTTGACTACGTGGGCCGGACAGCACGAGAGCTGTCCTTCAAGAAGGGGGCATCCCTGCTGCTGTACCAGCGGGCTTCTGACGACTGGTGGGAAGGCCGGCACAACGGCATCGACGGACTCATCCCCCATCAGTACATCGTGGTTCAGGACACGTACGTTGGGCCCCTGCATCTTTCGGGTTCCCTGGCTGCAGTGTGGGAGTGTGACTGTTTCTGGAGCCATTAGAGGGATGAAGGGGACCAACCCCCCAGGGGAACCAGCACAGTGCTGAGGTCACACAGTTCCTTGAAGGACCCGGACTCAGTGGAGAATTGTTCTATTCTCACCACTGTCTGTTCCGCCTGCAAATTGCTCCTCCACCGCCACCCCCACCCCCATCAGTTTAGAAACTTGCCTATCAGCACTCATTCACACTCACGCCTGATGAGTGATAATGAGGGTTATTACTTGACCATTTATGTTTCCTTTCTGGAAAGATCAGATTGGGAAAATATCTTTATTTCTCTGGGTTTTTTTTTTTTTTAAAAAAACTATGCCCACCCTAAACTGTTGGGCCACTGTTGGCATTTTTCCACTTAAATGAAAAGGATGAGTTCCTTTTCTAGGAGAAATCTAGCTTAAGCGGCCTTGTGAAAATGACCCAATTCATTTAACCCAGATGGGGTAGACTTGGGGAAAGAGGGGAAAGGATGTCGGGGAACAAAGGGAATGAGCACTGGTCCCAAGGGACTTCCTAGAACAGGCTGTCAGTTGGTTCCCACTCTGAGGCCATGGCTCCTGGCACGAAGGCTCTTCCTGTGGCCCCCAAGCCAGCCTCCCTGCCCCCGACTTCCTCCCCTTGGATATGATGCTGTCAGAGTTTTTAGTCCTACCCTTACTATTATTTTTTAAAGGTTGATATCCTGAACGAGTCTGCACCCTCCCAGCTTCTCCCCAACTCGTTCTGCGGGAAAATCCTCCCTCTGTTGATAACATCGCAAACCTGGTGGCCATCTGTGCATGGACAGGACCCTCCCAAATTTAGCATTATGACTTCACTACAGGACCGAGAGAAGATGAATTGTGGGGGAGAAGGGGCTCTCTTTGTCATCAGTAGCCAGAGGGGCCAGGAGAGCAGTGGAGACCTGGGACCAGCTGGGACGCTCTAAGCAGGGCTGGATGTGCTACGACAAAGAGTGGCAGGGTCCCGCCTCAACGCCGGCATCTCCAGAGCCACCGCAGAGCTGACTGTCCTTACCCGGCAGTGCTTGGGACCTCGGCAGATAAATGGCAACATGAACTGGCCTCCTCCTCCTCCAGGAGGTGGCCCAGCACAGCTGCCCCAGGAAAGCAGTGTGGGGTAGAGGGCAGATGCCTCGAATTCAGGTGTCCCCTAGCCCAGCTTTCTCGAGATGCTAAGGATCTTGCAGAACTCAGCAGGATTATTTATTTTTATTTAAACGACCCTCCCAAGGCCTTAGGGTTCCTTGCCTCTGCTCACAGAGCTAGTCCGGCCAGGTGTCACTGCTGCCTCAGAGCCATTGCGGGGTTGTGTGTGTGTCGGGCCATCTTGCAGATTTAACACTGCTTTTGTGTTGTTGTTTTTCCTGCCTGCCTGTCCCTTCTCCAGCGAGGACGGTGTCGTGGAGAGGTCCAGCCCCAAGTCTGAGATTGAGGTCATTTCTGAGCCACCTGAAGAAAAGGTGACAGCCAGAGCGGGGGCCAGCTGTCCCAGTGGGGGTCATGTAGCCGATATTTATCTTGCAAACATCAACAAGTAAGCTCTGCTTTTCATTTTCTGCTCCTCTGAATGACTTGCTACACCCAGCCTCACCCTCTGGCCTAACTCCCCTTTCCATTCTGAGCTGCACGGAGGGCTCCAGCTGCCCGGGCCTCGCGGTTTGCATGTGCTCCTTGCTGCTGCAAGGCGGGCCGGGCTGCGGACGCTCCCACCAGCCTCAGCAGCAGGCCCGCGTCTTCAGCCAGCCGCCATCCTGCCACGGAGAGGGGGCTCCACTCTGTCCCCGCAGTGTTTGTCAGCTCAGACCTTCCTGGCCGTCTGACTGCTGCTAAAACTTGGGCCACCGCTTTGGTTACTTTAAGCAACTTGGTTTTATACTGTTCTCAGAAGGTGCCTTTTCTTTTCCAGTTCTTCCTCAAATAATAGTCTGTGATATCTTTCTTGGCTCTTGTCTGTCCAGAGATCCAAAGTCTTATGTGTCTTCTGGACTCACGTTACCCCAGAGAGGTTTATTCAGATGTCCTGTGTCTATGTGCCCCGTGTCCCGCATTCACTCCTGGGAAGGAAAGGAGACCACCGTGCCCTCGCGGAGAGCTTGGTCCTCCGCTCTTTATCCCTTGTCTAGCTCCTAGCTCCTTTCCTTCTGCCCTTTCACGCCAATAGAAATACTTCTCCACTTTCCCCTGTTGCTTTAGCCCTGTGTCTTATCCTTCCCTGTCAGTCCCTTTGCAGATTCCCACTCCTATCCAGCAGGCTCTTAACTCTGCCTCAGCTTTCATTGTGGCTGTTAGCAACATCCTGGGTTTTAACTCCACCCACACCCGATCTGGCTGCCTAGAGGGATCCCACGCCTGCGTGCTGCTGCCTCCCCTCGAGACATTCAGGTTATTGGAGAACTAATCTCATCTCAAGGGGCCAGACACCAAGTCCCAAAGCCTACAGACCTCTTTCCGCCAGACCCTGAAACTTGGCCCCGTGCCAGCAGGATGACAAGCCCCAGGGCGCTCCTGATGAATATGGATTGGAGATGATGTACAGTTTTTATTCCCCTCTGGCTTTGGAGGAATGAAATGATTTGCACATTGAAAACCTGTTAACCGTAGCCTCTGGACACTGAAACTGGAAGGAGAATAAAAGATGCTTGTTGTTTTTAAACTGCACCAGGTCGCCCAGATCTCTTGGCTTTTTTCCAACCAGACGGTAGCAGGGGGCGTGGTTGGGGCACGTGGCTCTTCTTCATGTCTTTCTCCCTCAAGTTCATCAAGTGGCTAATTCAGCTCTCAGTCAGTGCAGTTGTAACTGAAGTCAGACCAGTAAAAACGATGGAGGATTTTATTTATTTCCCTCCAGCATAGTGCCCTGCTGGGAGGGCAAGGTAGTAAAAACTTACTGTGGGCTAATCACATTTTTTCCCCTTATTACTAGTCTATGTTAATTATAAACCTATAATCATAAGGTCATATGCCTGTAATTAGCGCAGAAACCAAGACAGGATTGGTGGAGGGAGAGTTAAAGAATTAATTAGGTACACGTTCTTAAGCCATCATATAGTTGACACCGTCTGTACAGAGGAAGGGTACAGAGCAATAGCTGACATAGTCCAAAGATAAACACCTGACAGAAAGTCAGGTCAGTGCCCTTGAGTTCCTTGCTGGGTGGTGTCAGGATGGGGTGTTTGGAGGACATGGTCTACCTGGGCACCAGCCCCCAGGCGTCTCATGCCCTTAGGAGTGACTCTGCCGTCAACTCCTGCCCATCGCTCCTAAGGCCCCTCACTTCCTGAGTGCCCCAGGTTCTCTCACCCGACACACCTGCTGTCTCCTCGCCTGGTTACCTCCTCTCCCTTCAACATTGAGTCCGAAGAGTTACCTCCTTGGGGAAGTCTTTCTGACACCCCTAGTTCCTCGGGGCTGAGGTAGGTGCCCTTAGTCTGTCTTCCAAAGCAGTGTGAGTACCTTCAGGACCCAAGCTGCACTCAGATCCACCAGCAGGCTGAGCTCTTTGAAACCGGGAACTCTGACTTCCTCGCTCACATCCCTGGGGCCTGGCCCGGGACCTGGCACACACCAGCCGCTCCACAAATCTTCTCAGCAGCTTTGCTTGTGAGTCAGCCATCCTCGAGTGGAAAAAGGAAATCAGCAGAGTTATTGGGGTGTGGCATTCCAATTTAATTTCATACATGTATTGAGCACCTACTGTTGTGCCAAACACCGAAACTCGTTATTCAGAGAGGAAGAAAATGGTCCTGGTGACAGCTCAGTTTGCCAGGGTACATACCATATAGACAGAGAACTAAAAAGCAGTGCTGTAGATGCTCTGGAGGAATGGGGGATGATCAATCCTGCCTACCGTTGGAGTTGGGTGCCAAGGAAGACGGTCAGAGTTATTTCAGCTAGGCTCTATAAGACACAGAACGTCCTTTTTCCCACTCAAAAATGTCTGGCATTCACAGCTAAACTACTGAGCAGGCAGCTTCATGGAACAGCTGCTTTGTGCCAGGTCCTGGTCCAGGCCCTGCAAATATACAATGAGGAAGACCAAACCCATCAGAGTACTTAGAATGCTGGTCCTGCCTCCAGACAGGTCCTGCCCCCACCCTTCTTCCACCCTCAGCTCCTACCTCAGCCCCAGTCACTCTTCTTAGATTTAAGACCAAAGCTGCTCAGCTGACATCCCAAACCAGAAGGTCTATGGCTTCTTAGATTCGGTCCTTTAGAAGCTGATTCCAAAAGAAACTGAAATTATTCAGCAGTAGGCTGAGAACCTTAGTGATCTGAAACATACTGGCTCAGAGCCAGAGCCAGGGTTCAACCCAGTGCTGGGTGATTTAGGGTCATGTAGATGTATTTCCACCCTAAGGAAATGCACAAACTTGGCCCTGACTCTGCAACATTGCAGTCTTTTGAAAAAGACTGTTCCATGTCTGCAAAATAAGTAACAACAGCCTCTCGCCAAAGCCCAAAATGATTGCAGCCTTGTAGCTGGAGAAAGAAACAGGCTAAAATTTGGGAAAGTCAAGTCTCTTACCAGCAATTCCCCACCTCCTTGGTGATGGTGAAACTTTCTCCTCCCTGGGGCCTGGTTTCTGTTCAAAGCAGGTAATAGAGGGGCCTTTCCAAGAATCTCTCCCATTAGAAACTTGCACTTAACCAGACATTTTTCCTGACAGCAGCATCTTACATCTCAAGAACTCAAGGCTCATAAGTGCCAAGTAAGTATCCACTTTTCCTTTGCCCAGGGGGGTGTGGCAGGGGAACAGAGACATGGAGAAAGCAAGGGAGAGAGCCTGCTCTGTGTCCCTCTCCTTACAGAAGTCTTGGGGTGCCAGCATCTGCCCTCTCTCATTCATCCTAACTTCCTGGGAGCCAAGGCTCCCTGGTCACACTGCCCTCTCTGTTTGTGATTGAAGGCAAAGGAAACGGCCAGAATCTGGGAGCATCCGGAAAACATTTCGGAGTGACAGCCATGGGCTGAGTGGTTCCCTCACTGACTCCGCCTCCCCGGGGGTGGGGGCTACCTGCCGCCCATCTTCCCAGCCCATCATGAGCCAGAGTCTCCCCAAGGAAGGGCCAGATAAGTGTTCCATCAGTGGGCACGGGAGCCTCAACTCCATCAGCCGCCACTCATCCCTGAAGAACCGGCTGGACAGCCCACAGATCCGGAAGACAGTGACAGCCGGAAGGTCAAAAAGCTTCAATAACCATCGGCCCATGGATCCTGAGGTCATTGCACAGGTAACTGAGGGCTCCTGGACAAGCAGCTGACATTAGGCTACACTTGTCACTACTGCTCAGTGTAGCCCATGTTAACTGTGGCCAAACCTGAAACAGAACAGTGCTTCGTGCATTGTGCCCTGAGTTCAGGGACTGCTAGACATCTGGACCTGATAAGATGGCTTTTCAAGAAATTGTCCTCAAGAAGAACTTGCAGGCAGAATAAAAGAATTTAGGCTTCTTGCTCATATATGGCTATTTGTAAGACTGCTGTAATTTGTAAAGCCAGTAGTTACATATAGAGTGTCTTGACAGAGTCCATACAGCCCATGTTTTGAGTCTTAAGACACTTGTGGAGTTGAGGAAGTTTCCTGAGTGTTGAGGCTCAGATGTGCTGGCCGCATTTTAAACAATTGTTGACCGGTGCCCCACCTCAGGCCTTCATCACACTAGTGTCTGCATCCATGAGCTATGCATATATGTTCTTTGGTTTAGCTCTCCCCATCCCCGTCACTCCCCTCCCCCCTGAGATCTGTCAGTCTGTTCCAGGTATCCATCTCTGGACATATTTTGATTGTCAGTTTATTTTTTATATCAATCTGCCCATCCCCATCATCCCATTTTCTAAGGCTAATATCTGGACCCTTGAAATAGATAGATGATCAGTCAACAATCTGCTCCTGGTCTTGAAGGCCCCAAAATACTCTGCTGCTGGGGGCTCAGATACCAGAAGGATTTCCAGCCCAAGTCTCCGGGTGCAGTGGAGATGAGTTCCATAGTAACTGGGGTCTTCTTTCCTCGTATTCACTACACTGACAAGTGTCTGTTTTCCATGAAATATTAGAGATCCAACCCCACCTCTAAAAACCCGACTGCCAGGCCCACTCCAAGCAGCTCACTCAGACGTCTCTCCCAACTCTATAATTTTCATTAGACCAGGTAGGAATAAGGGCTCACCGTTGCCCTCTTCTGTCTCAACCGAGTTGAGATTCTCCTCGCCCCGTCTTTCAGGGCGCATTTGAAGCTGGGTGTGGTCTCTCTTGACTTAACTGTGGCTCTCTGCTTAGAGAAGGTGTACCTGGTGAATTCAGTGTTAAGCTCCGGGCCCAGATATCTTGCTTTGCTAGCCTTCTGTTTCTGTGCCTCTACGTGAGCTCTTGTCTGCAGTCTGCCTCTTACCATAGGAATCCTCCCAGCTCCCTCTGTGGCCAGGTGTCAATAGGAGTGTCAGAATAAGTACATAGCTGGGACAGACTCTAGCTGCAGAGAAATGGAGTTCTTCCTGAGCTCCTGAGTTTTTAAGGTTAAGAACATCATAGGGATGCATGGACTTGAATCACTGCCAACAGAACACATGGGTCATCCTGTGAGACAAAGGACCCTTAACCAAGGGCTTTTGCCTGGAACATACTCTCTCGTTCAGTAATTCCAAGGGAAGCGCCCTGTGGTGGTTTAGGGGTGCCAGACACATGTGTGGGGAGGGGGCAGGGCTGGGAGGTTTCCCTAGGAGGCAGCTGGCTGCATACAAAGGGTCTTTGGTTCTGCCTTGAGCCCTGAGCTAGGACTGCGGTTTACTCAGATCCTAAGGGTTCCACTGGGACTTGCAGAAGGTGATTCACCTATGTGGGCTCTGGCTCCCCCTCCTGGTAACTCTTTGGTCCCCTCTCTTGGTGATGGGTAGAAGGAAATGAATGGCTTCATCCAATTGCAGGGAGGGAAGGGGCAGGAAAGAGAGATACCCTGATGAATCTTCAGGGCCAGGACTCTTAACCCTTTCCTCAGCCCTTGAGGAGGAAGAATTAACCTTCTTAACCTTAAAGTCCAAAAGAACAAAGATTGCACTTCATCTCTACTACTGTAAAAAATGTTTATTATATACAATTTCAAGCATATACAAATGTAGAGAGAAATGCATAATGAATCCCTTGTACTCATAACCAAATTCCTGGCCATTCTTTTAGTTCATCTACCTTTTCTCTCCCCACTGGATTATATAAATACTTCATTCGTAAATATTTCAGTGCATATCTCTAAAACCCCAGGACCCTATTTTAAAAACATCTCAACCATTCATTCTAAAGGGGAAAAAAAGATCTCATGATAATGCAAATCCCTTTGTCCCCCTTCCCCCACATTCTGAACATTCATATGTTCAAGGATTTTGGCCAAGTAAAATAATCTGGACATCTCATTGTAGTTGGTCTCGCCACAATTTGGCCTATGGTGTTGAAATCGGCTCCTTGGGGACTTCTCCCTACATTCGCCTCACCTCCTCCTTTTTCCTGTTTTGCAGGATATTGAGGCAACCATGAACTCTGCCCTGAACGAGCTACGGGAACTGGAGCGGCAGAGCAATGTCAAGCATACCCCGGACGTGGTTCTGGACACCTTGGAGCCCCTCAAAACCTCCCCGGTGGTGGCCCCCACATCAGAGCCCTCCAGCCCCCTGCACACCCAGCTCCTCAAGGACCCCGAGCCCGCCTTCCAGCGCAGCGCCAGTACGGCCGGGGACATCGCCTGCGCCTTCCGGCCCGTCAAGTCTGTCAAGATGGCTGCCCCGGTCAAGCCGCCAGCCACACGACCCAAGCCCACTGTCTTCCCCAAAACAAATGCCACTAGCCCTGGTGTCAACTCCTCAGCTTCCCCACAGTCCACTGACAAGTCTTGTACTGTCTGAGGGGTATAATTTAATTGTTCTAGACAAGGGGACGAGAGGGACTGACTGTTATTAAAATCTTCCTATTTAAATAGCTTGGGGACTTCAGTTGAAAATTAGATTTAAGTTGTTCTTGCAGGAATTAGCCTTCCCATCACCCAAAATCCTGAAAATGAAGCCCTCATTATCCCCCTGCCTGGCCCTTCCCATTGCCCTCTGCTTCCTCCAGCCGTCGTAATCCAGCCAGCCGCAGTACGTACTGTTCTTAGGTTAGCCAGAGATAGACTTTTCCATTATCAGGTCACTGTGAAATCTGGCCAGGCAAGTCATGAGGACATGGGCTCAAGTCTCAGTCCACTAAGACATGGGGGATGCCTAACCAGATGGTTGCCTACTGACATCCAGCTCTCAGTGGCATCTTGTTTTGGGTACTGATTATAGAGAATCATATGTAGTCCATTTAGTCCATTCTTCATTTTACTTACACACACACACACACACACACACACAGGCTTTTCTAAACTCTGGAATGTGTAGCCTCTCCTGGTCCTAGACCAGTCTCCTTGTTAAGTTATTGTGGCAGTTCACACAGGAGCCAGCAGGGGTCACTGTTTCCATTACAACCCTTGTTCGGTCTGGGCCTGAGAACCTAGCCTTTGCTATCTCTCCATCATATGATATTAAGCAGGATGGGACTCAATCCTGTGATCTGTTTAAGGGTTGGGGGCTTTCTGTCTTCTTTCTATTGGTGTGAATTGGTCCTTGGTATCTGCTTTTGCTCCCCTCCATCTTCTAGAACTACAACTCAATCTTATTATGGAACTTCTCAAGTTTTTCTGAATGTATAGACATTTCTTGGTTTCCTATCTTTGTCTCTGACAGACCATTTTCCATTTAAGACGTTTTCCTATATAAGACAGTTTTATAGCTGGTTCCTTTTAGGATAAAGAGTCTCAAGAGAGTTTCATTGTGTTTATGGCAGGTTTGGAAAAGGTAAGAAATGGGTCCTTCCTCCCACTCATTTGGGCACTTAAGACAATTCATTACTCTATTAAAAAATTAAATTCAGCTTTGCTAACCCCAAAATTGTTCCCAGACATCCTGAGTTCACCCTCTAGTTTGGTTATTCTATAAGGTCTCTCTTCAGGGACCAACAAGGGCTTGGGAGAGCCCTCGTTAGATTAAAGAGAGACATTTCTCCTTAAAACACATTTTCTTGTATCCAAACAAGGACAACCATGAGAACCTTGGCCCACGGGCGTTAACATCTTTCCAAGGCCGGAATCTAAGGAAATTAAAAAGTGGATGCTGAATATTTTGGCCTTCCGTTGGCCCTTTTTCTGGTACTCCAAAAAGCAAAAATGATGCCCTGGTCTGCTTTAATCCAGTCTCTAAACCTGGTGCCCATGGTCCCAGCTCCCCCCTGGCATCATGCTGTCCCAGGAGGACCAGGGCTGGGGACAGACCGCCCCACTCCAGGCTTGAGGCTCAGACACCTACTTGAGTTAAAGTTGAAACTCATTCCTCTTGTCTGTTTTCTGGTTTTAAAGCTCCAATTTTAGCCTTATTATTTTCTATAGTTCAGGAGAGATGGTGGGTTGCCATTCAGATAGGAAAAATCTGAATTTTCTTATCTTTAGCTTAGAAGAGTCTTTCTGGACCAACATTTTGAAGTTAGTAGTTGGTTCCGTGGAAGTGGTAGGATGTTCCTCGTTCTGCGTGAAGGGAAAGAGGAGCTTTGTGGGAAATCACTAATTGGAAGGATAACCTGTACCACTCGGGAAACCATCTCAAGATGAAAAGGAGAAACGAAGAGCTCCCGCAGTGGAGTGACTCAGCCATACAAAGCAACCCACAGTCCCCTGGATTCTTGGCTCTTATCGCTCCGTGTGGTGGCCTGTCCTTGTCTATCACCTGGACTTACACAGGTCTTGAGCCAACAGGGTCTTTCATACCCGAGGAGCTATTTCCTTGCTGAAAATGGAACCCCACCCTTCACTTTACATTCCTTTCGATCCAACTGATCCAAATTGGTACTCATACCTGCCCCTTTCCCCTCCCTCAGCACACTCCTCTCTAAGAAAGTTAAAAGCAAGGCTTTCTTAATAACAGTGCTTTGGGCCTATTCTGTTCCTGCCTTATTTCTCTTTCAGCCCTGTACATGACTGTTCACCACCCCCTTGGTCAGTGTCCGTCTGCTGATTTGCATCATGAATTGGACAGTGTGTGAATGGCCACCCTCCCCCCGCTGGGAGTCGAGCTGTCTTCCCCTCTCTGGTGCTCCCGACACCTGTGAGATGGTCCTGTCGAGAGGACTAGGAACCCATAGAAGGAGAGTCCTTCTCGGCAGAGCTCGTTGCCGTCAACTGGAATTGAGGTTGCACACTGTGATTTTCACACCGAAAAGCCAAAAGGAACTGGCCACCCCCGGGCCTGGGGAGACCAGCCTTCCTCAGATACGCTTGCCTAAACCAGCATGATCAAACAGCCCCGCTCTGGCCCTTGAGGCATGGACCCTTTTCCTGGTGTGGACTCTGATGGGTCGGTCTTTGGGGAACAGGTGGGGTGGGGCCACCAGCATCCCAATTTGGAAAAAGAGGAGTTTGCAGCCAGCAGCCTGTAAACTGGAAACACTGGTCTCGGCCAACCTCCTCAGGGCATCCTGGTTTCTCCCCAAGGAAGCAGGAGAGATGACCCCGCAGCAGGACGAACGGAGCCCTGGAAGGGCTGGTGTGGACGTACTTCACGTTGCAGAGAAAAGCTAGATCTTCCAGGGAATTGCAATGTTGTGGCGTCTGACGTGTATGTCACGTTTGTGTACAATGGTGTATTCTTTAAATGGTGTTGATAACTGGAATATTGTATGTATGCTTGGAGATGCTTTGTGTGAACCTAAGACTGCCACTCAACAGATGTTGGATTGGGGAAAATCCAAAGCACAACTTCAAAATAAAATACATTTTTAGGTTTCAGTGCTACAGTTTATATCCCTTCTCCATTCCCTAAAATCTCCAAACCATCAGTTCAACTGCCCAGGAGGGATTTTTTCTCGCTTTTTTTTTAAACCCTCACCTGAGGATATTTTTCCACCGGGGATCAAACCTGCAACTGAGGTATGTGCCCTTGACTGGGAATCGAACCCATGACCCTTCAGTCTGCAGGCCAGCGCTCTAACCGCTGAGCCAAACCGACCAGGGCCCAGGAGGGATTTTGATGTGTCCCTGATAACAGCATTGCCTAGCAACAGAACAAGAAATTAGGTGATACTGGGAGCCAGCCACCTCCCTCCCCCACGCAGCCATAGCACAGGTGTATTTAGAATGTGGATTTTCCCTCCTGGCATTTCTATTTATCCCATGGGTAAAACCTAAGAGGTTATGTAGAAAGTCTTCTGGCTTTTCATTGGGTAGTCTGTTGCCATGAGAACCATTTCCTTGACAGAATCCACCTCCCCTGTTTTCAGTGAGGACTGTTCTCATTTCTGTCTCTAGTCAGATTTCCATTCGGGAATGGGGCCTGCGAAGTTGCTTGGAGGCTTTGCCAGCCAAAACCAAGGGTGACTGATGGTTTTAGTTCCACAACCAAAGCTCTGAGTCATTCTGCCCTCGTCAGTCCCCTGCCTCCAGGGGGGCTGACCATATGCTTGTGCTGTTGGTGTTGAGTCCTGGGGTGGGGGACATACAGAAATGCTTCGTCTCCTTCAGATTTTGATTCTAGCAGATCATAAGTTCAAGGCTGAGGTTATTCAAAGATAAATGCATCCTCAAGCCCTTAGGGCTCACACTTACTCTTCGTGGGCTTATTCTAATATCGGAAGCCCCTGGGGGTGGATGAAATCTCACATCCAAGGGAGTGCCGAGTGTTCAATGGTAATACAAGGACTACTCCAGGCCCTAGACCAGACACTGTCCTCTGAGGTTTGTCGTCACTGTTTGTGTGGCTCAGCTCCCCCGCCCTCACTAATGGTAGAGCTACGTCTGAAGCTTCTCTTGCTAGTCGTTGTTCTTGAATCACCTGCCACCTGTGTGATGGATGGTTCCCACTCCTGAGTTTAGGTGGTGAGCTGTGAGGTGGGCTAGTTCTCAAGCTTTGAGCAAAGGACCAAAGAATCTTTCCAGACAGCCCTAAGGCAAAGTGGGCTATTCTTTTGGGATTCTTTCCATTCGTGTCACATATTCTGACGGGAGCTTGATGGAAGCTACTGGTGTTGATACATTGGAAACATAGGCCCATTCCGTCCAGATAAAGCCAAACCTAAGTGATCACAGCCATAGTGGGTATACTCGGGAGTCAGCAGCCCCGGCCTATTACATATGCCAAAGACTCGTTCATTTAGTCCATCAACGAACGTGAAGCTTCACTGTGTGCCGAGCGCCGTCACAATATTGAGCAGGAGAAGCGGGTAATGGAGCTTGCTTTCTAGTTTCAGGGAGAAGAGATCAGGAAGCAAAGTGAGTGTTTACTCTGAAAATGAAAGTGCCGGGGTTTTTTTTGTTTTGTTTTGTTTTGTTTTTTATGAAAATACATACAATTTTCTTTTCTTTTTTTTTAAATTAATTTATTTTTGTTACAGATGTTTCTCCTTTTCCCCCCATTGATTCCCCCCTCCCCCTAGAGTGCCGGTTTTGGACAAGAAAAGGCCATTATGGGGCAAGGAGTAGCCCAGTCAATCGAAAGTTCTGTTTGGCCCGGTGAAGTTGAGATGACTATCAGACATCCAAGTGGACATAGCGAATAGACTCTTGAATGTAGGAATGTGGAGTTTTGGGGACAGATCACACCTGAAAACAAATTTAGTAACTATTAAATTGTAGATGTATTCAAATGGTGAGGTTCCCAGAAAAGATATAGAAATGGGGAAAAGAGAAGGTATCAATAATTAGAAACCCTGCAGAGAAGAAGGAACCAGGAAAGGACAGAGGGAGCGGGTGACAGAGGTAGGTGGCTGGGAGAACACAGGGTCACAGAAACCAAGAGAAGGAAAGTTTCAGTCCGGTGGAGGGACCCACAGCAAAGGCGGGTGGCATCAGGTGAAGCCAGCGGAGAAAGGCGACCTGGACAAGAGCATTTTCAATAGAGGAGAAATGAGTCTGACTGGGCAGCAAAAGGGAAGGGCAAGGGGAGTCAGGGACTCTTGGCGGCCCATTCAAAGGTGTTTTGATTGGGGAGCACCAGAGGGGGTGGAGGGATCAGACTTTTTGAAACGGACAGCGTTAGTGCCTGCGTGTTTGCTCCAGGACAGGGCCCAGTTGAATGGAGAGGGACCGCGCAGGACAGGGCGAGGGACAGAGCACAGAGGGAAGGGGTGGCCAGGGCCAGAGGAGGGGCACTTCCACCTCATGGGAGGGAGGCAGGTGTGAGAAGTAGGCAGTGGTTGTGGGGGTGAGAAGAAGAGGGAGTTCCCTTTCGATTGCTCCTTTTATTTCAGTGAAGTCTAAGGCTTTCGCCGAGAGAGTGGGAGAGAATGGTGAGTAGGAGGTTTGAAGAATGAAGAGAATGAGTGAAATAGTTTCCATGCCAAGGACAGCGCATGGGGGTTCAGGGGTGCTGTTCCCACGGCACCTTTTTCCACTGCTTGGGGGCAGAGGAGGAGGGGTAGCACCAGGTCTGGCTGTGGTGTTTGTCCCTCCTCCAGCCAAAGGTCCTGGCCAGAGCTGACTGGTGAAGGTGGCAAGGAGCAGGGCTTGGAGACCATGTCCCTCTGCCCTGGATAAATGCCTGAGCATGGCAAGGACACACTGCCCTGACCTTCCTCGTCCTTCTGCCCTCATCCTTCTGCCCCTCTTCTTCAAGGCACTGGGCAGCTGAGGCAGCTGTGACAAGCAGGCTCAAGCCGTGTCAGGGCAGAAAAGGACGCTGGTGTTTATTCAGGGCCTGGCCGGTGGCAGGCACTTCGTCTGGTTTTGTTTCACGCCAACCCTAGGAGAAAGGTCATGACTTGCTCAAGGTCATGCAGAGCCAGTGGTGGAGTCAGGACTCACACCTCCGTGATGGCCAAGCTCCTGTCCTCTCCAGCGTACACTGGGTCTCCCTTCGTAGAAGGCAGACGCGAGCTTTCCACACACGCACCCCTCAACGAGAGCTGCCATCCAACGCCCGTCTTCTCGCCTCCGGTCCTTGGCCTGCCTCTGAATTGCCACTTCTATGTCCATGACTCCTCAGAGCCACTTGGGAACATGTGGCGAAGCCTCTCACAGACTTCCTCTTCCTTCAGGAGCCGGCCAGGCCCCTGCACCGCCCCAGATCAGACGTGCCCGGCTGCCCAGCTGGGCCAGCAGCTCAGAACCACAGACAAGACAGTCATTCATTCATTGTGTCCCCAGGGAACAATGTATCCTCAGGGAATGTCCAGCGAAACCGGCCCTGCACTCCAGCCCACCTCCCACCTCTCCTCTCGCCTGACCACACCTGGTGCCCTGAACAGGTCACCCTCTTTCCCTACTCCTGTGCCTCCTCAACTCTCCCCCTGCCTGCCGTGCTTTACCTTTAACCCCCAAATCACTCACTACCTGCCCATTTGTCTTAGACTGTTCACCATGCTGTCCTGAACCCCAGCTCATCAACATCTCTCCCTTGTGTCCTCAGCACACAGTGCCTGCTTCCTAGTAGGTTCTGGACACACACACTTATTTATTTTTTTAAATACTCACCTGAGAATATTTTTTTTCCATTTATTTTCAGACAGAGTGGGAGGGGGAGAGAGAGAGAGAGAGAGAGAGAAACATCGACGTGAGAGGGACACACCGACTGGCTGCCTCCCGTACGACCCCGACCAGGGCCAGGGACCAAACCACAAGCGAGGTACGTGCCCTTGACCAGAATCGAACCCACAACTCTTTGGTCCGTGGGCCGGTGCTCTAACCATTGAGCCAAACCGGCCAGGGCTGGACACACACTTACTGCTCTGAGGACACTAGGAGAGAGACTGGGCCGGAGACAGAAGAGTAGGTGTGCTGGTGAGAACTGAGCAGTTTGTCAGGGAAAACAGTAGATTCTTAGGGGTAGACTAGAGATTACATTGCAAACCTCAATGGCTTAAAACAACAAAGGTTATTATTAATCACCAAAGCCACATGTCCCCTGTGGGCCAGCAGAGGGCTCTGCTCATCAGTCACTCAGGGACCCTGACCGAAAGCAGTTACCAAGTCTAACAGTCACTCTGTCAGATGGCAGAGGGCTCTTGCATCAGCATTAAATGCTTTGGCTGGGAAATCTCATGGCCCCACCCAGTCCCAGGGTGCCACGGAGCGCAGTTCTACCATCTGCCGAATCCTGGGAATCCTGGGTGGAGGGTAGGAGAAGCTCAGGGACATTTCTCTTAGTCCTGCTGTGACAACCGGCGGTAGCACCTCCGGTAGGGCCAGCAGCAGAGCCTCTGGCTGCGTTGACAACAGGTATGCCTGTCTGAGCAGGAGGCGCGGTTCAGCTGGGCTCCAGTTCTGGGTTCTGGTGTCACTGTGCCAGGGGGTGCTGCAGAGGAAACCACCAGGTGTGGCCATGGGAAAGTCCCTCCAACATTCTATAGAAACATGGAGTTTCCTGGTTTTAACCATTTCTTATCCAACTTGACATCTCGGAGCTGACCAGAGCAGGACAGACCCCTGCAGCCTCCTAGGACATTTTACTGGGGGCACTGAGACCTGACTGGGATTCCGCACACCTGGGTCCGAGCCCCAGCATCCCTGGAGACCAACGGCAAATTACTGAAGGGGGTGGGCCTCCAGGCCCTCAATGCCTGTCTGTAAAGTGCTTTGCGGGCCCCCAAGCATCTCCACATATGTTGTTCCCTGTCATCCACACAACCAGCACAGTCAGTGGTACTCTCCTCGTGCTCGGAGGATAAAGCTGACTGGGAGGAGCTGTGTGCTGTGTTCAAGGTCATACTGGAGGCAGAACCGGACCCCGCTGCTTCCTCCTGGGCCTCGGAGGGCTCAGTGAGAAGACAAATCAGACCCTCGCTGGGGCTCCTGGGTGTGGGAACTTGGTCTTTCCAGGCAGCTCTCCACTTGGTTAACTCGCCCAACCTGCTCTGTTGACTCTGGGCCAGGCCCTGAACTTCCCTGCTCTGGTGAACTTTGGGGAAATGCCCAAAGAGCACCCTGTGGCCTGCCACAGCTGCCCAGCCTTCGTCCCCAGCCTCTTGTGGCTCAGACTCCTTGTCCTATAGCCTCCACTTGGGAGCTGGGAGCATCCTCTTCCTCCTTCCTGCCGGGGCGGCTGCAGCGGCCCTGTTGCCTGTCTCTTTAAGAGAGAGAGGACGAAATCAGGAAGTGTGAGAGGGCTGCTGGCCGGCTGGGAGGGAGCTGTGTGGCTGTGTTCACGCATGGAGGCCGGGAGGCGGCTCTCAGCTCCCGGCTCTGCCAGCTCCCCAGTGGCACTCAGATGTTTCCACTGGCCCAGTCTCTGAGTCCCTGGGTCCTGTAAGCACCAGGATGCTGTGGGCACTGCCCATGGATGACAGTGCGCCCTGAAAGCCCCAGGGGTACCACCCAGTCCCACCAGCCTGCATGCCCCACAGCTGGGATGTGGTGAGTGCAGGGTCCCTGGGGGAGGCTGGTTGGGGGGTTCCCGGGGGGAAGGGCAGCTGCAGGGTGAAGTGTCAGTGCTGACCTGTGAGCAGTGGCTCTCCAGACCAATGTCCCCTCTCTGCGTCCCTCTGCCACTGCTGGGGGCCTGGCAGTGCCCTGTGTTCCATCTCCAGCCGTCACCCTTGCAAAGGACGGCTTGGAAGCCAGTGAGGGCAGAGAGGACTGTGGCACAGAGAGCTGCCGTCCACCTAAAACGCTCCTTTTCCGGCTCTGCTTCCCAACACCCCGTTCAGCTCTGTCTCTACACTTCCCTCCTGCCTGGCTCCCGCACCTGCCCTCACCTCTCCTGGGGTCCTTCTCCCTGCCCAAGTCCTGGGAGCGCGTGGCGAGGAAAGCCTCCTGGAGCAGCTGGGGAACGAGGCTGGAAAGCCCCAGCCCCGAGGGGGGGGTGACAAACAGGAAAGGGTTAAAGGGCTGGGGCTGGTGGCCTTTGATGGAGGCTGAGAATGAGCCGCAGTAAGGGGTGCCTCTCATCCGCCCTCCTCTTTCCGGTGTAGCTCAGCTCCTGGACTTGCAGCAGACAGAAAGCATAACACACACTTGACAGGGAGGGTCTCTGCCTGACCCAGACTGCTCAGAGCGCGGGGTAAGTGCATTAGAATACACGGTAAGTGCGTTTGGCAGCAGCCGAGCCGGAGGAGGAGAGATGGAGGTGGTGGGTGGGGCTGGGCTCCCGGGCTGCGCCGCCAGCCCTCCTACATCCAACCGCCACTGAGGGCGGGGAGCCCTTTCAGGCACTGGGGGCTGTGCTAGGGCTTCACACCCTCCAGACCCCCCGGAGATTCCTCCTGGGTGGGGGCGCAGGCACCTGACCAGCTCTTCCCCCCTGAGCTCTTACATTGTCTCCAGGGAGCCCTCAGTACCTCCGCTACTTCTGTGACATGCAAACACTAATGCCTTTTCTGAACTAGAAATTTACCACTGATCTAACGAGGTGGCCTCTGGCTCAAGGAATTTACCTTTTCCAATTTTACATTAAAAAAAACACATACACACACAAAAATTACAGAAAGAAGACTCAGAGCCTCTGTCCCAGGAAGGGTGACCTAAGGGTTGAGAAACCTGTCGGTCAGAAGAGGAAGCCCCATCTCTGCCGCTCCTTGTCCGGCCATCCCGGAAAGACCACAGGCACTGAGTTCAGCTTCTGAGGCTCCGCTCCCAGCCAGCTGCTTTAGAGGAACTGGGTTGGGAAAGAAGAAGGAGGCAAAGAGGGGAACACAGTTACAGAGGTTTTCAGATCCTCCCCAGGGCTCCTGAGCCTTGGATTAGATGGTTTCCTGCCTCCTCCACCCCTACACACACGCACACACACACGCACGCACGCGCATGCATGCACACATGCACACACACATGCACGCACATGCATGCACACGCACACACACACACACACACACACACATACACTGCAGCAGCCTGTCCACCTGGTGCAGCCAGCCATTCGCTCATAGCAGCAGGAAGCGGTGGACACAGGCAAGTGGGCGGAGGGGGCTGGGGCTCCTGTTGCAATCCTGGAGGTTTGCAGTGGTGTGGTTGATGCTGCCTGACCTGGGGCCCTTCCTTCCAGCACAGTGCTGCTTCCTGGGACAACCCCAGACCTGGATGCCAAAACCCAGAATTCTCAGTATCTGGGAGAGGTGACAGGGGAAAGGGTTTGTCTGCAGGATGGCCTGTTTGGGAAGGGGACTTGAGGGGACCCGAGGAATGGGACAGGTAGAATACCCTGTGGTGGGACGGGGGCAGGCTGTAGGCTGAGGGCCTGGCGGCCGTGCTTCCTTTTGGAGAAGGTCTTTGACCTTTCCGTTCATACTGCCCTGCTGCCCTGCCTCTGGAATGGCCACGCGGAGCCTTCATGGGGTGGTCTCGGGCACAGCTCCTGGTCAGGCCCTGTGCCCACCCCATCGGGGATGCAGCTGTGGACCCAGCATGTCCTTCCAGGCAGCCGAGGGCAAGGATGCAGAGCACAGCCAACTACCTGTGGCACACGGACGACCTGCTGGGGCAGGGGGCCACTGCCAGCGTGTACAAGGCCCGGAACAAGGTAGGGCGCAGCCCTGGCCACCACGGCATCTCATGCCCAGAAAGTTATTAGCCCAGGCAGCCCCGAGTGGGCATCCAGGGTGGTGTGTGGCTGGGCAGAGGCCTCTGGACTTTGCCTTACATACTCTGGGGTCAGGGGACACCGGGTTTGAGCAGAGACATGGGGAGCTGCCGAGGGCCCTTGGCTGTCGCTTCTGGTAGGCACATTGGGACTGGAGAGAGAGGTGAGGACACAAAGCCACCATTGGAGATGACAGCGAATCTGGGAGCAGCAGGGGCGGGAAGCTGGGCTCGTGTGGGTTCTTTCTGCCTTCAGCGCTGTGTCACGCACAAGACATACTGTGCTATCTCATCTGAAATGCTGAAGCTCCAGGCCCAGCTCCGCTGCTAACACCAGAAAGCGCTGGCTGCCGTTGTTGTTATTGTCGATTGTAATAGCAACAACAAGCCCCGTCACCTCAGTCCTGGACTGACTGTGCACCCTCTGAGCAGAGGAGAGAGCTGGGGGTGGGAGCCCCTCCCCATCCAGGCTGTCTAGGCTGGCAGAAGAGGCCTGGGGTGGGGGGCCGGGGCAGGACTTCTGTTCTTCCCCATGGCAGAAATCTGGGGAGCTGGTCGCTGTGAAAGTCTTCAACACTGCCAGCTACCTGCGACCCCAGGAGGTGCAGGTGAGGGAGTTTGAGGTCCTGCGGAAGCTGAATCACCAGAACATCGTCAAGCTCTTTGCGGTGGAGGAAACGGTGGGTCCAGTGCTTGGTCAGAGGAGGAAGGTCTTGCCCTTGACCTTCACAGGCTGGGAAGAGTCGGGTCACATACTGATAGAGACTCGTCACATGCTCACCAGCAGGACAGCCAGAGCAGAAACCTATAGAATGAAGTAAAGAATAGGGGGGTTGGAGGAGGGGGGTTGGGATAGCACATGGGAAAGTAAGAACTGGAAGTAGGGTGTAATCAAAGAGGGCTTCCTGGAGAAGGTGTCCTTGGACTCAGGTGTGTGAGATCAGTGTGAGGCTGAGGAGGGACAGCCTTGAGGAAGGGGATGAGATGCGCCCTCCTCGCCATCCTCCTTCCGTCCCGCCTGCAGGGGGCCAGCCGGCAGAAGGTGCTGGTGATGGAATACTGCTCCAGTGGGAGCCTGCTGAGCGTGCTCGAGAGCCCCGAGAACACCTTCGGGCTGCCCGAGGACGAGTTCCTGGTGGTGCTGCGCTGTGTGGGTGAGCCGCTCCCCGACTCCCACAGGGAGACCCGTCACCCCTGCCCAGCCACAGGCCTGGCCCTCAGAGAGGGCGAGGGCCCAGAGGGGTGCAGCATCTCTGAAACAAGAATCCAAACACAGAAGAACGCTGGGAACCTAAGAGGCGTTCTGTTGAGACCTGGGACAGACTCTGATAAATGGACAGAACCCGTGTCTGACTCCTGCTGGTCAGCAGTTTAAAAGGCCAACTTAAGCCTTGGCCGGGTTGGCTCAGCGGTTAGAGCGTCAGCCTGCAGACCAGAGAGTCCCAGTTTGGTTCCCGCTAAGGGCACGTACCTCGGTTACAGTTAGTCTCTGGCCCCTGTTGGGGTCGTGTGGGTGACAACCAGTCAATGTGTCTCTCTGACATCGATGTTTCTCTCTCTCTCTTTCTCCCTCTCTCTCTCCTGCTCTATCTGAAGATAAATGCAAAAAAAAAAAAAATGTCCTTGGGTGAGGATTTAAAAATAAATAAATAAATAAATAAATGGCCAACTTAAATTTTATCTTAAAAAAAATTTTTTTTCTTTATTAATTTCAGAGAAAGAAGGAGAGAGAGAGAGATAGAAACATTGATGAGAGAGAACATTGATTAGCCTCCTCCTTCAAGCCCCGACTGGGGATTGGGCCCACAACCTGGGCATGTGCCCTGACTGGGAATTGAACTAGCGACCTCTTAGAGCATGGGTCCACGCTCAACCACCGAGCCACACTGGCTGGGTTAAAGATAAAATTTAAAGCAGGCTGTACACCAATATGCATAGCAGCATGATTCACAATAGCCATAAGGTGAAAGCAACCCAAATATCACAAATAAATGAATGGATAAACAAACTGTGCTCTACACATATAATGGAATACTATACAGCTTTGAAAAGGAATACATCTCTGAAACATGCTACAATGTGGATGAACCTGGAAGACATTATGCTAAGTGAAACAAACCAGACACACAAATACTATAGGACTCCAGTTACTTGAGGGACCTAGAGTAGCCAAACCCACAACAGAGACAGAAGGTAGAACAGGGCTTACCAGGGGCTCGGGAGTGGGGAATGGAGAGAGTTGTTCAACAGGCAGAGTTTCTGTTTGGGATGTTGACAAAGTTCTGGAGATGGATGGGGTGATGGTTGCACAATAATGTGAATGTGCTTAATGCCCCTGAACTGTGCACTTAAAATAGTTAAAACTGCAAATTTTATGTTAGACAGACTTAAAAATCTTTTAAAAATAACATTTAAAAAAATAATAAAACAGACAAGGAGGCAGTACCATTTTCCGGGAGCCAGAGCCACTGTTTTTGTCGGTGTCTTAGTAACTCTTCATGGACCCTCCATACCCTACGTCCTTGGGACCCTCCCTCCTTTGCCCTGTGCCCATCTCTGTTCTGCTTTTCCTGTGGTCCTGTCAACCTGTGGGAACATCTGGACCCAAAGACAGCCTCCCCTTCAAGATAAGCCCTAGACACTGGACTGTCCCCAGCCAGAGCCACCAGCAGCCCCCCTCTGTCCCCAGTGGCCGGCATGAACCACCTGCGGGAGAATGGCATTGTCCACCGGGACATCAAGCCAGGGAACATCATGCGCCTCATTGGGGAGGAGGGGCAGAGCATCTACAAGCTGACGGACTTCGGAGCTGCCCGGGAGTTGGATGATGATGAGAAGTTTATCTCAGTCTACGGGACAGAGGAGTACCTGGTGAGTAGGATATTGGGGACCCACTGCCCCAAGCGGAGGGCTGCCCCTTCAGCTGGGTGCTCTTCACCTTCTGAGGGCCTCTGTTCTATCCTCCTGCACCCAGCAGGGTTAGGTCTCACCCTCCACACCCCAATCGAAGGGAAGGGTGATGCTGCAGCCTTCCCAGGCCTCCGCACCAGCCTCCTGCCTGGCCTCTGCCCCGGCCTCCCTGCCCAGCCTCCCTGCCCGGCCTCCTTGCCCAGCCTCCCTGCCTGGCCTCTGCCCCGGCCTCCCTGCCTGGCCTCCCTGCCTGGCCTCTGCCCCGGCCTCCCTGCCTGGCCTCCCTGCCTGGCCTCTGCCCCGGCCTCCCTGCCCGGCCTCCCTGCCTGGCCTCTGCCCCGGCCTCCCTGCCCTGCCTCCCTGCCCAGCCTCCCTTCCTAGCCTCCCTGCCTGGCCTCCCTGCCTGGCCTCTGCTCCGGCCTCCCTGCCTGGCCTCTGCCCCAGCCTCCCTGCCCGGCCTCCCTGCCCTGCCTCCCTGCCCTGCCTCCCTGCCCAGCCTCCCTGCCTGGCCTCTGCCCCGGCCTCCCTGCCCTGCCTCCCTGCCCAGCCTCCCTGCCTGGCCTCTGCCCCGGCCTCCCTGCCCTGCCTCCCTGCCCAGCCTCCCTGCCTGGCCTCTGCCCTGGCCTCCCTGCCCAGCCTCCCTTCCTGGCCTCCCTGCCTGGCCTCTGCCCCGGCCTCCCTGCCCGGCCTCCCTGCCCGGCCTCCCTGCCCAGCCTCCCTGCCCGGCCTCCCTGCCCGGTCTCCCTGCCTGGCCTCTGCTCCGGCCTCCCTGCCCAGTCACCCTGCCCGGCCTCCCTGCCCAGTTAACTCCTTGATCTGATCCTCATGGAGGTTGGGACACCACAGGTCACCATCTCTCCCGGGGCAGAGGGCGGGCAAATAAAAATGCTTTGATAGGCCAATTCCATGAGAGTGTTTGAGATGACAAAGGAGATGGATTTCGATGGTTCTGTTGCTGCCAAAAGGCAGTGGAAGAGGGTCTGATGGACGGGCCTTAGGCCCCCGGCACCCTCCCCTCCATGGCTGCTCTCTGGTTCTCTCGGCAGCACCCTGACATGTATGAGCGGGCAGTGCTTCGCAAGCCCCAGCAGAAGGCATTTGGGGTGACCGTGGACCTCTGGAGCATTGGGGTGACCCTGTACCATGCAGCCACTGGCAGCCTGCCCTTTGTCCCCTTTGGAGGGCCACGGCGCAACAAGGAGATCATGTACGGTGGGCGACGGGCAGGGATCGAGGGCCCTGGGTTCCCTCACTGGCCCTGCTCTGTCTCCTCTTCTGCCTCCAACTCTGCTTTCCTCCGGCCCACCCCACCCAGGCCGCTCCCACACCCTTGGTAATCAACACCTGGCTGACAGAGGCTGATCAGAATCCCTTACTTGAGTTCAGTGCTCCCCTTTAGCCCTCCCCCATTGGCTGCTTGCCTGATCTCAACTGAGGCGCCAGGGCACTGTCAGGGCAGAAGTAGGGCGAGACTGCATCCAGGTCCCAGGCCCAGGGCCGGCCCAGGGCCCTGCTGTCCGATACAGAAGTAGCTGGAGCCGGCGCTGCTCCCACTGAATGCACGGCCCAGAGCACAGAATTTAAGACGGACTCGTGGGAAGGTCCACGCACCCACCCTCAGCGTGGGCTGAGGCCCTGTGACGTGTGCGAGCTCAGGGAAAGGACCGGTGGATGCTGTTAGTGACCGCGCACCGAGGGAAGAGAACAGTGTGTGGAGGGAAGGGTGCTCGGCCACGCTGGCACCGGCACAGGTGTGGAGGCAGGCCTGCTGGGGTGGGTGGGGGACACGGAGCGGGCAGTGGGAACAGCACAGTTTGGGGAGCATTGAGGCGACCTTGCTGGCTGAGAGCCAGGATCCTCAAATTCCATTTTCAGGCGACCTCAGAGTAGCCGGGTGACCAGAACCAGTGCTCTGAGCCCTTCATTCTATTTGTCACCCCCTGAAGTGTGACTGTTTGGGGGTCATGCTGACCCGGTCCTACCTCACTCACCCCAGGTACCGGATCACCACGGAGAAGCCCGCCGGGGCTATCGCGGGCACTCAGAGGCAGGAGAACGGGCCCCTGGAGTGGAGCTACGCCCTCCCCATCACCTGCCAGCTGTCCATGTGAGGGTCTGGGCTGGCTGTCCCCTCCTGCCGAGGCCTGTCCCAACAGGGCCCCTTTCCTCTGTCCATTGGGTCCGCCCCATTCCCTCCTGACTTGTTTTTCCTTCCGGGTGCTAGCCGGCCCTTCCAGCCCCTCCTCCACTCCCCCGTTCACCACCTTGGTCCTCGCTCTTCAGGACGTCCTCATAGAATGCCCCGAGGACCCTCTCAAGGAGGACAGGTGTGGGCTCCCACCCTGACAGTCTCCATGTCCTGGGGGCAGGGGGCTGCAGCACCAGCTGGTGCCCATTCTGGCCAACATCCTGGAGGTGGAGCAGGCCAAGTGCTGGGGCTTCGACCAGTTCTTCGCGGAAACCAGTGACATCCTGCAGCGGGTCGTCGTCCACGTCTTCTCCCTGCCCCAGGCAGCCCTGCACCACGTCTACGTCCACGCCCACAACACGTACGTGGGCGCGAAGGCCGGGGGTCAGCACCTTCCCTGCCCCAGCCCAAGGGCACATCCGAGGCAGCGTCCTGGGGGTGTTTAGATTCTGGGTTCCATCTTAGTTTGGAAAAACGCTGGTTCCACAAAGGAAAGTGCCCCAGCTTCCTCGATGCTGGACTCCAGACTCCAGCCTTCGTGGTGCTGACCGTGTTATAACCCCGGGGTGGGAGGCAGTGCTGGCTGTTATAACCCTGGGGTGGGGGTGGGGGGCAGTGCTGACCTTGTTATAACCCCGGGGTGGGGGGCAGTGCTGGCCATGTTATAGCGCCCTAGGGGGAGGTGCTGGCCGTGTGTTTGCCCAAACTTATTGCTGGAGAATTTGATGAGACTAACTGAGTTTTAATGGGAAGAGGTGCCAAGGCAGAGGCTGGATATTGGGGCTCCTGAGTTCCCTTTCCACTCTGTCTCGGTCCACTATAAACCATTAGCTCTACCCTTCGTCTCTCCACCAGTGATAGAGAAAAGTCACCCAGCCCCTTTCTCTGAAAAGCTGAGACCTCTCCATGAAGTCTTACCTGGGGTTTGGGTCCCCCTGACTCATATCCTGCCTGCTGACACCTCCTCTCCGGCCCCTGTCCCCCTCTAACCCTGGTGTCTTAGGATAGCCATCTTCCTGGAGGCCGTGTATGAGCAGACCAAGGTGGCCCCCCAGAACCAGGAGTACCTGTTTGAGGGTCACCTCTATGTCCTCAAGCCCAACCTCTCAGCACAGCACATCGCCCACACGACCGCAAGCAGCCCCCTGATGCTGTGTAGCGTGGCCAGCGAGGCGCCCAAGGGGCTGGCCTTCAGGGACCGTGAGTAGAGCCACACGGGCTGGCTCTTATCTCCTAATCTCCTCCAAGAGGCAGGGGTTTCCGTCCAGGAGAGTGGTCCATTTCCCTTGCGGGTGTGTCTTTGGGCCCACAGGGTGCCCCACGTTCTGGGTTCTAATTGTCCATATGCCTCTGAAATGCCATGTCTCAGGCTGGTGTCTCGACATCCCCAGGCGTCGGTGTCCACCGAGCTGTGAAACTGATTGAAACGGGGAGATGTAGCTTTCACGCGCTCCCCACCATCTCTGCAGTTGGCGGGGAAGCTCTGAAAGTTTGGACTGGAAGGAGCAGGAGCCCACGGAGCTGGAGAGAAGGGAAAGTGGTCAGGGGTCCAGAGCCGTGTCCTCCAAGTTCCAGCAAAAATATCACTTCTCATTTGAATAATGCCAATTTCATCCTCTTACTCAGGTCTCCAAGACTGGGAAGGGGAATGAACCTTGAAACTCCTGGCACAAGGCGGGGTTTTGCCCATTTTCTGGCTGTTGTGAAGGGGGGGACCTTGGGCATGAGGTTGTAGTTTACCAAAGTGAACACAAGAGGGCAGTGAGGGACTGCAGCTGTAAAGAAACTCATTCCGGTGAATTTAGGTTTGAAAGGTGGGGCTCTGGGAGCGGGAAGGCTGAGTGAGAGTCAGAAGTAAGGAAGGACGATCTCAGGGCATCCAGGGCCGCATGCCCGCCCCTCAGACAGGGTCTTTGTTCGCAGCTGCTCTGGACATCCCCAAGTTCATGCCCAAAGTGGACCTGCAGGCAGATTACAACACGGCCAAGGTTAGGGGTGGACCCTGGGTGGCAGGGAGGGGGTCACACAGGGGCAGGGGGTGCGGAAACCGACCCTGCCCCCCTGTGTTATCAGGGTATGTTGGGTGCTGGCTACCAGGCCCTACGGCTGGCACGGGCCCTGCTGGCCGGGCAGGAGCTGCTGCTGCGGGGACTGCACTGGCTCCTGTGAGTACGCTGAGGGCTGGGTGCAGAGGGCAAGGCTGGCAAGCGGGGCCGGCCAGACACCCAGACCTGTTCCACACGGCCTGGAGCATGGCTGCGGGCACAGTGCCCTTGGTCCCCGGGAGAAAGCAGCCCTGACTCTGGCTCCCCCCGGCAGGGAGATGCTCGAGGCTACCTGCAGGCGGACGCTGGAGGTCATGCGGATGGCCCTCCTCTTCCTCAGCAGCAGCCTGGGCACCGAGAGGTGGGTGTCCTGCCCAGGTCGGGTGGCTGCAGCTGGCTCGAGGCTAGCTGAACCCCTCAGCCCTTCTTCTGTCTGTTCCTCACCCCCAATATTCCCAACAATGTCCCTCCCTCCCCTCACCAGGAGCTCCCATCTTCCCTGCCATTCTAGAATGCTGAGGGCACTGCTATCTGCCCCTCGTCCCCACAAGCCACCCCACATGACTGCTCATACCCCCCACACACACACACACCTCACCTCAGGGGGAAAGGGGCCCATGAGGCACTGCCTCTCCAGTACCAAGGCAGCCTCCCTGCCCCGGAAGGGGCCCTGTCCTCCCAGACCCCATCTCCCCCCTGCCCCGGAAGGGGCTCTGTCCTCCCAGACCCCATCTCTCACCTGCCCCGGAAGGGGCTCTGTCCTCCCAGACCCCATCTCTCACCTGCCCCGGAAGGGGCTCTGTCCTCCCAGACCCCAGCCCCCTCCAACCCCCCCCCCCCCCCCGCCCAGGCCCCAGAGCAGGACTCCAGGAGACATGCTCATAGCCACACATGGTCCCGGGACCTGACAGGAGGGGACCCATGTGGTCTCAGCTCCATGCTCCTCTGCCTCCCCGTGTCTCCAACTGCCCTTGCCTCCCTAGGAGCCTGTCCCCACCCTCAGAGCTCCACGCCCTCCGCTCCTCTGACTGGCTATTCAGGGGCGATGGGTGGAGAGAGGGAGACCCTGGGAAGGAGGGAACCAAACCGAAGGTCAGGAGGCGAGAAGCAGGAAGACTTTGTGGGCATTACTGAAAAATGGGCACAGTCCCTGAACCCGAAAAGGCTTGGGGCTGTGCTGCATGAGATGGGCTCCGCAGCCCTGGGGAGCTGGTGGTGGCCGGAGCCTTCCCCACTGGGAAAAGACTCGTGGTGACAGAGGAGCAGAGACTGTGCCCAACATGCCTGATGTCCCTGCCCACATGTGCCCTGGCCCCTGTCCTCAGAGAGGTCCCGGGAGTTTCCCAGCAGGGTGACTCATTGCAGCCTTGCCTTCCACCCGGCACTTGGCAGCGACAGTGCTGACGGTGGCAGTGTGGGCGGAAGAGGAGGGCTCCAGATGACAGGGTCGGAGTTCCTGGCATGGCAGAGCCCCTTCAAACAGGGGCAGAGATGAGGGCAGAGCTGTGGCCAGGGCACAGGAAGGGGTCCTGGGACAGGTGTGGTGCCACGCATGCAGGGGGACCCACGCTCCCTGGAGGAGACAGCCCTTCCCAGGCACGAGAAGGTGTAGGATGGTTAGTTAAAGACAAACTGGAGATGGGTACAGGCAAGCACAGAGGTCTTCCTGGAAGAGGTGAAGCTTTTCAGGCCATAATGAGAGCAAATACTTCCGATTGGAAGGTCCTGTGCAGAGACAGAGAAGGCGTCCTGTTTGGGGGTTTGGGGATCTGAAGGAGGAACCGTGCTGGTGAGGTTTACTGAAGCCACAGTTATGATGAAAATATCCCAGAGTGAAGTTGGAGGAGGGAGAAGGGGGCACAGGGGGAGAAGAGAACGCACAGAGGTCCCAAAGGGTCCAGTTGGCAGGTTAGACCCCAATAAAATGACCTATCGCTCTATTGTAGTTTTTGAACAGGAAAGAAATGTGTAGAGAAAGCATCTGAAAAGTATTTGCCCACTTGCCCCGGCCCCAGGGGTACAGGGGAGTGACAGGCCGGCCCTGAGCTGGGGTTGTGGTATCTACCGGCCTGGCTGCCGTTTTTCCCTTTCTGTTTGCAAGCCCTTCACCCCCAAGGGTCATGATGTGTCTAGAGAGCTCAAAGTCAGGGGAGCCTGCTGTCAAGCATATTTCCCCAACCCCACAAAGAGGCGTTTGGGGAACACAAAGGGCACTGGTCCAAGCTCCTGATGGAGCATCTATATCTTCTTTTTCAAATGAAAGGATTGGATGATCTCTGAAGCCTCCCAGCTCCAATCCCATTCTTTTTGAACATTCTCAGATCTATAAATTCTTCTGAGGTCTGAAACCATAGGTCCTCCCACAGGGGAATCTAAAATATTTTAATGAGCTGAATTTCATGTCAGCCTGAGTATCTGACACAAAGTGGCTGCCATTGCCCAGCCTGGTACTCACCTCTCCCACAGTGCATTCCTCCTGCCTCATGCTCCTCATGGTTCCCTTGGCAGGACGTCCTTGCCAAGCTGGTCCTCCCTGGCAGCCGCTGTTGTCTGGAGGCATTCTTTAGGCAGCCAGGGACTTCCAGGGCTGCCCCACCCACCACCACAACAAGCTTGTGTCCATGCCCTCTAGTCAAGCCTTTTATCTCAGAGGTCCCATCTGATCCCTACAAACACTGTATTAGCTAGCAGGAAGGAGATTTATCTCCCCATTATACAGATGGAGAACTTGAGGCTTAAAGAGCTGAAGTGTAGCTAACCCAGGGTCATACAGAGAGATGACAGATGTGACAGCTAGGACTAGGACTCAAACCCATGTCTCCTGATTCCCCGCCCGGACTGATTGGGTCAGCCTCATCTTTTGCCATCAAGTATTCCATGCTCCCAAATCCATTTGTCCACTCAACGACTCATCGGAAACTGTACTGAGTAAACAACGTGTGCTCAACACTTTGCTGGGCACTGGGGAGGGGCAGGGAGCCATGTGGGCAGCTGCCCTGCCTTCAAGGAGCTTCCTCTGCATTGCTACTCCACCCCCTTCCGCTACTCCCTTTCCCTCTATTCCCAAGCCAAACACACAGGACTCTCTTTTACTTCTAATTTTATTGTTATAAAAACAGTATACGCTCATTGTAGAAAGTTGGAATGTACAGATAAGCAAAAATGAAATTGAAATATCATGTCCTGCCACCCAGAGAGACTCCCACACCTTGGTGGTTGTCTCCTCTATGTGTATAAGTGCATGTATTAGCCAGCGGGAGAGTTCCAGGACTTGCTGTTTTATAACCTGCTTTTCTCAGAGAATGAGCTCTCCCTCAACATACATTTCCCTCCGTATTCTACTCTCCCTAATTGTCCCCACACTTTTCTTTTCTAGCTGGTTTCATGCAGCCAGGATCCAACCTAAGACCACACTTTGTGGTTCCTTAATCTAGACAGACTGCCCGCCCACCCATTCAGGACACTGACTTGTTGGCGGGACAACACCCATCTCCCACCTGCTGGACTCGGCTTGTTCTTCTTTCCCAAGATGTCCTATAAACTGGAAATTCTAAAGGTTAGATGCATTCAAGGTTAACTTTAGGCTGAATGCATCATAGATGATGCTGAGTATACTTTATACCCACCAACCACTGGGTGGGGACAGTGTGATTTCTCTATTGTACAGTTCCATTTTCCCTGTGAAAGGATCAGTGTGGTGTTACTTTGCGTCACACAAATGTCCACGCCTTCATCATTCATCAGTGACTTTAAAACCATGCCCAGGTGAATAATGTCACGGGGGCTGCTCTATTCCAAGTCCTGGCCCGTTATTGGCTAGTATTCTATAAAATACAGCTTTTCCCTTATCAACAAGCTATCGGTTATCATGAAAGACAGTATCTACTGGAACTTTGTTCTTTTCCTTTAGTTACAAATTTTCCAAGTAGGAAATTCATTAACAGTTGCCTTGTACTGTGGACTCGAATTTTCATAGATTCAACTTATTCCACAATCTACCTCAACCTTTATTCATTGCAGTGCTCAACAATGTCACAGCTTGGGTGAGTAGGAGGCTCTTGAAGGTGGTTCCTCTGTCCCAAACACAGAACTCCCCAGACACCCCACAAGCCAGCAAAACTGTCCCAAAGCTGCCATGCCCCACATAGGTTCTCCGTCTGTCCTTCCTTCCAGGTTTAGCACCACGGCTGGGATGCCGGAGATCCAGGAACTGAAGAGGGCCGCAGAGCTGAGGTCCAAGCTGCGGGCTGTGAGTGAGGCTGGGTCAGGTGCAGTCAGGAGCAGAGCTGGGGGGGTGGGCAGGGGGCGGTGGTCCAGCCAGGCTGCCCTCCTAGCCCTGAGCTGAGGCCCCCACGGGGCTGTCTGCCTTTTTGCCTTATAGTCGGCTGAGGTCCTCTCCAGATTTTCCCACAACATCACAGAGAAACAGACAAGCCTGAGCAGCCTGAGCTCGGAGCTGGCGAAGAACCGGGATCAGGTACATGAGGACAGAAGGTCTGTGGGATTTACTTTCTTGGTGGGGTGGGGGCGGGGCACACAGCACGAAACCATCAGCCTTTTTAGGCGCCAGCCTGCTTTCTCCCTTACCTTGGCGATGATGCTGGGGCCTGGGGTAGTGGTGGGGGATCTGGGAATAAGCCAGACCCTCCCCTGAGGCGGCCGGAGGAGAGAAGGGTCTGGAGTCCTGCCCCCGTCTGGGCGTTTGGAGGGTGAATTCCGACTCTTAGTAGGGGCAACAGTTCTGAATGAAAGACGGAGTAGTTCCCTTTCATTTCTGAGCCCTTGCTTTTTATCAGAGCCCTGGACAGGATTCCTTCTCGTTTCATTCAGTCCTCCAGGCCCTCAGGGAGGTCAATTTGCTCTGAGTCTCAGCCAGTCAATGACAAGTGATCAGCTTTGCCCGCCTCCAGAGCCTATGTTCTGGGCAGTCACGGGAGACTTAGCACCTGGACAGCCCCACTCTCCCTTTAACAACACAAAATGCCACGCACCTGTGGCCTGACATGTGCCTGGCCCCGACCAGGGCCTTCTCCTCGGCACCGACCTGGACCCGTAGCCCCAAGTCCTGAATTCTGAACCTTAAAAGCTTGGAAATCGCAGGGCTTTCTCGCAACTGTTGCAAAACCCGATGGAAACTGAAACGAGGCTCTCTCTAGTCATTATCTGCCCCACTTGGAGTGGACCCCAATCTCTGAGGATCGACTATATTCCACGGGGGTGCTGCCCCGGCCTCAGGGGTGCTCCGTAATAGAGCGCCTGTGCACGGACTCACCTTCCCAAAATTAGAAGACAGTTCGGAATTTGGAACACACCCGGCCCAAGCCCTTTGGACAAGACTGATCTGAGGTCTTGTCCACCCCCGTCTCAGGAGGACAGGTGTCTGGGACCTGAAAAGCCCTGGGAACAAGCTTGGCTCTGCCCAGAGTCCAGCTCCAGAAGGAGTTGATCCGGGGTCACCAGGAGCTCGGGGAGGAAGTGGAGCTAATAGGCCTCAGGGTGAGGAAGAACCCCCCACCCACACACACCCATCATCTCAAACAGAGTGCTTGTGTCCAGCCTGCAAAGGGGAAGGAAGAAATAATAATGACCTCAAACTCCAGGCCAAGGAGGTCCTTGCGAGGTCGTCTCCCTATTCCCCAGGCAGGTCCAAGAACATTGGTTCTTTATTGTTTTAAACAAGGATGGTTGATGCATCGTGTAAGCTCCTTGTGCCAGGGGTTGGCTAGAGCGAGAAGCACTCCTTCTGCCCTTTCCAGGTGACCAGAGAGATTTTGCTCCACTGCCACCCCAGGTGTCCCTGCCACTGCCACCCCAGGTGTCCCTGCCAGACTCGCCTGTTTCGGGGTCCAGGGCTCCTTCCCAGAGTCTATTCTCAAAGCCTCTCATGTGGCAGAGGCCACTCTCCTGTTGCCTGTCCTGCTTGGCTTTTTGTCTGTGTCATATTACTAAACCGTGTGTGTGTGTGTGTGTGTGTGTGTGTGAGAGAGAGAGAGAGAGAGAGAGAGAGAGAGAGAGAGAGAGGGAGAGAGAGAGAGAGAGGGAGAGAGAGAGAGAGAGAGAGAGAGAATAAACGTGAGAATGACAGACAGCTGGCAGGCCCCAAGGGACCTCAGAGAGCTTACACCCAGGAGAGTCATCCCCACTCCCAGATTGGCCCCCAAAACTGTGACCTCAAGGCTCCTTCTGCAGGCAGACAGCTCCTCCCTCCTCCCACCACCATTCCATCCCCTCCCTCACCCTTTGTGCTGGGTTTTTTGTTGTTTGTTTTTTGTGTTCATTGATTTCAGAGAGAGAGAGAGAGAGAAATATTGGTGTGTTGTTCCACTCATTTATGCATCACTGGTTGCTTCTTGTATGTGCCCTGACCGGGGAGCAAACCTGCAACCTTGGTGCATATGGATGGTGCTCTAATCCGGTGGTTCTCCACCTTCCTAATGCCACGACCCTTTAATACAGGTCCTCATGTTGTGGTGACCCCCAACCATAAAATTATTTTTGTTGCTACTTCATAACTGTAATTTTGCTACTGTTATGTCTTAGGTGACCCCTGTGAAAGGGTCATTTGACCCCCAAAGGGGTCGTGACCCACAGGTTGAGAACTGCTGCTGAGTCTAACCAATTGAGCTACCCAGCCAGGACCTACTCTGTGCTGTTTGATTCTTCCATCACCTGGTCCCTGTCTCCTGCCCACAGCATCCAGCAGATCCAGTGTTGCTTGGACAAGATGTACCTCATCTACAAACAGTTCAGGAAGTCCAGGATGAGGCCAGGTGAGCGGAGGGGAGCCCGCTCAGGTTCTCCCTGCTCCCCACCTCCTTCCTACGCCCAGTGCCACAGTCCTTTGTTTTACTCCTCCGGGGGCTGCTGCTGGAGGCTCACTGCGCGTGGCCTGTGGAGCCAGGGTGCAGCTGGCCAGGCTGGGTCCCTGGCTGCCAGCCCCGACAGACGGGTGACAGGCGCGAAGCCTTGACACCTGAGCCCGTTTGGCCGTGTGTGGGGCTTAGGTGACAGGTATGGAAGACAAGCGGCTGGAGCCTGTGGGGTGAGGAAGAGGCGGCCTTGAGAGACGCTCAGCTTCGCAGGGCACTTTTGAGTTTAAGGAGTGTTTCCCTATTGGCTCACAAAAACGGTCAGGTTTTCCCGAAAAGGGAGGTCAGAGAAATACCACTTAGAGTGACTGGGCCAGGCAGTTTGCCTCATTCTCTGGAAGCCTCTTAAAGACCTTCTGGGCAGGACTAGCTCATTGACCGGCTTAGTGATGGAAGCTGTCTGCCCAAGGTGACTGTTATCTTGGGGCGGGGAGGGTCCAACCGAGGGTACAGCTGGGGATAGGGACTAGAGGGAGCGGTGGAGGCCCCTGCTGACTCTTGGGGTTGAGGAGCTAACATGCTGGGCCCCGGACCTCTCCCCCACCCACGCCCCAAGCATTTCCTAACGTGCCGCTTGAAGGTCTTGGGCCCCCTGCTGGGTTCTCAGCTTCCCTGGACTGTCTCAGGGCACTGTCCCACAGACACAGTGCCAGCCACACATGCAATGTTGAGTTCTCTAGGAGCCAACATTTAAAAAGTAGAAATAAAAAGGTGATTAATTTTAATGATGTCTTATTTAACCCAATATATACAAATTGTCATTTCAGTATGTAATCAACCTAAACCCAATTATATACATACCCAGCAATGGAATGGAATTGCTGGGTCATAAGGCAGTTTCCTTTTTAATTTTTGAGGACCCTGCATACTGTCTCCCACAGTGGCTGCACCAGTCTGCGTCCCACCAGCAGTGCAGGAGGGCTCCCTTCCTCCACATCCTTGCCAGCACTTGCTTGTTGATCTAATGATAGCCATCCGGCAGGTGCGAGGTGATAGCTTATTGTGGTTTTCATTTGCATCTCTCTGATGATTAGTGATGATGAGCATCTTTTCATATGTCTGTGGGCCATTTGTGTGTCCTCTTTGGAGCAGTGTCTATTCAGGCTCTCTGCTCATTTTTTTAATTGGATTGTTTGGGGTTTTGTTGGGTGTTGAATTGTATAAGTTCTTTATAAATTTTGGATATTAACCTCTTATTGGATGTATCATTGGGGAATATCTTCTCCATCTAGTGGGTTGTCTTTTCATTTTGTTGATGGTTTCCTGTGCTGTGTGAAACTCTTTAGTTTGATGTGGTCCCATTTGTTTATTTTTCCCCTGCCCGAGGCGATAGATCAGAAAAAAGATGGCTAAGAGAAATGCCAAAGATTTTTCTGCCTGTGTTTTCCTCTAAGAGTTGTATGGTTTTAAGTCTTACATGTAAGGCTTTCATTTATTTTGAGTGTATTCTTGTATAGGGTGTAAGGTGGTAGTCCAGTTGCATCTTTTCTGCATGTATCTGTCCATTTTTCCCAACACCATTTATTAATTAGACTGTCTTGACCCCATTGTATGTTCTAGCCTCCTTTGTCAAATATTAGTTGGTCATATAAGCATGGTTTTATTTCTGGGCTTTCTGTTCTGTTCTGTTGATCTATATGTCTGTTTTTATGCCAGAACCATAGGGTCCAGTTGCTTTTTTTTTTTTTTAATCCTCACCTGAGGATATTTTTCCACTGATTTTCAGATAGAGTGGGAGGGAGGGAGGGGGAGGGATTAACACTGATGTGAAGAGACACGTCGATTGGTTGCCTCTCGTACAACCCTGGGGATGGAACCTGCAACCAAGGCACATGCCCTTGACTGGGAATCGAACCTGAGGCTCTTTGGTCCTCAGCTGATGCTCAACCTCTGAGCCAAACCAGCCCGGGCAGGTCCACCTGCTTTTAGTCACCTTATTTTACAGCTTCAGAAAGAGTTTCATTTCTGTGGTCTTCAAGAATCCTTTATTGAAATTAAAAATGAACCAGGCAGAATAACTCTTGGAGTGTTGCAATATATCATTCTGATAACTGCCCGATAGAGAATAATAGGAAGCTCTCTCACTACCTCACGCCCATCCTGTGTGTCACATATGACATGGAGAAGCTGACTCAGTGAGCTGAAATCACTTGCTCACAGCCCGTTACTAGCAGGCAGGGCTGGGACTTGTGGCCTGGACTTCACACGTGCCCAGATGGAGAGCTCAGTAAGGGAGCTCTGCGACCAGGGATGTGGAGGAGGGTCAGTGAATATCCTCTGCCTGATCTCCTCTGGAGAACCCAAGGCCCATTCCCTCGAAGCCCAGGAGGGGGCAGCATCTCCCCAGGGCAGAGTGCATCAGGAGGTGCCCGGGCCCGAGAAAATGTCAGCCCTTCTGGCTAACGTGACCGGGCAGAAAAGGGGCAGTGGAGGGTGGTGGCCTGGCTCCGCCTGCAGCTCCACTATCCAGGGATGAGGCCAACAGGCTGTCGGCATCAGTCACTCCGGGCAGGGTGTTGGCTGAGGGCCTGGGCTGACCAAGCATCCTTCAAGGCCCATTGCACCCCCCACTTCGCACCCGAAGCATTCACCTGTCCCAGGAGTGCCCCTTCCTTGTCACAGTGCAGTTTCTAGGGTGCTTGGCTCGCTCCTGTGTTTCCTGGCTCCAGGGGCTATGAGCGCCCACGGAGCAAGGCTCAAGCCGGGCTGTCTTCCTTTTCGTAGTTGTCCCCCAACCCTTGGGGCATTCCATTTTGTTGACTTAACAGGTGACATCATGTCTGTCTGTTTCCTTCAGCGCTCGGCTACAACGAGGAGCAGATTCACAAACTGGATAAGTGAGTGGCCTGTCCCTTGGCAGGGGGGTAAGCGGAAGGGTGGGTGTCACCAGGGCAGAGCGGTTCCCTGTGCCGGACAAGAAGCAGCGAATGGCCCTGGTCACAGGCCTTGGCGGGCGGAAGGCAGTGCACTTGTCTCCGGGGCTGCTTATCTGGAGCTGGGGCGGAGGCTGCTGGCGGGAGGCTCCTCAGAGGCAGGCAGGGTGACTGGATTTACTTATTTTTTATTTTTTTAATCCTCACCCGAGGATATTTTTACATTTTTGTTGAGATAGAGTAGGAGGGAGAGAGGGAGAGAGAGACAGAGAGAAGCATCAATGTGCTAGAGCCACATCCACTGGTTGCCTCCTGCATGACCCCACCAAGGCCAGGGACAAACTGCAACCAAGGTACGTGCCCTTGACCGGAATCAGACCCGCGACTCATTGGTCCGCGGGCTGATGCTCTAACCGCTGAGCACACTGACCAGGGCTGGATGTACTTCTGAACAAGTGTTCGTAGGGTTTCTTTCCCTAATCGTCCTCACTGATTTCCTCCCGACTACTCCGACCTCTGCCTGAGCTTTCCTTTGGGCGTCCCTCTGCCCTTCTGTGTCCTGGTCCCGCTCACGTCCCAGGAGGCCCCCTGGTGTAGTGTTTATTTGGGGACTCACTCTCCTAGTTCTATACCCACCCGTGGCCCCTGACGCTTACACACAGACTTCTCACAGTCATCTCCCCTCCCCTGGAGACTGGGCTTGAGAGCGTGTGTTCTTTGGGTCCCCTTGTCTGCCCGCATCTCTCTGTTGGCCTGTGCTCTGTGCCAGCCACTCCGGTCCCCGTGATCCCCACGCGTGAGCATCTTCTCCTCCTTCACTGGAGAGCCAGCCCTGCTTGAACCCAGAGGCCGGGCCCTTCGGTGGTGGCGACCCAGGCATGCGAGGCTCGTGCTCAGGTGGCCTGGCTGCGTATCCCCGTGCCTCGGTTTCCCTCTTCTTTTCAGGGTGAATTTTAGTCACTTAGCCAAAAGGCTGCTGCAGGTGTTCCAGGAGGAGTGTGTGCGGAAATACCAGACGTCCCTGGTCACGCACGGCAGTCGCATGAGGTAACACCTGGCCTCCCTCCTGAGCTCACAGACCCGGGCCGCTCCCGGCTCGGACAGCTTTGCGGGCCCTGACCGAGGGAGGTGGCAAGAAAGGGACAGAGGCAAAAAAATAGGTACTTTTGTGACCCTGCGTGGCTAGACATTCGTTGACTTAAGCATTAGCTCATGTGATCCCACAGTATTTGCCCTGTGCGGTAAATACAATTGCCCCATCTTGCAAAGGAGGAAATTTAGGCCGAGAACAGGTCTGGTCCCCAATACCACACGGGTGGCAGGTGGCAAACCCAGCACTAGTATTTGGGTGTGACTGCCCCTAAAATCTGGCTCTTCCCATGGTTCCAGGTGGTCGTGTTGGGAAGCCTTCCCTCTCTGGGGAGAACACAGGTTCCCCCTAGGATGAGGACAAGTGGTCTGGGGTGCACAGGGGTACAGGGGCAGGCAGAGGCCCTGAAATAGAACCCGTCACATTGTCCCCTCTCAGACAGCCCCCCCCACCTGCAGGAATGCCGGTCCCTCCCAAGAAGGGGGGGCAGTTTCCCAGGCGCTGTCTGCATGAGATCTGTGGGACCTGTAGGCGGAGACCTAGGCCCCCAAATTCTGGCTGAATTGTCTGAGGTTGGCCTGGATGTCAGCATTCTGAAAGCTCCTCGGGTGATTCTGGTGTGCAGTCAGGGTTGAGAACCAACCACTGGTCTAACCCCTCTAGACGTGGTTTCCTTTCTGTGCAAGGGAGAATGTTCTTGCTCGCCTTCTGCTTAGAGAGACAAGAGAATCCCTGTAAGAGCCTCGACTTCGATCTTCTGTGGAAAGGGGAGCCTGAGGAATCCCCACAGTAAGCGTGGGCTGTCCTCGGCCGCTCTGGAGCCTGACCAGGCTGGTGGCCCTCCCAGCTGCGTGGCTGTTTGCAGCTCCCACGTGGTTGTGATGGGACCCCTACCCCATGTGGCTGTGGTCGGACAGGAGCGCTCTGACAGTGAGCCGGGACAGCTGAGGACACACGCAGCGGGCAGAGGCCGAGGCAGGAAATGCCTGGACCACGGGCTCGGCCTCTGTCGTCCGAAGCCTCTCCTTCATGTCTGTGTCGAGGCCCAAACAACGGTGGGGTGGCCCCCTAAGAGCCAGCAGACCTGGCTCTGACTTTTATCTGCTCTCCCCAGGGTGGTGCATGAGGCCAGGAACTACCTGCGTGTGGTCGCCTGCTCCGTGGCTGCCTCCAGCACCGAAGCGCAGGGGGTCCAGGAGGGCCTCAGCAAGGTGGGCTTCAGGAGAGCCTCGGGGGCATTCCCCTGCCTCTGGGCAGAGCTGCCCGTGGCCGAGTCCAAGCACTTTGGTGTGGGTTGGAGGTCTCTGACCCACAAAGGTTCCCTGAGGTGGGGATGGAGAAAGAGTGGGAGGCACTTCCTAGTGCTCCCAGACTGAAGGTCACTGCAAGGGCAGAGCCTCCAGAATGCGGGGAGGCTCCAGGCCACTCCTGAGCGAGGCAACGTGCACTCGCCGTGACCTTCCGGTCAGCGTTCTGCTGAGAGCCCAGCGCACAGGCAGCTGGAGAAGCCTCCGGCTCTGCCACAGCAACAAGGGAGGGCTGCTTCCAGGACAGCGCCAGCCTGCACCTCCCCACGGCTCCTCCCACCCCCTCTGCAGCTCCTGGGGGGGGGGGCTGTGGGAAGGGCCCCCATTGGGGTGCTCCAGGGACGTGTCTGGGGGCCGTGTTGTTACCCTTCCCTGACCTTTCCCCAGCACCTCCCCTCCCACAGGGCAGCTGGCTCTTCCCTTCTGACTCGTGTGGTTCCCTTCAGATCCTAGACTGGCTGTCTCACCAGCTCCTTCAGGACAGAGCGAGGGGGGCTCAGGCCTCACCACCCCCCCTGGCTCCTTATCCCTGTGCCACACTACAGGAGCTGGGTCTCCAGTAAGTACCAGAGAGGGGCATGCATGTGTGTGCATGCATGTGTGCGCGCATGTGAGTGTGTGTGGGTGTGCGTGTGTGTGTGTGTGTAAGGGGATGATGACAGTTAGGGCCCGAGGGGCTTTGCCTCACACCAGGCCTAGAAGGAAGCATCAAGAGAGGCTTGGCGGCGGGCCTCCCAGGGAAGGGGCTTGGTCAGGGCAGCTTCGGCCTCAGGAACAGCCGCCGCTCTTGCCTCTGCCTTGGACAGCATGGAGGAGCTCCGTGAGGAGATGAAGCTGCTGGCCCTTGACCTCCAGGACAACAACCGCATCATTGAAGGGTAAGGCGTCCTGCTGTGTGCCGGGGAGGGCTGGGTCCTCTGGCCGCCCTTAGCAGGGGCACAGGGGCCCTGTACCTGCCCACGCGGGGTGGATGACAGGTGTGCATTTTCTACAGTCACCTCAGAGTGTTGGCCTGTCCACAGGCGGGTCGCTGTCCTCCTGAGGTATAGGCGTCCAGGCTTCCACTAGAGTCTCGAGAATGTAGTACAGTCCGGGGTAAAACTGCATCTAATTTTAAGCAATTGCAGGATATACAAAAGAGAATTCATTTGGCCTTGATGCTAAGACCATTCTCAGTGCAGTTGGGGATGGGGCTTGGGCACGTGACTCCGTGGCTGTGGATGTGGACTCTGCGTGGCACCTGCCCCAGACGGACCCTTTAATCTCCACACCCCGCCTCGGAGTGGCACGGTCTCATCTCCGTGTCATAGACCAGGAACCGGCGGTGTGAGCCTGGATTAATTGCCCGAGGCCCTGTTTCTCGGGCCTCGAGGGGCTCCTGTTCTGGACAGATGCTCACAGGGCCACCCCGGCTGCAGGCCCAGTGTTAGACACTCCGCTTCATCTCCTGAGTAGATCCTCCTCTTCAGGGGTGAGGGGTGCTGGGTAGGGGGTGCAAGAAGTGCAGGCTTTTGGATTCTGTGCACCAGTAAAATTCACAAAAGAAAACCGGAGGGAACAACTTCTCATATAATCAAATAAACCCACTTGGAAGGGACACCCTCGCCACCCAGGAGCTCCCACTCCGCGAAGCGAATTTAACACCAAAGAGAAGGAAGGACATAACCTCAGAATCGAGGCTGGTCCTTGCCCTGGAGGTCAGGGGCGTGCTTCCAAACGTACACACGCATGCCGGTGAGGGCCAGGACACCGTCCCCATCGTCCTGACGTCTGTCACTTTCCCGCTTGGGAACCAGTGGCGTGGAGGAAAAGCTCCGCAGAGATTCCAACAGGAGTTGACTCTGGACTCTGCTCCTTACCACCTGCGTGCCCCTGGGAGGCCTGTTGAGCTTAGTTCCGGCCTCTGTGATGTAGGAATATGATGCCTACCCCGGAGTGTGAGCGTAGGGGTTGAATAGGTGAGACCACAGCGTGCTGGGGAGGGCGGAGAGGGCGCACAGAAGGAAGGCCTCACTAAGTGGCAGGCGGTCCCCGGCCACGCCATTCTGGGACGCTGGAGTTGGGCCAGGAGGCAGGGAAGCCAGGAGGGGCTGGTGGTTGTCCCGAGGTGAGCTCCGTGGGTTGAGGAGGCATCTCTTCCAGGTCCCATTCCGCAAGGGGAGAATCCATCCTCTTCAATACCCACACAGAGGCGGTCAGCAGCTTCTTGGGAAGCCTTTCCAAAACAGCCCCGACAGGCAGGAAGTTCTAATTTTAGTGTCGACATAAATTTCTCTTGCTGTGATATATAGCCTATTTAGAGATAGCTCAAAACTTTATTTTTGTGAATTCCCACTTCCTTATTCAGAGCCGTGCCAGAGAGCCAAAAAGCTGTCTGGACGCCTGTCCCCTCCTCCCCCAGCTGCACTGCATGAACCAGGAGAGCTTTGGAAAGTGCAGAGGCCTGGGTCTTGCCCCAGAAGCTCTGGGTGTGGCCCAGGGCGGGGGATTTTTTATAAGCTTCCCAGTGACTCTGTGGATGAGAACCGCAGAGTTGTCAGGGGACAGGGCCTGCCTGAGGACAGCTGAGCACCTGGGAGCCATGGAGCCCTGACAGCTGTGTCCAGCCCTGGGTGAGGTTTGCAGGGTCCTCTGTCCAGGTGGGAGAAGCTGACCTGCGCCTTTCATTACAGGCTGAGTCGGGTCCAGTTGGCTTCTGATGCCTGAGCTGCGTGGGTGTGCAAGGCGGCCTGAAGCATTAGACTCATCCAAACACTGCGCTCCAGCTGCACTGTGGGACCCAGCACAGGACCAGACCTGGTCCCACATCATCAGCCTACCTCCCTCCTGGCCAACGGCCGGGAGATGTCACCAGCATTACCTTCCACTGCCTTTCTGTGGGAAGCAGCCCTGGGGCACCCAACAGTCTCTGGCAGGTCCCACTGCCCGGCTGACCTTTGTGTCCTCGGCCGGCTCAGGCACAGCTCTGTGGCCCTGGCTTGCACAGGGGAGCCTGGCCGGGCCCTGGGCAGGAAGCTCTATTGGCCTCCACCCTCCTGGTTTACAGGGCTCCGCTCCTCAGGGAACAGAGAGGCCTCCAGGGGGTTCCCCAGGGTGCTGGGTCGAACAGCCCAATCTGTCTTCCTTCCTCTTCCAGTGTTTCTCGTTGAACATACAGGCCTCTCCCCTCTGAATCTGCGCATCCCAGAGCCTGCTTGCCTTCTGCTCTTGGTCTGGCTGAGCCTAAGGCTGAGAGGCTGGGTGGTGGCGGCTGGACGCCCTGCCCAGGGACCCTCCCCTCCACTCTCCCTCGGAGGCAGCCAGGTCTGGGGATGCAGCCAGCGGGGTCATGAACAGCCACGCAGTTAGCACAGGCTGCTGGTGCCGGCCCAGAGCCCTGAGGGGACAAAAGGCCTGCACTTTTCAGAAGTGGAATAAACGTGCCTCCTTTTCTATCTGAATGGCTCTCACTTGGCTGTGCCTGCCGCAGGGGGACTGGCTGGGCGCGGGCATCCCAGCAGGCACGGGGGGGGGGGCATCCCAGCAGGCACGGGGGGGCACCCCAGCAGGCACGGGGGGGGATCCCAGCAGGCATGGGGGGAGCGGGCATCCCAGCAGGCATGGGGGGAGCGGGCATCCCAGCAGGCACGGGGAGCGGGCATCCCAGCAGGCACGGGGGGGGGAGCGGGCATCCCAGCAGGCACGGGGGGCGGGGGACGGGCATCCCAGCAGGCACAGGGCAGCTCTGTGAGGAGCAGGACTGGGAAATGGGGCTGGACCTTCACTTCCTGATTCCTGCCTTTCTCCTAAAAGGGCTGGGTCAGGGACAAGCCCAAGGAAGGTGGCCTCCCCGGGAGGGCTTGCCTGCCCGGTCCTCTTCACCAGCTCCTGTCATTCGGGAAGCTGTACGGAGGCTTGGAACTTGGGGAGAAAGAAGAGGGTTTTTTGTTTTGTTAGTTTTTTACCTCCAATGTACCATCACTAAGTGTCTACTCCTTTCCCCACCACCCACCACTGTTCAAAACCCAGGCTGTGTCCGAAATACTGAGTTTGAGCACCGTGGGGTTCATTGGGGCATCCCCTCGTTAGAACAGAGCCTGGGTGCGGCATTCAGACCGGTGCGGTCAGTCTTGCCTCTGCAGAAGCTCCAGGGTCCTCTGGCCAGAGCCGGACTACCCACCTGGATTAGGGGGCTCGGGGTTAGGGGCCTACAGTAAAGCAGCCCTAGCAGGGGAGGGAAACAAATGAGAAGCCCCGCTGTGTGCTTTGAAGCATAAAGACCACCTTATGCTTGACCCCAGATAACCCTGGAAATCCCGCCGTCTTTCTGGAGCCCGGGCATCCTCAGAGGCGGGGCAGGGGAGGAAGGCGGTGCTGGCGGCTGACCTCCTTCCTGCTGCTTCTCTAGGAAAGACCAGCACTCTCTAAAGACCAGGAGAGGGTGCATCAGGCTTAAGTGGCTTCATGTGTGACATTTAGGCCTCCTGCCGTGGGTCACTTAAGCCCAGTGGGTTCAGATTCTGGGGCCCCAGAAGCCAGCTGCTCCCTCCATGGCCCGGGCACTGGGCCACCTCTGATCGCAGCCGACAGGAGTTCAGGCCAACACTCGGATCTTCGGCGGCCCTGCAGGGAGGTCCCACCGTGGGTTTTCCCTGGCAGCTGCTTCTGGACCCCAGATGCTGGGTGGAACTCAGCAAGGGAGCCGGGGGAGCCCTGAGCGCCAAGTGCAGATTGTTAGAGGATGATATGTGTGATCCAGGCTCTATGAGCTCATGAGCAGAGCCCCGCAGGGGACATCCTCAGAGGCTTCAGTTCATCCGGCGCCGGGCAGAGCCAGGACATGGGTCAAGTTCTGCAGAGCTTCTGACTCCGTCCCCACAGGGAGTGGAGAACCGCACGCAGGCCCGTGACCAGGGGAAGCTCGTGAGATCCTCGGCACCCGAAGACTTCCCTCTCCGAGCCCCAAGTAACACTGCGCCTGAAGGGCCGTTTGTTCCTCAGATGCAGTGACTTGCCAGGTGACTAAGACTGCCTTGCCTGCCCCCGAGGAGCTCACCTCAAGAGGGGAGGCATTTCCGTATCATGAGGACAGCCTAGGACAACATCACGGCACTGTCGCTGTCATGGCAGGGCAGGGTGCTTAGTTCAGCCAGGACGGGTCAGGGAAGGAGCAGCAGGCTCGGGTCGGGGTTTGGCAGGTGCGCGGCTACCCGGTTACCCCGCAGTGAAGGCATGAAAGGCACCCCGGCCACGTGAGCAGCACCAGCCTCGGCATGAAAGGAACGAGAGGCATTTGTGTAACTGGAGACTCCGTGGAAGTGGGAAGTCCCATTGAGGAAAGGGAGGAGCCAGACTAAGGAACTTGGGCTTTCCCTCTCGGTTCCGGTTCCGTAGAAACAGGTTTAAGTCAAGTGCAATTGGCGTTTTACAGATATGACTCTTTGGTGCCCATGTGGGGTGGATTGAAACACTGTGCCTCAGTTTCCTCATTTGTAAAATGGAGGTGATAGCTCTCCGTTATGGGTAGAAATAAACGAGAGATTTCCTCAAAGTGCCTGAAACAATGTGAGTTCTCTGCACGCCCTCCCCAGCGCCCCCTGCCGCCTGGGGCCTTGGGCTGGCTGGGACCAGAGACAGGAGGTGCTCTCAGGGTCTCTGTCAGCACTCAGGTCGGCCACAGATATCCGGGAAGAGGCCACGCTCTCAAGACAGGCTGGCTCAGGCTAAAAGGGGGCCTACCTGGAAGGACGTGGGGGCACGTCCCGGCTCCTGGCAGAAGTGTGGCCAGGTCTGGGGGGCTGGGAGCTGCAGGCTGTCATCTGTGCTTCTCTCAGAATCCGCCCAGTTTCCTCTTCCTAGGCCGGTGTTGGGGTTCAGAACACAGCTTCTGTGACCCCAGCACCTGATTCCAGTTGGGAAGGGTGTGGCCCGGAGCCTGCTTTACTGATGGGCTTCCCTCTTGCTGGGATTCTTGTTTTTGTCTTTGATTCTTTGTTAATCCTCATCCGAGGAATGTTTTTCCATTGCTTTTTAGAAACAGTGGAAGGGAGGAAGGAAGAGGGAGAGAAAAAGAGAGAGAGACAAACATGGATGTGAGAGAGACACACTGATCAGTTGCCTCCACACATGCCCCCACTGGGGCCTGGGATTGAACCTGCAATCCAGGTACGTTCCCTTGACTGGGGATGGAACCTGAGACCCTTTGGTGTGTGGGGTGACCTCAATGGTCTAACCACTGAGCACCGGCCAGGGCTCATCTTGCTGGGATTCTTACACGAGCTCAGGTTTGAGATGTCCTGCAGAAGACATGTAGATGGCCCGGCACAGGCCATCGGCAGTGGATGGTACATGGAACTAGACACCACCCCCACTCTGACGGCTGAAGCAGGAAGCCTGCCTCAGGGGCAGGACAGATCTTCCCAGAGGCCTGGTCACTCTCCAGCTGGACCACCAGTGGCTCTCACGGGGCTGCTTCGCTTTAGCAGGGGAGGCCTCAAGGGACTGCTGCTGCCGATCATTTGGGGTCCGCGTCCATGATTTTGTCAAAGGGTGTAATTCCTGGCTCCCTTTCCCTCCATCTCGGAAAAGATCCTGAATCAGACAACCCCAATGGGAGGTGGTAAGCAATGGGCCAGGATGACCTGAAGTAGCTTCAATTCTATTTTCCTTGGAAACTCAGAATTACAGCAGCCACTTGAAGCGGTTGGGTCTGTTCCCCACGCCCTGTGCCAGAGGGGCGGGGAGAGGAGGGTGAGTAAGAGATGGAAGCGAGCAAAGGACAGAGGGTGGTAGGGGAGGGGGAGGAGGGAGAGGAGGGGACAGACAGAGAGACGGAGTGGACAAGGGAGCAAGAGAAGGAGGTGTAGCAGAAGCAGGAATGAGAGGAACAAGACCGAGACCCAGAACGAGTCAGGGCTGTGTGGGGGCCACGGTGGGAGCAGGGAGCAGCTGGGAGGTCATCTGGGCCACTCTGCTGGTGACCAGTCCACGGCTTCTGCCACAGTGATGGGCCCAGAGCTGGCTTGGTGCTGGAATGTGAGTGGCTGTGGCTTGGAGACCCCCTCCAGCTGAGGAGGAAAAGCTGTTGACATCTGCCTGGAAGAGCTGAGTTTTTCCAACATGGAAAGAAGAAACACACGCAGAAACCAGTCTTATCACAAGCCTGGCAGAGTGGCCCGGGACGGGGAAATTCCATGAACCGAGACACAGATGAGGAGGCGCCTGCGTGAAAACAAGCCCCACCCAGCCCCACCCTGCACAGAGCCCTCAAGTCCCTGCTCACCTTCCCACCCTGGTCTGCCCTTCGTGTCCCTAAGCACTTTCAAGGTCCTAGATGATCCCCTCCCCGTGGGAGCACTTGAGTTTGATGACACAACAAAGGCCCGACCCCCTGAAGTGGGGATGGTGACCCAGCAGCCCTCACCCCACCCCCGCCAACCTGGAGTTGAAAATCCACCCCTGCAACCAGCAACTTTGGAGGTGACACATGAGTCTTAACCAGAATTCCCAACATCACCCCCACCCCACCCAGGCCCAGCAGGTCTCTGGCCCTTTGCTCTCCCTCGACCAGACAATTCCCTCATTTGCCCTCCCTGGGTGCAGGGGGCATGGCTTGAGGGGAGGAGGAGAGACAGGGATGGGTGTCAGCTTAGGTGCAGGTGGGGAGCAGACAGCGGAGCTCATTTTGTAAACATTTAACGAGCACCCCCTGCTTGCCCCGCATGGTGTGACCGGAAAGAGTAGCGAGACCCAAGTAGGGAGGCAAAAAAGTCAGATTTTCACTGATTCGTGTGCTGACCAGTATGTCAGGGACACAGGTGACAGTGGGAGCCCAGAAGACAGCGATGGGTCAGGTCCGGGTGACTCGGGTGGCTCTGTGGAGGACCTGGGATTTGGACTGGACCTGGACAGTTGAACAGGGTCTTGATAGGTAAAATGGAGAAAGAGTTTGCTGGTCTTTAAACTGCACCTACAAAGTAAGAGCAAAGAGGTTTAAATACTGCTGCTTTTACCATACCATCTGGGCCATGCAAAGGCAAAATCATGGATTTGAATCCAGGCTGTGACACCTTTTTGGGCCAGTCACATGACTTCTTTGAGCCTCAGTTTTCTCCCCTGTGAGACAGGAATGCCAGCCATTCCACAGAGTGGCCATGACGATGAAGTCACTCAAGCCACGCGTGCCTGCCACGTATAGGAATTCAATGCGTATTTCTTGAGTACATGTGTATGACATGTAGCATTTTACAAGGGACTTCCACAAACATTTTAATTCCTTGATGATGTTGTGTCACCGTCCCTGCTCACAGCCTAGCAATGGAAGGTGTCACTGACCCTCAGTACACGTTGTGAGCAACACCTACTTCCTTGGGAGGCTGAGCTCTGTGCAGGAAGGAAGCAGCCTGGAGAGCTGGACACCTGTGGTTGACAAGGGTCAGCGTTCTTGCCCTCAAATGTCTATGGAGGGGTCACACAATCTCTCAATAACCCAACACACTGCCTTGGTCCCATTTTTAATTTTTTCCTTTTTCTTTATTGACTTTAAAGAGAGAGGAAGGGAGAGGGAGAGATAGAAACATAGATGAGAGAGAACATCGGTGGGCTGCCTCCTGCATTGCATGCCCCCCAGTGGGGATCAGGCCCACAACCTGGGCATGTGCCCTGACTGGGAATCGAACCGGTGACCTCTTGGTGCATGGGTTGATGCTCAACTGCTGAGCCACACTGGCTGGACCTCGGTCCCATTTTCAGTGTGATCTGTGAGTCACGTTGATCAAACTCCCTCATAAAACATGGGCCAATATGCAGACTTGCCAAACCAATCTCTGGAGGTGGGGTCTGGGAACACACGTTTGGAACAAACTCGCTCAGAAGGTTTGGGAGAGTGTAGGGCCACCCTTGCTCAGACAGACAAAGGGCCTGCTCCATCCAAGTTTGTGTTTAAATGTCTGCCCCTCAGAGACCACCCAGTCTTGTCACTTTCTAGCCCCTCAGTGTGCTTCATTTTTTATCCTAGTACTTAACCTAATATTATATGTGTATTGTCTGGCCCTACCACTGAAATGTCAGGATCAGAAACATGTCCATGTCACTAGTGGACCTTTAGTGCCTCGAGCAGCACCTGCTATATGGTGAATATCAAATAATTACTTGTTAAATGAATCGCTGCTTTGTGCCCTTGAAGAGCGCAGCAGACATTCTTGCTGTTGGCCAGATATCCCCAGCTCTTTTCCCATTCTGAGCAAGGGTAGGGTTGCATTTCCCGGCCCCTTGTGCCGGGGACTATATAACTAGGTCTGGTAATGAATGAGTTCTGAGCAGAAGTGCCTGGAGCTTCCAAGGTGGACGTAGGACCCTCCAGACTCTCGGCTTCCCTCTGGCACCGTGACTGGCAGCATTAGGTGTGGTGGCTGTTCCATCAGCCTGGGTCCCCGTGTGGCTTTGAGAACAGTCTCCCTGCCCATCGGCAGAGGGCATGTAATGTGAGTGAGCATGAAGTCTCTGGTTGAAAGGCACGGAGATTTGGGGGTGGTTCATTACTGGGGCGTAACCTAACCTGTCCCGACAGGCCCAGTGAGCCTATGCAGAGAGGGGTGCTCTCAGAATCCCTGGGAGGTCCCTAAATGCTCTGGGAATCGCAGGAGACTTCAAAAGCCTCAAAGCCAAACAAAACCCCAAACTCCTCCTTCAGAAAGTCAGGCCACATCTGTCTTTTCCTTTTCCTTCTACTAGGAAGCTCCTTGGGGGGGTGGGGGCAGCCTTGAACCCACTCTCCCAATGGGGGATCTTACTTCTCTGGGACCACCTCAAAAGTGACCTCACACACTGACCCCACACTCAAACTCACTGCCATGACTCTCCCCCTTGGTCAAAATGAAAACATAAAGCATACCCACTCTTCTGGGAGTGAGTCACAGACAGGAAAAGAGTCAATGGCTCTGGGCTCAGAGGATCTGCTAACCTGGGGGAAAAACTCCCAGCAGAAGTGTCTCTGCAGCGCTGTAGTCTTACTCTTGTAGCCTGAATGACACAGAGGGAGCCAAACGATGCTCAAGTCCAAGCATCAGACAGCACCCTGACCCTACAATGAGAAGAGTTTATTCAGTACGGACTTCCCTGAGGAGGGAGGAAGGGGCTGTGGGCTGTGCGCCCGTGTTACGGGAGGGAGGGGATGCCCTTTCAAGGAAGAGGGACTGGGCTGGGAAGATGGCAGCAGAGGATCAAGTCCCAGGCCGGGAGCCTCCTGTTGGGTTTTGGGGAGGCAATTACTCTCCAGAACTCAATTTCTTGGCTCAGGGAGATGAATCTTATGATAAACTTGATAAACTTTTGGATTGGTTACATGAAGTTCTATTATCTCCATTTTCATCTCTGTTCCCATTCCAGAAGCCACATGTACTGTTCTGGCCCTGCCTCGTCTCCAGAGAGCAGCTGCTGCCCCCTCCTCCCGCTTCAGAGCTGCTGCAGCAGGAAAACAGAAACCAGCGCATTTTTCTATACAGCTCAGGCAGCCTGGAAGGGGTTTACCCCCGATTGTTCCAGACAGGCCCCAGTCTCCCAGGGCCAGAGGAGACACTCATCCCATGAACCTCTCTATCCAGAGAATCTGGCCTGGGCTGCCCCATGCTTGGTGGGCAGGGGGCGGGGGGGGGGAGGGGTAAAGGGCAGCGATGTGATTGTTGGCAGTTATTTCACAAATGACATTTAAAAACTGGCCTCCCAGTGATGAGCTCTTTGCCAGGCCCCCTCTTCTTCTTGACACACCAAGCTGGCACCCAGAGCTCACAGTGGGCCCACGCCCTGAACCTCACCCAGCCCACTGCCCTCTCGGGAGGGAGGAAGCCCAGAACGAGTCTCAAGCCTGTGGAGATGGATGGATAACAGAGGGTGGATACAAGCAAATACTTATATGCAATACAGGTTTCTGCGCAAGCCCAAAGCCTGCGTGCAGAAAAAGTAGGAGAGATGGGATTAAGATAGCACAAAGGCAAACTGTACTTTCCTTTCAAAACATTCAGCAGAAGGCATTCGGGAATGGTCCTCCCACTGGATTATTCTCAGTTGTGTCCACTGAACTTCATCTGTCCTGTGGGGGGAAGATGGAGAAGCCCATTCTCTTATTACTTATCTTGGATCTGAAACAGCGGGGTCCTTGGATCAGCAGCATCAATACCTCCTGGAAATTTATTAAACATGCAAAGTCTCAAACCCCTGCCCCAGACATACTGACTCAGAAACTGTGTGTGTGTGTGTGTGTTGGGGAGTAATCTGTGATTTAATAAGCCCTCCAGGTGATTGCCATGCATGCCAAAGTTTGAAAACCACTGATGTAGAGAAAACAAGGTTCAGAGAGGGGAGAGGAAAGGTGGAGGAGGGAAGCAGAAGGGTGGCTAGCTCTCACACTCCTAAATTTCAGTTTCTTCTCTTTGTAGTACTAGGGCATTGGTTGCTCTCAAGCTCCAGCCTCTGCTGAGACCCAGGGACACTGCTACATGTCTTCTGCTACAAATGCAGAGGACTCTATGATCATTCCTGCCATGAGGGAGAAGCCATGGACCAAAGCAGGCTGGGAATTCCCTGGCCACCAGACTCTAAGAAATGTCAGGAATTACCTAAAAACTACTCCAAGGGGAAAACGAAAAGCAAAAGTGAAGATTCTCCCACCAGACACTAGGGGGAGACCCATCTCTAGCCTGGGAAGAGGAGGGGGCGTTTGACGTCTAGAAGAGTTTAGACTATTTCCCAAGTTGGTTGCTGGTGACCGCTGATAAACCAACTAACCTGAGCCTGAGTTTTAGGAGGACAGGCAGTGACACCGAGTCACTGGCGAAGACTGCAAACTCGTCTACCTGTCTCCTCATTCCCAGACAGTTTAGTTAAGAAAATCAGAAGCTAAAGAGGGCCAGGGTCATACAGCTTGTCCGCATCAGGACACAGGTTCAAAAATACAGGAGTCCCGTTTCCTCACACCTGAGAGACGATCAAGACCCACTCATATAATTGGAGGGACCCAGTGCAGAAAGAAAATGCCCGGCCCTTTGTTTAAACGTTAAGACGATCAAGACCGTGACAGCAGAGCATTAAAAGGGGGTGGCTGGTGTCGGTCCTGGTGCGGTAGCAAAGGGAACCTGCTTTGGGTCCTACAGGTGAGCTGCCCATAACAGATGCAATGTCGGGCTTGGGGGCGGGGGGGGGGGGCTGGTATTCCACAGTAATTACTGGAGCAGGTATGGGGAGACAGGGGTTTGATTAAGGAAAAGCTCTCCCAGCCCCAGGGCCGCCGGAGCGTCCTCACAGTCCAGGGCCCAGGGATCACCCTAGTCCCCGTCTTCCCGGAAAGGAATATCCTACCGGGCAGGGCTGCCTGCAGAGGGGAAATCCAAGGAGAGTGAAAGTCGCACGTGGACGGTCTCGCGCGCCGCGGGGGCGGCTTCCCGCTGTCAGTGTCTGCAGCGTCGCCCCGCGTCACGGGACTCGGAGCCGCTGCGGGACAGCGCCGAAGCCGGGCGTTCCGGACCCACGCGGGCTCGGCTCGCCGGGGTGGGGGTGGGGGTGGGGGGCGCGGCGAGGGCAGGGAGGGAGGAAAGCCAAGGTCGCATCCCTCGGGCTCGCTGCAAACTGGGAGGGGGTTGGCGGGTAGCCGCCTTGCCCTGGACCTTTCCCTAGACCCCACCTTTGCTAGACCTTAGCCTTCCTTCCGCCCGCTCCCTCACCTGGGCAGGCTGGGGTGCCAGTGGGGGCGCTCTGTGTGGGGGGACTGGTGGGAGAGGAACCGAGGTGGGACCGGAGGCAGACGGCCCCCTACAGAGACGCCTTTTCGGAGTTGGATGAATAGAGCCTTTCCCGTACGAAATCCTCAGCTGTCCAGCCCGCGTCCTGAAGACGCCCCGCAATTCACATTCGTTCGGGCGCCCCCCATCGCCGAAACAGTGGCTCCGTCGGCCTGCGGTTCCCTGAGGTCGTCCTTCCTGCCTCTCCCGAGTCTCCCCGCCCCTGCCCCGCCCCGCAGCCTGCAGTCCCTTTAAAGGCCGCAGGTCTGGAACCGCCCTCCTCTCGAGGCAAACTCGGGAGAAGCGCCGCCGCCGCGCACCGGGTATGGTCATGGCGTCCCCGGCCATCGGGCAGCGCCCGTACCGGCTGCTCTTGGACCCAGAACCACCGCTCTATGTACAGAGCCTGAGCGGCCCGGCGCCGCCGCCGCCGCCGCCACCGGGCCGGTCCTCCCGCCGCTGCGCCCCCGCACCCATCTCCACTGCGCCCGGGGCGCACGAGGGACGCGGCGCCCGGAGGGTTACCCGCGGGGACCTGGAACCCCCACCCCGGGCCTCCCGCCCCGCTCGCCCTCTTCGGCCTGGACTGCAGCAGAGACTGCGACGTCGGCCTGGAGCGCCCCGGCCCCGAGACGTGCGGAGCATCTTCGAGCAGCCGCAGGATCCCCGCGTCCCGGCGGAGCGAGGCGAGGGGCACTGCTTCACCGAACTGGCGCTGCGGAGCGGCCCAGGCTGGTGCGACCTGTGCGGACGAGAGGTGCTGCGGCCGGCGCTGCGCTGCGCTAGTGAGTGTGAGGGCCGGCAGGGGAGGGGCGCGCGGGGAGCCCCAAGTCCCTGGGCGAGCAACCGCGAGGGGCTGGGGCAGAGCCGGGGGCATTACCCTCTCTGGCTCCAGGGGAGACCTCTACTCTAACTAAATGAGATAAGCTCTGGAGACTGCTCTTTAGTCCCCTGCCCGGTATCCCTTAGTGATTGCCTTCTGCCTAGATATGGTTCTGCGGTATTTAACAAATACCTATTCGCCTGACATGTACATGCCTCGCCTCCCCGCCCCCGACACACACACGTGCACAGGTTGGGTTGATGGCCGCAGCCACAAGGTCATTCCGTTGTCTCCAGTGCACCTTGTTGCTTTTGTTGTAGGTTCCTTAGAGTGGGTTGTGAGACTGGTGTTGAGATGGCCATCTGACCTGTGCGCATTGGGATTAATGGCAAAATAGTTTGTCCATCTGTGGTACAGGCCCATGGTACATGTCCACCTATGATACATCCCTCCTCCAGGGTGACCTGTTGGGACAGGGAGGAGGCCTGGTTAGGCTTTGGATAGAACTGGCTGCGAGGATGAAGAGAGCCTGAGGCTACCCTGGACCTGTGTCACCTCCTGCCTTCTATATCTGGCCCCTCAAACCTTTGGATTCTGCTCTAATGTTTGACTGTACCCTGTCTCCCCTCTTCCTCCTATGTGACTGCACCGGTCATCATGCCCTGTAATTACCCTACTCTGGTCCCCCACCCTCAAAGCTCTCAGGTCTCTGCAGCCTCCCCCCAGCCAGGCCTTTCTCACACCTGACTGTAAAACACTGAGCACCTAGGGCGTAGATTTTCTGAGCCAATTTGCAGTCTTCTTGGGTGTTTATTATGTTTCTCTTCTTACAGTGTGTATTTCACCTCCACCCCCACTTTTGCTGCTATTTCGCAGAGGATATCTGTATGTTTATGTGTTTACATAGATCTTTTCAATATCTGAGGCACAAAGCACAGACAATGGCACAACTCTAGCAAGCGTCCCTGGAAATGGGTTGTGCGCATTACAGCAAATGGCCCTTCCCCCATGGTCTCCCATCCAACTGCCGCATTGGACAGCACCAGCCTTTCACATCAGGAAAACCCTACTTTGTCTCCCTCTGCAGTCATCCACAGCCCAGGCTGTGCAGCGTACCTCCCTCTGCAGCTGGCTGCAGAGGAGAGCTGACCCTCCAAGCCAGGGTCACGTGAAAGGGGGAGATTGGAAGGGAAAGGGGATGCTGCTCCCTCCAACACCGGAACTCCCAATTCAGATGCTAATTAAAAAGGAAAGACTCTCTCCCTCTCTCTTCCTCTCTCTCCCTCCCACTCTATCTGAACAAAAAAATGGAAAAATGCCCTCGGGTGAGGATTTTTTAAAAAAGGAAAGAGCAGAAGTTACAGAGGTGTATGTAATGGGTAGAGGGCTGCTGTCACTTGCTAAATGCCCTGACCTTGCAGTAGAATTGAATGCAACTTGCCCTAAGATGCATTGGCAGCTTTGGCCCTCTCAAGGGTCCTGGGGTATTTTACTACGCTCACCACCCCTATCAACTCAGCGGCAGCATCCTCAGTGTAATGGGTTTTATTGTGCGGGGATCCTGGGGAAGTTCGCTTCATTCTAGTGTGTATGAAGACATTTGGGGATTAAGTCAGTTTTTGAACATTTTGCACATAGTTTTATTATTTTTGGGGGGGCGTGGTAGTGATAACAGTGTATTTGTATGTGCATATACGTGGTACTTCATGACTAAATGAATTCATGCTCACTTTACATTAGAATTGTTTACTTAATTTGATTAATTCATAAATCGTTTCTGGTGGCAGGAAGACCCAGGTGCATGGAGGTTTCCTCTGACTTTGTGTGACTTGGTGGCCCCCACATAGGTTAAATACCAACCAGGGATGTGTGAATACCAGAGAGAGAGAGAGAGAGCAGGAGTGAAGGGGCTGTGGAGAGGAATCTCTGTTTGTCACCATTAATATGGAGCTAACTGTGGAGCTGCGGCTGGGTGGGAAGAGTTAAGAAATGTTCTGATGTGGAAATGGGGGCTGGCAAGTGGAGACACGGCAGGCTGGACTCACCGAGCGGCTTTCTTTAAGCTGAAGGTCTGGTTCCATGGTGGGCTTGGTTTGTTTTATCTTTATTTTGAAAAATAAGGGTCAGGCCCTGGCCGGTTTGGCTCAGCGGTTGGAGCGTCCGCCTGCGGTCTGGAGAGACCCGGGTTCGGTTCCCGCTAAGGGCACGTACCTCGGTTGCAGTTTGTCCCCGGCCCTGGTTGGTCATGTGGGTGGCAGCCACTCGATGTGTCCCTTTCACATCGATGTTTCCCTTTCTCTCTCTTCCTCTCTCTCCCTCCCACTCTATCTGTACAAAAAATGGAAAAATGTCCTCAAGTGAGGATAAAATAATAATAATAATAATAATAAATAATAAGGGTCAGAAATAAGACTTTTAAAAGGCAGTGATGTGCCCTGGCTGATTTGGCTCAGCGGTTAGTGCATTGACCTGCAGGGTCATGGGTTCGATTACTGGTCAAGGGCATGTACCTGGGTTCCAGGTTTAATCCCCGGCCCCTGTCGGGGGGATCATGCAGGAGACAATCAATCTATGTGTCTCTCTTACATCAATGTTTCTCTCTCTCTCTCTCTCTCTCTTTCTCTCCCTCCCTCCCTCACACCCTCCCTCCCCCTCTCTCCCTTTCTCCCACTCTCTCATCATTAGAAAAATATCCTCGGGTGAGGATTAATAACAACAACAAAAAAGGCAGCAACATGGGTGTGAATCTTGACTCTGCCACTGGGTCTCAGTGTAACCCTGTATTTCACGTCCTAGTTTTAAAAAATGGGGATAATAACATTACTTATTTTATTGTGTTACTGTGAGAAGTAAATGAATATATGTAAAATGCTTAGAACAGTGCCTGAAAAATGCAAAATGAACGTTTAAGGCCACGTGATGTCGTTATTATCCCCCCCATTCAGCAGCGGTGACAATTTGTCTGGGCTCCGGACACCTCTTAGGGTCACCTTCCCAAGCGGTGTGTAGTTTTCAAACTCTGCCTGGTTGCAGAGCTGAACGAGGAAGCGAGAGCCATGAGCGCCCCAGAAAGTGCAGGTGTTAATGTCCTGTGGAAGCATCACCCACAGAATGCCAGTGGCTTAGTGGTCACCAAGACATCAGCACCTGGTCTTTGTATCACTTGCCCCCAGCGTAGTGCCAGGCACAGAGCACGGTTTTACTCAGTAGTGGCTGATGAAGGCGGCAGATTGTTATTACTACTAAATCTCTCTGCTCTTGACAATGAGCAGAAGGGCAGCGAGTATGTGACTGACACCTGTCTGGGCAGGTGGCTGACACTGGGTGGGAACCTTGTTGGCAAAACAAGTCTTTGACGAGGGAGGCTCTGAGGAAACTGTCCGCCTGCCTATTCAGCGAAAGTTCCTCTCGCTTAAGCCCACTCCTGCTTCAAGGTCTGTCGCTGAGCTCTGGTTAATGCTGGGTTTGCCAACAGGAAAGTTCAGGGTTAAGGTTAATTTCCAGGATTGAGGGAATCATGCTTGTTAGGTAGAGAAGGAAATCTAGTGGGAATTGAGGGGAAAGAGGTAGAGGCAGAGATAGAGAGAGAGAAGAGAATGGTGTGAACGAGTGTGTTTTGGGGCAGGGGCCACAGCAGTGGTGAGAATATCCATTTCCAGCAGGCCAGGACGGAATGGTCACCAGCAAACAACACGCTGCCCTTTGACTTTGTTCTCAGGGGATGTCCCTTAAGGTCATGGACCTTTTCCTTTGTAAAAGACCCACAGAGTTGGCTTTTGACCTTCCATCTCCTATTGGTGGATATATAAGCCATCCTAGACCAGGGAATGGTCTAGAAAATGGGGAAACCTATGTCCAACTCAACATCCCGGGAGGATTGCTTGGACGCGCCTCGGTGAGGGCCGCGTACCTGCTCCTGGAGCCTCTCTCTGGAAGGGGCATTACTCAGAGCTATGATGTGTTCAGTGATTGGAATTGTCAGGTTGAAAGCGGGGCCCTGGGGCTCATCCTCCTAACCCCCCCTTCCTGTAATAGACATTAATTATGGTGTGAGTATGAGACATTTGCCCTGGCCTTCAGGGATGGGGACCGGGGACTTTCTTGGTGAGTGAGGCTGGTCCAGCACAGGGCCCCTTGTCCAGCAGCCTTGTCTTGTCGCTGCATTAATGGTTGCGTTTCACCCTTCGTTCTGTGCAGACTGAAACCGTGCCTGTGACGGCCACCAGATCCTGCAGGCCCGTGCCTTGTCGCGGATTCTTTGTAGAAGACATTCCTAGGACACTGACATTGAGTGTCCCTGCAGCAGACACAGAGCCAGGGCCACCGGACGCTGCTTTGTTTGTCCAGTGCACCCAGCAGCACTGCGTGTGGCTGAAGTGTTGTCCTTGATTCCGGCCTGTGCTTGGCCTTGGAGGTTAGGGAAACGAAGCGCCGGGGTGAACGTCGTGCTGTTAGAGACTGTGGGACCCTCCACTTCCGCTGCCCCTGGCTCTGACTGAGGTCTTCTTGGGAAAGGTCCTCAGCAGTGTGGGGGAGCTGGGCGTGGGGGGACGGAACGAGGATCTGGAATGCTTTGAGAGAGGCCTTCTGAGCTCCCCAAGCTGCGTCTGTTTCCTCTACTCCCTGCTTCCTGTCTCCTCAAAAAGATGAAAGTGAAAGGATTAAATGTGGGCCTAATCCACCCCCCACTCATCAGAGCGTGAAATTTTCTGATTATGGAGTGAGAGGGGCTTGAATCCTAGGTACAGTCAAAAATGATTAATGCCACTTGTCTGCCAGCCTAATTAGAATTGGTAATGAACATGTGTGTTTGCCTGCTGATCCTGCGAGTTATTAGGTGGATAGGAATTGACATCCTCAGCACTGAGGGTTTGGTTTGGGAGCCTCTCTCTTCCCAAGTTCGCCAGGGAAGCAGCTTATGCCAAGCCTGTCTGCTCGAACCTGAGTGACAGGGGAAGGACA